AAAAAAAAAAAAAAAAAAAAAAAAAAAAAAAAAAAAAAAAAAAAAAAGAGAAGAGAATAATCCTTTGCAATATTATAACAAATACTTCTGCAACCAAACCTGCAATGTCAGGTTATTGTTAACCCCTGTATCACCATTGTAACCTCCCTCCTCTTGCGCCCGCCTGTAAACTTTCAGTGCCTGACTCAAACCTTTTGCGCCCGCCTGTAAACTTCAGCGCCTGATACAAGAGGCTAAACGACTTTGTTTATTCGTATCTTTTATACATCTTGAAACAAGAATTAAGATAAGGAAAAAAAAAATAAGGCTATAAAAGAAAATAGTATCAAAATTATGACGATGCTGTCTTTGGTTCAATGAGATGAAAGAGGTCGAATCAAACCCTAACACGGTATAACGTTATCAAGATACATCATCATTACGAGAAATCGACTATTTTTTTTTTTTTTTTTTTTTTGGTTTTCCCTTTCGTATATCCTTCGATACTTTCTTTCCCTCTACGTTACATTTGATTATACCCTAATTCTCCAACTTCACAAAAGGAATCCGATTGTTATTGAACAATGAAAGATACTTTTACACATATTCACACAATGGTTCTGACAAGTAATAACGCTCTCAGATTACACAAGAGTTGTATTTAAAAGTTTCTCAAGAAATAATGTAACTTACTCCATAACATACTCTCGGAAATATGTAACTTACTCCATAACATACTCTCGGAAACAATGTAACTTACTCCATAACATACTCTCGGAAACAATGTAACTTACTCCATAACATACTCTCGGAAACAATGTAACTTACTCCATAACATACTCTCGGCTTTTTTGCTCACTTTGCTTTGCTTTGCATTGTTATTGTTGATCCATTTTCATTTGTTTGAATTTCACACGTGACCTGTATATGGTAGCGTATGTGTAAGTTAGTAAACTACTCTTGCGTTACAAGGGGAATAACGGTATCAATGTAGAATGGTTGCAATGTTCTTGTATTAAATGCATTACCTGGTATTGTTTTTTTTTCTTTTTAACAATATCCTCACGAAACACACAAGTGGGTTTGGCACATGTATGTTTGGTATGTGTATGAAAGCATTTACATGTACAAGTGGATTTGTTTGGTTACACAGATGAATTTCAATCTAGTCAAAACTATTGAACGGGTTTAATGCTGGGTTTGTCATGGATTTGGTCAGGGGTAAAAATGTCAATCTCATTTATCTAATTAAGATTGTACTATAAGCTTCTTGAAAACTGTCAAATAAAAAGATCAATTCCATGGTTTTACTGGTGATACAATCACTGTAAAAAACCATAGAAAGAGAACATCGTAGATAGCCCGCTCGATCTTTGATGTAACAAGAGGAGTCGAACCCGTGTGTGTAATTATCCCTCTGCTTCAACACTATTACCTTTAGATACAACCTTTTTATCCAATCACATACTAAGCACACGGGTTTGAGTTCAATATACAAGCTCTGCGAAATTAAGTCTATCAAGCTGGTACCTCATCTAATCCACTCTTTTAGTGGAGCAGAACACGAGTTAGCAAATGGTAGGAAACTGAAAAAAAAAAAAATACCGAGTAATTAAAGTCAAGAAAAAAAATAATATCAAACCTGTATCATCTTTACTGAGATGGTCTATATGGAAAACCTTTCATGTATAAGGAATTGACATACAAAAGAACATGAACAAATCTGATTCAGGAGATGACATACAAAATTACATGAACAAATCTGATTCAGGAGATGACATACATTAGCACATGAACAATCTCAACCAGGAGACAACCTCACAAACGGGTTTGTTCTTAAAATTGACGATCCTAGATAGTCAAGACTAAAGCAATATTAGAAAAAAGAAAAGAGAATAAAACAAAGGGAATAAAAATAAAATGTGGGGTTGAGTTGCCATTAATGCGAAAAAAAAGTCCGAAAATAGAGATTTTTCCTCACTAGTTTCACTAGTCAGTGGTGCTCCAGTCAATGGTGCTCCAGTCAGTGTCACTAGTCAATGGTGCACCAGTCAGTGCTGCACCAGTCAATGCTGCACCAGTCAATGCTGCACCAGTCAATGCTGCACCACTATCTCGCTTCGGTCCATAAAAAAGGCTAGGCAAGACCCAAAGAGAAAGAGGTAATTTTTTTTTCTTTTGTTTGGCAATATCAAAGTGCGCAGGCCAGAAGTGCGCAGACCAAAAGTGCGCAGGCCAACAAAAAAGTATTTGAATACAACTTCAATACGAAAGAAACGACGACGAGAACTCAACCAGGATAAATTAGATATACTTTAAGAGTTTTAGATTGAAATGACCTCATTGGCGTGGAAAATGATCAGTAAGGATGCAAGCACTAGACTTTCCACTACTACAAGCACTAGACTTACCACTAGTCGCAAACAATTCTCCCACTACAAACTTCTGGTTAGTCTATCATCATCACCAATTCTAGCTCATTATCATCTAACCACCGGGTGGTGGTGATGATGATTAATACCAGTGCGCGCTTAACTAGCCGCTTGGAAAAATTTTTTTTTTTTTTTTTTTTTTTTTTTTTTATTTTTATTTTTCAACCCGCAAATTTAATCTTATGATAACCATTGAATTAACTCTCTTTCTTGTTGAATAAGTATATATTACCTCTATATACATATACATGGAGGGTAGACAAACATATATGTAAATGAACATATATATATAGACACGTTCCTTTTTTTTGTGCCCGAAAATTAAACCATTTAAGGTTTTTGCAATGCAGTCTGTTGAAGACCATTATAATGGACTGCTTTTATATGACGAGATTAAACAGGAACAACTACAATTGGACTCAGCTGGCGTTAAAGGCTTTATAACTCCCAATACTACTACGTCTGGTATCTCTACTGGCACTTCATTATCCACATCCAATTTACACAGCGGTAGCCGCCGACATAGACTAAGTGTATCACATGAAGATATTGATTTGGAATCTGTAGACCCAGGAACTATTAAAATAGATTGTAGTGGAGCATTCATTGCCAATGATGATTTGTTGAGAAGCTCAATTATTGTTGATGAAGATTCACTGAATACAAGCGGTTCAGTTTCAAGTACTCCCACACCACCACTGTCAAATACAAGCTCGGATTTTGAAGATGATGAGAATAACGGGGCAGCATCAGGAGGACAAGGACGAGGAGGACGAGGAGGACGAGAAGGAGGAGGAGATTTTGGTTTTCTACAAGATGAGGAGAAAGTTGAGGAGAGCATGCAGGGAACAATTACCAAGAACAATATCAATTTGCCCAAGCACAATGATGAAATTATCCATATTTCCGTAGATATTGGTGGCACTTTGACCAAGCTTGTGTATTTTAGTAAATTGAGGAATACCAAACAACAAACCAACAACAACAACAATAACAATAATAATAATAATAGTGGATCTATTGATGGGTCGGTGAGTTCTTCAGGTGGAGGCAAATTACATTTTAAAGATTTCCAAACGGAGAATTTCAAAGATGAAGTTATGAAGTTTATGATTCATTTGATTACAAAGTCAATTTCGAAACAGAATAAAAGACCACCTATAACGTATATAATGGCTACAGGTGGCGGAGCACATAAATTTTACAACTTGATGACCAAGACATTTAGGAAGAAGAAATTGCCGATGCAGATTATTGCCAAGGATGAAATGGAATGTTTAATTAAAGGTTTAGATTGGTTGATTACCAAGATTCCACAAGAAATCTTTATTTATGATTTAGTAGAGGTCAATACTAAATTCCAACCATTACAGAAGGAAGATGAGATATACCCTTATTTGCTAGTCAATATAGGTAGTGGTGTTTCGATGATAAAAGTTGTCAAACCTGGCCCTGAAGGGTTTGAAAGAATTGGCGGTAGTTCACTTGGAGGAGGGACATTATGGGGACTACTTTCATTATTAACTGATGCCAAAGATTACAATGAGATGTTGGAAATGGCACAAAGGGGAAATAATGAGAACATTGATTTATTAGTAGGGGACATCTATGGTTCCAATTACAACAAAATTGGCTTAAAAGCTAACCATATAGCATCGTCATTTGCCAAAGTGTTTAAAAAATTGAGGTTTAATAATAACAATGAGAATAAACCATTAATGACATCGGCGGAGAAGTTAGCACAGTTTAAGCAAGAGGATATTGCCAGGTCACTATTGTTTTCCATTAGTAACAATATTGGACAAATTGCATATTTACAAGCTTTGCGATTTAGTCTCAAGAGGATTTATTTTGGAGGGAGTTATATATCGGGACATATGCAAACTATACATACCTTGAGTTTTGCTGTTAATTTTTGGTCCAATGGTGAAATGCAAAGTTACTTTTTGAGACACGAAGGGTATTTGGGAAGTGTTGGTGCTTTCATGATGGGTCCTGCTTTCCAGCAAGAGCAGCAGCAGCAGCAGCCGACACTATCGAGCAGGACGAGATAGTGGAGCAATACTTGAAAACTTGTTTCAGCACTGCTGTAGCTGATGGCAATACTTGAAAACTTGTTTTAGCACTGCTATAGCTGATGGCAATACTTGAAAACTTGTTTCAGCACTGCTGTAGCTGATGGCTCGATAGTGGAGCAATACTTGAAAACTTGTTTTAGCACTGCTGTAGCTGATGGCTCGATAGTGGAGCAATACTTGAAAACTTGTTTCAAGTTACCAGCTGCTGCAGTTGGTGGTGGGTGGTAGTGTCACGTGACTAGTGAACCACAAGAGAAGCAAAATATTTATTGATAGTGATAGCTTTACTATTGGCTTATTTATTTATGTAGAATAGCATACAAATACAAGACTAATTATTTTATCACACTATCGAGCAACACTATCGAGCAACACTATCGAGCAGAGCGAGATAGTGTTGTGACAAGCTACTGACTCTGCTCGATAGTGTCACTCGATAGTGTCACTCGATGGTGTCAGTCAGAGATGCTCCACTATCTCGCTCTGCTCGATAGTGTTGTAACAAGCTACTGAGTATTGCTCTACTATCTCGCTCTGCTCGATAGTGTTGCTTGATAGGTGTTGCTCAATAGTCGCGTTTTTCAATGTAACATAAATATTTAGTTAATGTTACATTGTTTTTAAATCACGTGATAATCATTACATCAAGAGATTAGGAGGGATTACTTTGAAAAGGTTTAGATTTAGCCGAGCATGATAATGTCAAGTTTGCTCGACTATCTCGCTCTGCTCGATAGTGTCGCTCTGCTCGATAGTGTCGCCTTGGCTGATGTAACTAGAGTTCAAATAGAGATCTAAACGGACAAGAGAAATAAGTTCTATCTGATATGCGAGATTTAACACGATTGTTTGTAGATGAAATTTAAATATAACACATTTGATTTTTAACCGCCCAATTGTAACCATAGTACATCTGTTTTACCTCTCTGTAAATTAAATCATGACTCATGACCTACCATGCATATTGACATGATTTGCAGAGAATTAGCAACAACTAGAGGAGTATTGGCATGAACTAAAGAGTTCTTGACATTAATTGCCAGTGACTACTAATGACTAACTAACCCCATCAACGGATTATCTCTAAAGATATCTTTTTGTGCTCATCTCTCATCTCATCTCATCTCTTCTCTTCTCACCCCCACATGTTCGTTCCATCCTCGCCCCGTGTTTGTTCCATATTTGCCCCATGTTCGCACTGTCTTTGCGCGAACTCTCCAACCCCCCTCCTCCCCCCCCCCGCGCCAGTACGAGCAGGAAAAAAAATAAAATGATTAACGAAAAAGTAACCACAGAGTAAATTAAAATTTTAAGTATCGCAAAAAGGAAATACACAAATTTCATACATCATTCAATAAACTCAAGACAATCGAGACCTAGTTTTTGGCATCAACGTTGCTTTAAGAAAGGTTCTATCTTCTGCCCATCACCTCCTTTTCTTTCTTTTTCGTATTTTTTTTTGGTTGGCTTTTTTTTTTCTTTTTTTCTCCTTCTTTTATAAAGCATGAATGATATTGATTCTTCATCTTCAAATCAAATACCTATAGTGAACACACAATATTATAATCGACGGAATTCTTATATATCACAAGGCCTGCTGCTGCTGCTGCTGCTACTACACACACAACCACAGCGTGCAAGTAGTATAAATTATCCTCACCTGCTCCAAAATCGACATTTGAGACAATCTCCATTATATCCATCGGCTAAATTATATACTCAACCACAACAAATTTTCAATTCCGAGTGGTTAGAAGAAGGAGAGTCGCCTATCAATTCACCAACCAAAAATTCACATTTAATAGAAAAGGAGCAGTCGCTGTCCAAAATGTCTGCTACTGCTACTGCTACTGCTACAACTTCCGCTACAACAACTACTACTAATACAAACAAATATGATACCCCATTAAAGAATAATGCTCAAGCTGCTGCTGGGTTTAGTTATATAACCCCGCTATCCGACAAAACTGAACATAACCACCACAACCACCACAACCACAACCACCTGGTCCACCATCACCTGCTCCAGCATATAGGTGCAACTACTCAATCGATATCGTTACCTTCACCAGTACCTATAAAATCGATAAGAATCAGTAATTGGAAAATATTTTGGTTAATGTTGAACGATATTGTTGGTAAGGACAAATTCGCCAAGATTGCACAGTACGGGTTGAGATTGTTGATACATCATGCTGGGCAGTCTCAAACGTATTTGTCAGACGACAAGGTGAATATCAAGACTATACGTTTGAGATATAATGACTCGGCAAAGCAATTGGATTTGTTAAAGAATTTTATAAAGCATCCTGCAGATTTTGTTAAGATTATCATTATATTAGTATGCTCCATTTTCAAAACTCGTTTAACTGGGATGGTCAATGGGTTGAGCATGTACAGACAGTTTCTTAGATTTGGTAAAACACCATTTAGGATGAGAGACTTGATGGTGAAACTACAAAAAAACGTTTTGGTGAAGAACAATACTTTACAAGTGAACAAGCACGCTTTGTTTAATAGAAAAACACTAGGACAATTGACCTCACTTTATTATGGAATCAATGACGAGTCTATGCTTCTTTACAAACTCAATTTTTTGACAAATTCAACTTACAAGAGATTTGCCCTGAGGCACGAATCTTATGCTTGGTACTGTGAAACTTGGCTTGCATTATATAATGCATACGAGACTCTCAATAGTCTTACACAACAAGAAATGGACTTGAAAATTCTGATACAAGTGAAGAACAAAGCTAGAATATTGTCTAAGCAATTACTTGGTAGTGGTGCACAGATTCTTAGTAATGGAAGTGGACATGGCGATAATGGCACCTCGGCCGAGGACTATAAACTACTCCTGGATATTCAATTCAAAAAAAATAATGCTTGGTTGGACGTTTATAAGAATATTTGTGACTTGGGATTTAATACTTATACTGTTTTCCAAATAGCTTTGCCTTTCCCTACTTGGCAAATATGGATGGGTATATCAGCTAGTTTTTTGAGCTGCGTCAAGTTGTATAGAGAAACCAAACAAAAGATGCTTTTGGATTTTGAAAAAGAACTGAACTAATAAAGAAAAGGAAGGTATAATAATGCAGTTTTTGAATAGGAGAAGTAGCTTTATCTTAATTTTTTAACCTAATGATAGATACATGTTTTGATCTTACTAGAAGTAAAATTTGGACCTGGACCTGGACCTGGACTTGAATTGGGACCTGGACTTAATTTGGAGCTCGGCGGAAAAATTTGAAAATTCTGGTGCGGATTATCGTATGCGCACGCGCCACATCTCATCTCCTTTGCTTCGAATCTCTCTTTCTCACACTCTTTATTCTAACTTGTTTGACATGTCTTGGAAATCAACTCTACAAACATCAGCAACTATACTCTCCTTGGTGATAGTGATAAATGAATTGAGAAGAGCGTATGCTAGAATATCTCAACTAGAAACAACTTTAACACCTCTCCCACCTAGATCGCGAGGTATTGAATCACGTATAGGGAATACTCCCTTGATAGAAATCAAATCATTATCAGCCAAAACAGGATGCAAGATATATGCTAAATTGGAGTTGTTGAATCCGGCAGGAAGTTCCAAAGATAGAGTTGCTTTGGCCATAATAAAAGCTGCTGAGATACAGGGTTTGTTGGTTCCCCACCGAGGTGACGTGATATATGAAGGTACTTCAGGGTCAACGGGGATTAGTTTTGCGGTGTTGGCTAGTGCTTTGGGATACACAGCGCATATTTGTTTACCTGATGACACATCGCCTGAGAAACTACAATTGTTGGAGGCACTAGGTGCAGAAGTAGAAAAAGTGAAACCTGCAAGTATTGTTGATCCCAATCAATATGTCAATGCTGCTAAAAGAGGCGCTGAAGAAATCAACCAGACGTCAAATAGCGGTAAAAGAGCGCTATTTGCCAATCAATTTGAAAACGATTTCAATTGGAGAACACATTATACTACTACGGGGCCGGAACTTTTGAAACAATTGGATAATATCGATATATTTATAAATGGCAGTGGAACTGGTGGAACCATTTCCGGTGTAGGGAGAGCATTAAAGGAATTCAACAAGAGCACCAAGATCATTTTGGCTGACCCCCAAGGAAGTGGATTAGCCAATAGGATTAATTATGGTGTACTATACGATACGGTGGAAAAGGAGGGTACTAGAAGAAGACACCAAGTGGATACACTAGTTGAAGGTATTGGTTTAAATAGACTAACATGGAATTTTGAACAAGGTGAGAAGTATATCGATGAAGCAATTAAGGTTCCTGATGACCAAGCTTTGAAAATGGCAAAGTATTTGTGTATTAATGATGGATTATTCTGGGGTAGTTCAGCAGCTATCAATTGTGTTGCTGCAGTGAAAGCGGCATTAAAATACGGACCGGGGCTAAATATTGTTGTTGTTGCTTGCGATTCGGGTGATCGTCATTTATCCAAGTTTTGGAAACATGCTGCTCAAGTCACTCGAACAATAACTTTAGAAGAGGTTTTAGCAGATTCCTGAAAGAGAAAAGGAAATTATATCCACTAACGGAAAGTAAAGAGTAAAGGATTGTAAACAGGCATTGTATTTCCTAGGTTGTATTTTCATCATTCAAACAACATGCTGAACCTCGGATATTTACTACCTCCAAAAGGGTTTAAATTGCTACCTCCAAAAGGGTTCAAGTTACCACCTCCAAAAGGGTTCAAGTTACCACCTCCAAAAGGGTTCAAGTTACCACCTCCAAAAGGGTTCAAGTTACCACCTCCAAAAGGGTTCAAGTTACCACCTCCAAAAGGGTTCAAGTTACCACCTCCAAAAGGTTCAAAGAGAGTTGTATTACTAAATTAGCGACTTTATTTTACACCAATTACCGTAAAGGGTAATAATCTCAATTTGCCCAGTTTTCATTATTTAAATTTAGTCCACCTATTCCTTCACATACAACTTGTATTCATAAACTAAAACAGGGTAGAAACAATGTAAAAGAGTCTGTATTTACATTGTTTTTCTATCAACGTTAAAAGTCATTTACAGGGTAGATATTTTTTCGCAGCTAAAAGGCACTCCTATTTGGAAAGTTGCATTATAAAGAATACTGTTTTTAATTTGACTGAAGAATAGCTTTAGCTTTGCAATCAAGTTTGACCACCTATTGTAAGAATCAATTATATTTCCTTGGAATACACTAATTTCTGCGTCTAATCTCAATAGACCTTTGTATTCCCAAAGGGACCGGACCAATGAAACAATCCAGATTTATTCTAGCCGCCCACAGACAAAAAAAAAAAAAAAAAAATTAAAATAAAAAACTTTAAATTTCACCAAAATTTTTCATTGAAATCGACCCAGATATATATCAGCATCTTATAACTTTACTTGCTTTTTTTTTCACAATGTCTGTCGAAGAGTTGAAACAAACGGTTGCCAAGTTACATGAAAGAATCCAACAATTGGAGAAAAAAGTTGGTATTGATCCCTCATCATCGCAACAACCGGATCTTGCTAAACAGTTGAGGTTGGTCTTGATTGGAGCTCCTGGTTCGGGAAAAGGAACACAGTCTACTGATTTAAAAGAAAAGTTTTGTGCTTGCCATTTGGCTACTGGAGATATGTTACGTTCTCAAGTGAAACAGGGTACTCCATTAGGTCTTGAAGCTAAGAAAATCATGGATCAAGGTGGTTTAGTCAATGATGAAATTATGGTTGGCATGATTAAATCGGAGTTGGAAAATAATAAGCAATGTAAAAAGGGTTTCATCTTGGACGGTTTCCCAAGAACTATTCCACAAGCTGAGAAGTTGGATTCAATGTTGAAAGAAAGAAATACTCCTTTGAAAAATGCCATTGAGTTGAAAATTGATGATGAGTTATTAGTTGATAGAATCACTGGTAGATTGGTCCACCCAGCTTCAGGAAGATCTTATCACAAGATTTTTTCACCACCAAAACAACCAATGATCGATGACATAACTGGTGAGCCCTTGGTTCAAAGATCTGATGATAATGAAAATGCTTTGAAAAAGAGATTAGTTACTTATCATCAACAAACCGAGCCAATTGTGGAATACTACAAAAAAACCGGAATTTGGCAAGGTGTTGATGCTTCTCAAAAACCAGGCAAAGTTTGGAATGATATTTTGAAATGTTTAGGTCAAAAATAAAAATGATGGAAAAAGGGAGTTTCATCTATATTTAATTTTTTACATACTTTACTTTTTTTTTTTTCTTTTTTATTTTCTTTTAAAGTCAAATCTTTTCTCTTTTGACATTCAGGTTAAGAAGATCCATTTCCGCAGCTCTCTTTCTATCATTGTAGCAACTTACATGAACGATTCTTCGTTGATTCTTTTCACCCGGTTGTTTCATACAATCATACCATACCCACTCTCCAATTTCATCATTGTACTTGGCCTTAACTTGTTCACGACAAATGAGGCACCTATTGTTCATATTTGTATCATTTGCAGGCACAGGGACGTATGTAACTTGAGGAGCCTGTTCTGTTGCTGTGCCAGTAAAAGGAGTAGAGCCAGCGGCAGTAATAGCTGTGGCTGTAGTAGCAGCAGTTAAACCAATTCCCGTTTCCTTTTGAACAGTTCCCAATTCTGATAAACTATCTTCATCGAATTTTACCCAATCATAATCATCAAGGTACCAGTTCCTAGATTGGATATTGGCTCCTCCTTTGGCGCTCAATTTTTTATTGATTCTGAAATGCCAATCTAAATGTAATCTCTTATTATTAGTGCCTTCGTAATCCGTTGTGAATCTTTTCCCGCAAATCGAACATTTCGATGGCTTGGCTTCGTATAGCAAGTTGACTAAACTAGCTGAAGGTTTATTGTTATTAATAAAATGCTGCAAATCTCCGCTTGAAGTCTTTTTCAGTACGTTCAATAACTCTACAAATTTCAATTTGTCGTATTCTGATCTTTGAATAGAACTGCTTTGAAGTAGTATATCCTCTAAATTGTTTATGTCGTCATCTTTATGCTGATCGGCTGAGTATTTCACTTCCGGGAACATTAAAGTGTACACTGGTTTTGAACCCGGTATTGGTTCTTGCTCTTTTTTAACTAATCCTGAAAGAATCAAATCATTGAATAGACCAAAAGCAGGGTTTACTTTTGGAATCGAAGGCTGTGGCTGTGGTTGTGGCTGTGGTTTTTGTGGAGAGCCAGAGCCAGCAGCCGCCGAAGCTGTTGTTTGTGTTTGTACTTGTACTTGAATATTTACAATATGGGACTTGATGGCTTCCAACTCTGCAGGTTTCATCTCCTCGGAGCTTAGCAACACCTTTAGCTTACTCAACGCCTTGAACCGATCTTGAAGCTTTGTGTCCCGAGTATTTAGTGCTAATTGTTTTTCAAAAACAGGTATTAACTGGTCAATATCATTAATCAAGGATTGTTGTATGGAAACACCAGGTTTTGGTGGGAGGCCGCCAACTCCAACTCCGACTCCGACTCCGTGGGCCTGCAGCACTCGAGGGCTATCGACTGCAAAAGAAGGTGTCTTTTTCGGATACCCGGCTTTCTTCAAGAACTGGTCAATTTTGGCAAGTTGATCCTTAGGGAATATCAATATCTTGCTATTCCGTAATGTACTAACTTTCCAGGTTTCAAATAGACGAACCAATTTATCTCGTATTGTTTCATTATTTAACTGGAAAACGTGAATGTAGATATTGTAAATCTCATCGCCAATTAAAATGTTGTATGGATTACCAACCACTTTGCAAATATCGTCTAGCACGTATAAAGCGTAAAGTTTTTGTTCTGGTATTGTTTGGTATATACGTTCAGTAATCAAGTCGATTATTTGATCAGCAAGTTCAAGGTGCTGTTTTGCTATCTGGGTCAACTCGGTGATTATTGGCTGCGAATTGAACGTTAGCTCATGTAGCTTGCCTTTGTACTCGGTTAGAATATCTACCATATTCTTACAATAAATTAGCTCTCTGCCCCCGCGCCTCACTCACTGAGAACGACGTGTAAATTTAAAGCTACTAAAGACTAGACGAGTGAAACGAGTCTAGTCGTTGAAAAACAGTAGATAGTAGTTCAAAATCTTTTTACTCTCTTCAATCTTTTTTTTTTCACTCAGTCGCTTACAATTTGTGTGAACAGTAACACTATCGAGCAGAGCGAGATAGTGTTGTACTAAGCTACTGCTCGATAGTGGAGCAACACTCGTTTCACTCGCCTAGTTGTAGAGAAACAATACATAGAGACTAGGCGAGTGAAACAGTACATAGAGAGACTAGGCGAGTGAAACAGTACATAGAGAGACTAGGCGAGTGAAACGAGTCTAGTCGTAGAGAAACAGTTAAATACGTAGAGATTAGACTCGTTTCACTCGTCTAGTTGTAGAGATTAGATTTATAGAGAGGGTGATTGACTAAAAACATTTGTTGTAGATCCGCCTCCCCCCCCCTCCTTTCGCAGCTAAATGAACACTAGCTGCCACCGACACTACCCAGCAGGGACCCTAGCTCGCTTTGCTCGATAGTGTCATATAGAAAAGTCAATGTACGAGAATACTGCGATGAGCTAATTCTAGAGGCTAAGCAGCATTGGTCGCTTTGCTCGCTAGTGAAGCGATGAGCTAATTCTAGAGGCTAAGCAGCATTGGTCGCTTTGCTCGCTAGTGAAGCGATGAGCTAATTCTAGAGGCTAAGCAGCATTGGTCGCTTTGCTCGCTAGTGTCGCAAAAACAAGCTTCAAACGCAATTAAGCTTTAATCAAAAGCTTGACTAGGTTTAACTTGACAATCATGTTTACCAATCTATTGTACTGATACTGTGGCAACTAGTGTGCTCCACTATCTCGCTCTGATGCTGTGGCAGCTAGTATGCTCCACTATCTCGCTCTGATACTGAGGCAACTAGTGTGCTCCACTATCTCGCTTCGCTCAATAGTGGACTATCGATAACGCCTGTCAAGAGGCATCCCCAATTGGATAAGCGCGCTATTTGTACTGTGAAGAATGAAAAAAAAAAAATTTTCTTTTTTTGTATACGGCGGAGATACATCTCTTTAACCAAAAGTAAGCTCTTTATTCTCTTTGTAAGATGTCACCAACAGCCCATTCTGCTTCAGACCAAAAGACAACCGGTCTCGCAAGAGTCCTTGGTTCGGCGACTGCGGGGATTGCAGAGATTAGTGTGTTTCATCCAGTCGATACGATTTCCAAAAGGTTAATGTCTAATCATACTAGAGTAACCTCGGCCCATCAATTAAATCAAGTGATTTTCAAAAATGCGGCAATGGAACCCTTTTTCAAAAGGGTGTTTACTTTATTTCCTGGTTTGGGATATGCGGCATGTTACAAGATTTTACAAAGAGTTTACAAATATGGTGGTCAGCCATTTGCTAATGAGTTTTTGGTCAAGAATTTTAGAGATGAGTTTGACTCTTTATTTGGCCCCAAAAACGGTAAGGCCTTAATGAGTGCCACTGCTGGATCGCTTATTGGGATTGGTGAAGTTGTTTTATTACCTTTGGATGTATTAAAGATCAAGAGACAAACAAATCCTGAGTCATTTAAAGGTCGGGGATTTCTCAAAATTATTACTGATGAAGGGTTTGGTTTATATAGAGGTTGGGGCTGGACAATGGCGAGAAACGCACCGGGGTCATTTGCATTATTTGGTGCTAACTCCTTTGCCAAGGAGTACATTTTTGGCTTAAAGGATTATACACAGGCAACATGGACCCAGAATTTCGTTACTTCGATATTTGGCGCTAGTGCGTCATTAATAGTAAGCGCTCCATTAGATGTCATCAAGACAAGAATCCAAAACAGGAACTTTGATAACCCGCAATCGGGATTTACTATATTGAAAAACATGTTCAAAAATGAAGGTATCACTTCTTTCTTTAAAGGGTTGGTACCTAAACTATTAACCACTGGACCTAAATTGGTGTTTTCATTTGCAATGGCCCAATCATTAATCCCAGCTTTTGATAAGTTGATGAAGAAATAAAAATAAAAATAAAAATAAAAATAAAATACAATAAATAGTCACGTGACTCTTGTGGCTGCCCCCCTACCCCTTCCACTTACACACCCACACGATTCTTTTGTACTGTGTATTGTGTATTGTATATAGAAACTTAGATAATCGATAATTGATAATTGATAATTGATAATTGATAATTGATAATTGATAATTGATAATTGATAATTGATAATTGATAATTGATAGTTTTATTAAGAAAAGAATGTAATCATATAGTCACGTGATTATATTCGATAATTGATCATTGACTCAATAGAGAGATAAAGAAAACTTCATAGCCTCGGTGATTACTGTATTAGGAATACACGATGCGGCTAATAATTGCCACGGCCGAAAGTTACAAAAACAAGGAGACACGTTTTGTATGACCGTCAACCGAGATGACCTAAAAAAATTTATAAATACCACTATATAACGTTAGCTTTTGTGGGTGATCTGGCCCTATGGTGACAGAACCTTAGTTTTTCACTAGTTGACCCCTATACAAAAGCAAAAACGGCTAGCTCGCTTATTTCGTAGAGCCCATTATTATACTATTTTTTTTTTTGCAAAAAAATGAAGGTTGCTTGGATAATACATTTGATAAAAATTAACATAGTACAGGTTATATTGAACAACTCAAGAAACCCATCGATAAGTATACAGTATATAGACAGTTCTATATTCAATCAGGCAAGCCGATGTTCGCCTGCAGATCCCGTGAATGGGAGTGGTGTTTATGCAGACCAAAATGCTGAAAATTACTGGATGAACAATGTCACCGATATTCCTGAGGATATGGATGAGGAGGTTGTGGTTGAAGGTTATATTTAGGGAAAACTTGATAAATGAGTTGATCTGTTGTTATACGTTACATCTCTTTGGTTCTGTTACTTCATCTCCTTGATTCTGTACTTCATCTCCTTGATTCTGTACTTCATCTCCTTGATTCTGTACTTCATCTCCTTGATTCTGTACTTCATCTCCTTGATTCTGTACTTCATCTCCTTGATTCTGTACTTCATCTCCTTGATTCTGTTACTTGTCGTTACTTGTCATCTCGTCAAGTATATCCTTTAAAAATAAACTATAGTATCCCAACTTTTGCAAAACTGGAACTTCCAAGACCCATTCTTCTCTAGTGATAACACTATCCAACTTATCCAAGCTTGTCTCGCCATTTACCAAACATAATCTAAACAATGCTTCATTCCTTTTTTGATATCTATTGAATTTTTCAATTTGTCGTTCACGTAACCCGCCTTGTGATCCCGCTAAAGCTATTGCTGACTTTAACAAGTTCTTGACGTTTTGTTCAAGTACTTTACGGTTCTGTGCCGCGATTGGCAAATCAAGTAAACTCATTTGGAGATTAATATCCACTCTTGCAATCATAAGCTCGGATATCTGTACAATTAATGAACCAATGCCCAATTCCACACCCAGTGGAGCTCTTTTTTTAATAGCAAGCGTTTCCTGAAGTAGTTCTTGTGCTTTTTTGAGCTGGGTGTTTTGGAATCTCAAAGCATCCCACAATAATTGCTGCTCATCATTATTTTTCAAACCTTCAATACTAATATCTTCTCGTTCTAAATAACTTTGGATATTATCTGAACAAACCATATATTTTTCAGCAATTTCCACTTCAACTTCTTGCAAAAAGAAATTTGACCACATTTCCATGACTTGCTGCACATTGGCCATCATTGTCAAGCCGGTTATGCTTGCGCGGATTATCTTTAATTCGCTTATTTGGTGACTAGTGATATTGTCCAACATCTCGTTTCTATTACATGTTTGTGTACTGTACTTGTTGATAAGCTCTCGTGATATTTCATCCATAGTTGATAAACATTGTGTCAACAGATGAGTTGTTTCAAGATACAGCTTATCGGTGTTTTCATAAATCGCTTGAACAAGTCTGTAGCCAAGAATAACAGTCTCGAATAAGTCCACGGGTTGAACAACCCGTTCGCTTTCATATAGTTCCTCTTCTTCCTGCCGCTGCTGCTGCTGTTCCTGCTGCTGTTGTTGTTGTGATGATGACGGCGCTGTATTTATAGCAGTATCTATCAGTAATAATTTGCTATTAAAACTCTCTAATTCCTCCACTTGCTTTTTAACAAGCTTATCAAAAATCGTCGTTGCATTTTTAAAACAAGTTACCATATTCTCGTGAATCTCCTCTTGCATCGCTTCAGACTCCATTATTTCCGTGTAAACCACCAAAGTATTGAATAGCAAATCACCCTCCTGGTCTTTAACCACTTGCAAACTTTCCAAATGTAAATTAAGAATCTGCGGCAAGTCCATAACTATAGAGTCCGAAGCATGAACAACCTCCTCGATATTCTGCAACCCGCACCTGCTCTCTATCATCCTCCTCAATCCACCGCAATCATTGAATAGAAGATACACTTGCAATGCTAATCTACAAGAGTTGTAATATGCGTCAGGAATCGGTACAGAACTCAACAGGATACACTTTCGATATGCCGTATATGCTCTTTGATAAAATCGAAGCGATTTTGCTATATCTGAACCAAGCCATCTATCTCCACTTTCCTCCTCCGATGAGCCATGATCGAAAAAGTCTTGTGGTGTAACTGGGGTTGAAACAGAAGTCAAAGTCGATGTCGATGGCAAAGACTCTTTCTTGTTACGTTTATAAATCCTACCTATATTCAGATTAGTATGCGAAGCACCAAGTTAGACCATTTCTACGATATTACATACGTCCCATTTACAAACCCTGCTAATCTCAATCAACGCGATGCCAAAATGGTCATCGCGATGAGTTCAACGCGCGATGAGCATTTGAAAAATAAATAACAATAGTAAACAAAAGAAGAGTAGAAAACAAGGTATTAAACAAGGTATTGGCAAGTGGTAATAACAACGCCAATTAAGCTTTTTCACAAAAGTTCAGTCTTACCCGAATAGTTTTGAACTATTGAGACTTCAATTCGACACTCTCGAGCAGAGCGAGATAGTGGAGCACACTGACTAGATAGACACTATCGACCCCTTAAATAAAAAAAAAAAGAACCATGGTGACAGTTATCCCTCCAAAAACTGTTACACATGATCTCATCCAGGAGCTACCGCATCCGCGATATATATATCCATTAAACATTAAGATTCGTTTGGATATACCACTCATCATAGTTTATGCTAAATCATGGGATCGCGATGATAAAAGCAAGACTCCAGGATTATTGTTAGTGACAGATTTATCCATGTGTCCCACGTATACGTGTGTTCGCAAAGGATTGTTACCACCCAAGGTTCTCGAGTATATTCTGAAGTATAAGGTATGGCCACAAGACCACATATTCAGTATAGAGATGTCGCCGAAACAACATCAAGATTTGAGTGACGAGTTTGAACGGATAAGTCCCCAAGATCCTATTTTTGCCAGGATGAATTTCGATATAAGAGTCAAGAATAAAACTGCTATTGATGGATTGACAAATCTGCTTAGGATATGTGATCGATTTAATATTAATGAGGTAATGCTGGGGGTGGAAAGAGAGTTTGTTAATTTGTTGGATAGATACGAGAAACTCCGCGGTCGCCTAGAGCTTGAGCAGGTAGTTGAGTATTTCAACTTGAGAGGGTTTATAAAAAGAAATGGTGGATTAAAGGAGGAAATTGAGAATATTTCTCAATTTCCTGAATTCAATGAAGAGCGAGATATGGGAGAAACTCAATTTATTGATCTCACTGATGAAGAGGAGGAGGAGGGGGAGGAAGAAAAGGAAGAAAAGGAAGGGGAAGGGGGGGGAAGGAAGGAGGTGGTGGAACTAAATATCGAATCTCAAATTGGAGAACTTAATAATCTGTGCGATTCAGACAGCGATATTGATGTTTCTGCTTCTAATTTAACTGAATCTGAAATATTTACTGCTCCACCTCCCAATCTGTTTGTTGAACAGAGATCAGCCCCCGCTCCCAAAGAAGCAACTCCCCCCTCTGTACCCACTTCTCCATTGAACAACACACTGGTATACGATGGTTTGTCCCCACGGCTCTTTGAGAAGATCAATACAGTCAATAAACTAAATCAGTGGAGTAAGAAGAAAACGCTGCACACAGGCCACCAGCTTGTAAATTTCGGACCAGTGAAATTGGTTGGTATGCTACCTTTCAAACCATTCACCATAAGACCATATAGAAGAACTTTGCAATTTGCACCGTTTAGAATTATATTAGAAGATGACAATAAAGACACTATATTTGTCGAAATATCCAATGATGAAGAAGTTTGCCATTTTTTCAATTTAATAGAAATTGAAGATGTTTTTGAACAAGATAGAGTTGAAAAGATGTATAATGATATAACTCGTTTGTTGGATAAAAATAGTAAAGTTCAGTTGAGATTGAAATTGCAAACAAGACAATTGATTGGTAGGTATCAAATGCACTATTGGACTTTTCACTCAACTTTAGAGGAAATTCTTTCAAGCTAATCCCAGTTTATTGACTGCCATATTTACTATTTTGCATGATAACAGTTAGCTCCTCTGTCCATCATCTACAAATTCCATTCTCAAATTCTGTTTTTCTTATAAACCGTTGTATATTAGTAAATGTACACATTAAATCAAAAAAAACCACACATAACCAAAAGCCTCCTTAGATGTAACCAATCTTGTTAGCAATATCTAAAGCATCGTGATCAGCAGTTAATCTCAAGAATGCCTTTTTAGTACCATTTGGTCTAATCAAGGTATTAACGTAATCAACATCTATGTCATATAATTCTTTGGCAGCAGCTTTGATTTGGTGCTTGTTGGCTTTAATGTCAACTTGGAAAACCAATGTGTTTGAATCTTCAACTTTCTTCATTGCAGTTTCAGTGGCAATTGGTGAAATGATAATTTTGTAAGCATCCAATCTATTGTAGTGAGGTACTGATTTCTTTTGGTATTTAGGTTGTCTTGCTAATTTTAATGTTTTTGGTAACCTGAAAGTTGTTGATGTTCTAACTTTGAGAGTTTTTGAACCATTGGTACCTTTCAAAGCAGCCTTTTTGGCAGCTGAAGCTTTCGTAGATGCTAGAGGGGTGGAAGTTAGTATACGGTCCAAAAATAAAACTTGAAAAACAATAGCCACTATAGTAATGAATATGGTGGCTTGTGGGTGTATCGCTAAGGTGACGGGTATAGTACCATGTGGGTATAGTATCTTGTGGGTATCGCTAAAAATGATGAATGATCGTAACTTGTAGATATTGCTGAAAAACGAATATCGTAGTTTGTAGATATTACTGAAAAAACGGATATCGTAGTTTGTAGATATTGCTGAAAAACAAATATCGTAGTTTGTAGATGTTTCCAGATCCCAAGTAAAAGCCTATTACAACCACTTGAAGCAGTAATCCTAGCTCGCAAAGGAGTTGAATAGGTCAACTGTTTCAAAATAATACCCAGTTCCACTTGCCTCAACACTTGCAAGCTGGGACCCCCACCCCCCTTAGGACACTTTTAAGTTACCCTTTAGTAAATACCCCTCCCATAGGATTCCACTATGTATCGTTAACATACGAGCCATTGCTAATGATGTAAATATTAATAAATGGTTAATACTCTACCTATTTCAAAAAGGTTTCAATTCCCTTGGTGAAATTTTTCACTCTCTCTTCTTCACTGTGCGCAATCCGGCAGCGCTTTGTTAGTGTGTTGCTACCAAGCGTATGAGAAAGAGATGAGGATAAGAAAATGTCACGTGTGTATAGGGCTAGAGACCTCAGCTTATATAATTTGTTTTCCCTTCTTTTTTTCTGCTCGTTGAGGGGGTGTATACTAGCTAAGGGAGTATATAGCTAAGGAAGTATAGCTAAGGAAGTATATAGCAAAGAGACGATATAGCAAAGAGACTATATAGGGAAGAGACCATATAGCCAAGAAAGTATAGCTAAGAAAGTATAGCTAAGGGAGTATAGCTAAGGGAGTATAGCTAAGAAAGTATAGCTAAGAAAGGATAGTTAAGAAAGTATAGCTAAGAGAGTAAGAGAGACACAACCAGTATATCAAGATTGTAACATTTTTGTATTTACAAACGACGTAATTTCTTTGCTCTGTTACCACCAAATTTAAGTATAGTAGCATCTGTCATTCGAACGATATTGTTCTTCACATTTGAGCCTTCTTTACCTAATAAGGCAGCTTGGAAAGCTTCTCTTCCCTTACCGAAATTCTTTAAAACCAACTCAATCTTGTCATTGGGGCCGATATAGTTTTTCTCTTCAATAGTCTTGAACATTTTAGCTGCTACTTGGAACCCTGCTTCGTATTCTTGTCTTTGCGATTTTCTAAAGCCCAACATACCTGCCGATACACTATATTTCACTTTATGAGGTAATTGTAAATAGTAGAGCACTTTTTCGTTATAGGACAAGTCTTTGTTATTTTCCATAAAGTTGAGATCTTCAACCACTGCAACTAGAGTGCACCTTGTATTGTGTCTATTGAAAGTAGCATACAATTTCCAAAACACTATTTTCTCATTAGGTTTATTTGTTGACGGCTTGTATTCCGGAAATTCCTGAAAATCCTGAAAATCCTGTTTTCTTGTTTGCGTGCTATAGGTGGTTGCCAAGTTGGATAAGGGGCTGGTCTTTTCGCTTGAGTCTATTTGAGAAGTTGGTCTTGACGTTGAGAAATACTTGTTTGACAATGATAAAGTCTTGCGAGTGGTGACAGGTTTATATAGTAGCGAGTGCACCAGCTGAAAGTTGATGTACCTCTTTAGAAACATGTTTGGGGGAAGGAGTTATATGGTTATGCTTGTTGGTGAAGTGGTGATATGGTACAGTGCACAGGTGTTGTTTGATTATGTCAAGGCATTAAGCTTTGAGGATTTTTCAATCTTTTACTAGTAGAGTAATCGATGGTGCTACCAATTGTGGATAGAAAAGCACTAGAAGTAGCGCAATGCTAGAGAGCGAAGCGAGCTAGTGGAGCAATATGTAGTGAATAGCAACTAGTGAGTAGAGATTAGTAAGTAGTGGAGTAGGGAGTAGGAAGAAGAGAGAAGAGAGAAGAGAGAAGAGGGAAAAGAGAAGAGAGAAGAGGAGAGTAAATTCAAACAGCAGTTGGAAACATTGATCAATAGAGTCGGTGTAGTCAGTGCTGCTCCACCGACACTGACTTACTCTACTATCTCGTATTCTTTGTAGCTTTGTTTTCGTTTGATATAGAAACAAATCTCGTAGTGCTAAAGATGAATCTGTTGTGTGTGTGGTCCTTTTGCACTTTCGTTATAGACATGTAATTTATTTTTTGCTTCCTTTTGGGTGCAAAATTTGGACACTAGCGAGTAAAGCGAGCTAGTGGAGCAGGAGTGAGTAGAGACTAGTGAGCAGTGATAAGAAGTAGAATAATGAGCAGAGTGGTAATGAGTAGAGTAGTGAGCAGTGAGCAGTGAGTAGTGAGTAGTGAATAATGAATAGTCTATATGTCTACTCTCTTTTCTCTTTCCACCAGACTCGCTACGCTCGTCTAGTGTCGTGAGTAGTGAGTAATGAATAGTCTATATGTCTACTCTCTTCTCTTTTCAGACTCGCTATGCTCGTCTAGTTTCGTTGTATCAAACACGAAAAAAACCCATCAAGTCTGTTTCAACAACCAAGCAAATAAAAAGACCACTTGTTTCACAATCACCTTTACTACATGTGAAAGAAATGCTCTCCTATACAAGATGCTATATCTGTTTTCTCTTTTCTCTCTCGACTAGACGAGCAAAGCGAGTATACTTCTATCTCCATACATCAACACCTTTATACAGATTGTAAACCCAACTCTATTTGGCTCCACAATGAATACTCCATGTGGCGTCCTTACACGTACATCTTAAATGCTAGTGGAGAGGAGCACTAGTGAGTAGAGACTAGTGAACAGTGATAATAAGTAGAGTAACGAGCAGACTAGTAATGAGTAGACTAGTATCAACTAATAGAGTAGTAATGAGAATGAGTAGTGAGTAGTGAGCAGAGTAGCAGTGAGCAACGAGCAGCGAGTTGTGACCAGAGTAGTAATGAGTAGAGTAGCAATGAGCAATGAGTAGTAAGCAGAGTAGTAAGGAGCAGAGTAGTAGTGAGCAGAGTAGTAATGAGCAGAGTAGTAATGAGTAGAGTAGTGAGTAGTGAGTAATGAATAGCCTACATCTCTCTTCTCTTCTCTCTTTCGACTAGACTCGCTATGCTCGCCTAGTCACTTGCCTAGTCACTTGCCTAGTCTCTTGCCTAGTCTCTTGCCTAGTCTCTTGCCTAGTCTCTTGTCTAGTCTCTTGTAGTCTCTTGTCTAGTCTCTTGTCTAGTCTCTTTCGACTAGACTCGCTTTGCTCGCCTAGTTACTTGCCTCGTCTAGTCTGAGGATAGGAAAAAAGAACAAAGTGTTTGATTAACAACAAAGGTTTTACAAGTACACCAAAAGAAAAAAACCTTACTTGGAGTAAAAATTAAACGTCCAAGTGGCTCTTGCATTAATTGGTCCCACTGGTGTTTCAAAAACTCACATATAGTGAGGAGCTTTTAGAGGTTTAATTATATATTACTAGTCTATTAGACTTGTTAGAGTTGGTTTATTTTGAGTTGAAGCACGCTTTGGAAAGCACTAGGGGGTAATCAAAGATAAAGCTATTTGGGCACACATTTTGGAAAAGAATGACACAATCAACAGAAACTCCGGCTACCCAGAATTTGTACCATCGGGATCCGCTGCACCAGCAGCAGCAGCACCATCACCACCATCACCACCACCAGGTACAGGTACAGGCACCACCGGCGCAAGTGCACGAATACACTTTGCCTCAAGTTGTCAATAACAAGACATCCACGGCAAATCGAATGACAATACGCGAATACAAGAAAATTGGGGAAGGCGCGTTTGGAACCGTTGTTGAAGCAGTATTGAGGTATGACAATTCAGAACCAAATTCCAATATATCGAGTACCACCAGCAGCAGCGGTGTCGGTGTCGGTGTCGGTGTTGGTGTCGGTGTCGGTGCCGGTGCCGGTGCCGGTGCCCTTGCCAAAGACGAATGGTTGGGACCTTTTGCCATCAAGCGAGTACCCGCACAAACCGAGTACAAATCAAGAGAATTGGAAATATTGAGAGTTGTCCAGCACCCTAATATAGTCAGTTTACGATTCTTTTTTGATAAAAAGAGCTCAATTGATAATAAAGTGTACCAAAACTTGGTGATGGAATGCTTACCCTCGAATTTGCAATCTGAAATCAAATTTTATCGACAATCAAAGTACACCATCCCTTACCCGCACATGAAAGCATACACTTTCCAGTTGGCAAGGGCAATGTTATACCTACATGGATTCGGTATAAGCCACAGAGACATAAAACCATCAAATGTCTTGGTTGACCCTGCAACCATTCGATTAAAGATTTGTGATTTTGGTTCAGCAAAGAAATTGGAACCAAATCAACCTAGTGTTAGTTATATATGTTCTAGGTACTACCGAGCTCCTGAGTTAATTGTTGGTTGCTCATTATACACCACGAAAATAGATATATGGGGCTTGGGGTGTGTTGTTGCCGAGATGTTTTTGGGTAAGCCCATTTTTCAAGGACAAGCTCCTGAATCACAATTGAAAGAAATTGCAAAATTGTTAGGACCACCACCAAATACTTTTTTCTTTAAAAGTAACCCCCAGTATCGCGGCAATATGTACACTACAAAGCTATTCAGCTGCTCAGTTGAAGAAAGGTTTAGCAATATTTTTAGCAATTCGCCTCCAGACGCAATTGATTTATTAATGAAGATTTTGGTATATGATCCAGAATCAAGAGCCAGTCCTCGAAGAGTAATGGCGCACCCATTCTTTGATGAATTGAAATCAAAGGAGTTTAAAGTATATCCTAGAGGTTCTTCCACTGCAATTGAGTTGAAATTGTTTAATTTTAGTGAATTTGAATATGAATTATTGGGTCCCTATAAAGAAGTACTTAAAGTGCAACAGTGAACAGGATTAATCACGATACTTTTATAGGGAACCACCCATGTCTCGAATCACGACTCATTTTCACATTCACTAATCCATCATATCAATGTTTTAGATTCCTTTATTTTTTCAAAGTATCAATTAGTTGACGAGCGTTTTAGATTCTCCTCCTTTTTTAATAATATCAATTAATTTGATAGGTTTTATAGAATTCTTCTTCCTCTATATATATAAAAAAAAAAAAGGAGGAAAGGGGAAATACACTATTCATAAGCATCAAAATAAGCACAGGTGGAAGGAGTTAGGAAGGGAAGCTGTCCTTTTGCCCCTAACCTTTTTCTATTGTAGTCTCTCTTTCTTTTTTGGTCTCTTACTCTTTCTCTTACTCTACAACGCCAAGCTGTAGCTATATTCATCCTCGATGTTCTGTGATAACCACAAGACAATGCAACTCAACATCACACAGCAATTGCAAACGATATTAGCAACACCCATGCCCAATGTAGGGAAACCATAATGTTTCATCAAATATTTTAATATGAAAACCATAAAACTACCAGCTACACCACCAGCCAATAAACTGAAACCCAAAAACAAAATGATCCTGGCAGCCCATACGTAATTTCCTGAATCATCAAATAAGCCACCGGCATTGGTACCGCCTTGCTGGTCTGTATTCATTAAATTATTCTTCTCGATAGAATTGACAATTAGCATTCCAAGCAGAGAACAAATCAATGGGATCCAATCTATAAATGTGACATGGACATTTGAAGCATTCACCGTTTTCGAGAAGATAGCAGCATCTATCAATGACCAGAATCCTATGGAGAACAAGGCGCCTGAAAAGTAGATTCCAAATGCTCTCAACCTAGCCGATTTTGGGAGTCTTAGTTGTGACAAGCTGAATCTGAATAAGTTGCTTGATTGGTGATGGTCCATGGTAGAGTGTATTGTTAGTAGGCGCTATTTGTATATTGCTAGTAGGTAATATCTTGATTGCTAGTAGGTAATATCCTGATTGCTAGTTGGTAATATGTTGGTGATGTTTTCCTCTTTTTATTTGCGTGCTTCCATACAAGGTTAGGTGGAAAAAAAATCAACTTTGCTTGTAGAAGGCCAAACCTTTGAAGATTTATCAAAAGGAGTAAGAAAGGGCGAAAAACGATTGAGCGACAAAAGATTGAGCGACAAAAGATTGAGCGGAAAGATTAAAAGGTTGAGCGAAAAGGAAGGGTTTGAGTTTGTTTGGTTTATTGAAAGCGAGAAATGGGGGTAACGTTACATGAAAGGTGCAACGACAAGGACACCAACGTTGATGTTGACAATGACAGTGACGGTGCTAGTGCTAACATCGTCAAGGAAAACGAGTATGATTTGTATAACCTTGTATACACATTTAAAGAGACACAACCTGTAACAGCAGTGAGAATATCACCCGATGGAACCTTGTTAGCAGTATCTACAGCAAAAGTTGTTAGAATCTTTAATCTCGAGACAAGAGGTCTTGTAACCGAGCTAGTTGGGCATACAAAGAATGTATCGGATATAAAGTTTTCGCCTACAAACTCATCGATTATAGCATCGTGTTCAGACGATTTAACAATTCGAATATGGTCGTTTAACAAGCGTGCTTCGTCATCCAAGTGTCTCAAGGTGTTCAAAAAACACACGTATCATGTCACCACCATCCAGTTCAACTCCAAGGGAAACTTGCTAATCAGTGGTTCAGCAGATGAGACAATTACGATATGGGATATTATTTCGGGAAGGAGCCTAACGACACTTGCTGCCCATTCTGATCCCATATCAAGTCTTACACTAACACCAGATAATTCTATAATAATAAGTGCCTCATACGACGGCTTGATTAGATTATTTGATTTAGAAACTTTTCAGTGTTTAAAAACGCTAACAACAAATACGTCTCATGGAACTGCAACGGTATCGCTTTCTACTAAAGATTTGCAAAATTTTCCAATTGGTTATGTTGAAATATCACCAAATGGCAAATTCGTGTTAAGCACTAGTCTAGATGGTGTTATTAGACTATGGAACTACATGGAGAATAAAGTCGTCAAAACGTTTATTGCTGGCGAAGATAGTGTCGTTTGCGTAAAGTATAATTGCGAACTGAAATTTGTCACTTTTAGTGGCAATAGCAGTAGCAGCAGTAGCAGCAGTAGCAGCAGAAGCAGCAGAAGCAGCAGCTTGATTGTTAGTGGCAGTGATTCAAATGGCATCCTATGTTGGGATATCAAACTGAAGAGCTTAGTATGGCATTACAAAGGTGAGCAAAAGGGCAACAAAAGCATATCTCCTGTTTTATCGTTGGATACCTTTGAGGAAGGAAGAGTTTTGGTGAGCGGCGCATTAGATGGGGTGGTAAACGTCTTTGAAATTAATCCTCAAGCACACTATCGAGAAGAGCAAGATAGTGGAGTACACTAGCTGCTACCGAAATAGTTTTGCTCGATAGTGGAGCACACTAGCTGCTGCGGACATAGTTTTGCTCGATAGTGGAGCACACTAGCTGCTACCGACATAGTTTTGCTCGATAGTGGAGCACACTAGCTGCTACCGACATACACGGGTTTGATTAAAACTTTATTGATTGTTGCGAAAAAGTGATGGGTTTTTTGCTTGCAAAAAATTCAGTGAGCTTCCTTCATTCGTTTAATCCATGAATCCATTAAACTTTTCTCAATCTCGTCAAATCGGCTTGGCCACACTAATTCATCTTTAGCTTCAAATTGCGCAGCAGCAGCATTCATGGTAGATGTCGCAACGGATGCTGTGTTTGACCATGGACTATCTCGTAAATCTCTATTTTTCAAACTGCTTGGAAGTATCAATTTACCCAATGATTGGTTTCTTTCTTTACTCAATTCTTTGAAAACTATCCGAAGAAACTGAAATAAAACTATTTTGTTGTCTTTTTCAAAAATGAGTGACATCATATCTTTATTTAACCGTGCTATTTGGTCTCGTTGATTCTTTGTTAAGTTTAATCTCGCATCGAGTTTTATAAGTGATTTATTGAGTATTCCTTTGTAGAATTGTTCACAAACATTTCTGGTAAGTAACGATGTTGTAGTAGTTTGTATTGGAGCTTCTTCTTCTTCTTCTTCTTCTTCTTCTTCTTCCACCGCTGCCTGCTCATCCCCTTTTTCTTCCTCCTTCCTCTGCTCATCCTCTTTTTCTTCCTCCTTCCTCTGCTCGACCTCTTTTTCTTCCACCTTCTTCTGCACATCCTCTTTTTCATCCACCTTCTTCTGCTCATTCTCTTTTTCTTCCTCCTCCTCTTCCTCCTCAATTAAGCTGATGTCAAATTGTACCCCCATTTTGTCCATTGTCCCTGTCCCCTCGCCATTCCACTGTACTTGATTTCTATAAATATTTGTTGGCACATAAAAGTTCTGCTTCCTAATGCTTTGGTTTTCTTGATTCCACAACTGTTTTCTAGTAATCAACTTTTTTACAAACTTTCGACTATTGGATATTTTACGATTTAAAAACTTGTGCTTAATCAATTTTTTACCGTTATATCGAATCTTTGCATCTTCAATAAAGCAGCTCTTGAGGAAATCTCTAAACTCGTCACTGATCTCCAACTTGTCTAGTTCAATCATCTTGATGAAATCGCCATTTTGTTCACATTGTGATATTTTTCGTAGTGCCTTCATCGGTGCATAATGGTTCTGTAAGGGTGGTTTCCCAGTAAACATTTCGTAGCAACAACATCCAAGAGACCAAATATCTGCTTTAAAACTGTGACCGCCATTGGAGTTGAGAATAACTTCGGGAGCCATCCAATATGGTGTACCTACTGTTGTATTTCTTTTGGAAAAACTCGAGCTTAACTGAGTGCTAACCCCAAAATCGGTTAGTTTAATCTCTCCATGCTTGTTGATTAGAATATTCTGGCTTTTCAAATCACGATGTATTTTACCTTGATTATGTAGATAGTTCAATGCCAGGACAATGTCCAAAACAATTATAGAAATCGTCGTTTCATCAATAGTCCCAGCCTTCAATAACTCAAATATAGACCCGCCATCAACAAATTCCATGACTACCCACAATTTGTAGTTTTTAACAAATGACCCATAATACGATGTAATCTGCGGTGACCTACATTCACTCATTATCTGAATTTCCTTATTGATTTCAATTAAATCTGTTGCATCTTGTTCTAAATCTATTTGCTTAATTGCAACTTCTTCCTGGCTCGATTTAATTATCCCTCGGTATACAACTCCAAATCCGCCTCGTCCTACTTCTTCAAATACTTCTAGCTCATCACTAGACTCTACTCTCATGAGGCCAAAACCCAATTCCAACCGAAATATACTTGCACTTTTCCTCGAACCATTCACCTAAACCTGTACTGTTTTAATTTTTCACTTTTTTTTTTTTTTGTTTGTTTGTTTTGATTGCGAAAAAAAATTGTGCAACATTGCAACTTCCTTTATCGGCTAGAAACGGTTTTTTTTTTGCAAAGTAAGTAAAAGGTTGAAGAGTAGGTTGTTAGTGGTCAAACGCTGGATTTCTGTTGGACGTTGAGGTTGTTTTAATAAATTATGATACCCAGGGTACTGAGATTTATCAATTTTTTTGGTATTTGTCGGATACTGCGACGTGGAGTATGCTCATCGCGACGATTTCTTTTACCGGCTAAAAGCTCATCCGAAGCTCATCATCGTCACCATAATCGTGATCAGCGTGCTGGAACAAGGTCTAAAGGTGATAGCTTTGAAGATTTGTTTATTTCAAAGACACTTTCGTCGTCGTCGACCAAGAATGCCGATAGCGAGTTGATCAAATGCACGGTATTTGATGCTAAAGGTGATATGGTATGTCATGGCAAAGATATCCCCAAATCGGAATTCATGAAACAGTACCATTTAGTTCCACGAGATTTTCGAAAGATATCCAAGCATTCAACTTCGGCAACTGCCACGAAATCACCATCGCTAGTGCTACACAATATTGAACTTGTGCCTAGTTTAGTAACTAGAAAGAGCTGTATAATGTTGAATTTGCTAAATATTAGAGCGTTAATCCAGCGTGATAAAGTGACAATATTTGGATCTAATGCCTCAGCTTCAACTCCCTCGACAAAAATGCACGAGAGCCGGTCACAGTTGCAGTTTCTTCATGACTTGGGGGATAAATTAAAGACCAAACCCACTCAGCATCAAGAGGGGGGAGTAGGAACAAGGGAAGGAGTAGGAGTAGGAGTAGGAGTAGGAGAAGCGTTGGGAGTAGGAGAAGGAGAACTATATTACGAATTCAGAGCATTGGAAGCAATATTAATGCACGTTATTGCAAATCTTACCACAGAGATGAAAGTCCACCATACAGTAGTGACTAATATTCTTGAAAGTCTAGATGAAAGCATAGAACGATTTAAGCTCCGATATTTATTAATTCAGCTGAAGAAATTAGCGCTGTTTGAACAGAAAGTAACGTTGATTAGAGACTTGCTAGAGGATCTTCTTGAAAGAGATGACGAGTTGAATGATATGTATTTAACCGATTCAAGAACCGGCACAAACCACGCAGAGGTTGAAATGTTATTAGAATCGTACTATAAACATGCTGACGAAATTGTTCAAACCGTGGGGAACTTGAGATCTCAAATCAAGACTACCGAAGAAATTATTAACGTTTTATTGGACTCAAATAGGAACGAATTAATGCTACTAGGTTTGAAATTTTCAACAGGGTTGTTATCTATGGGTATTGCATTATACCTTGCTGCATTATACGGAATGAATTTGGAAAATTTTATAGAGGAAACCGATAACGGATTCGAGTGTGTTATTGTAGTTTCTACTTTGGCATTGTTTGCATTGTTGTTTATCACTAGGAAGCAATTGAAAAAAGTTGAAAAAATCACAATGACAACATTCAAAGATGGTAATCGTTAAAATCAACGAAACGTGATGTTTTGTATTTGCATTTATATTTTATAGTGTCCTTCAAATTCAATATCCATCTTTGGCACGAGGAATGAAGTACTCGCACTTCTCGCTCTACGCGGTTCAGAATTTTCATCATGTAAATATTTTGGTGAACCCAATGGTGATGGAGTTGGTGTAGATCGAGTTTTGAAAGGTCTCAAGGAAAAAGCTTCTGCACTCAAGGCTTGTGGAGCTTTGAGATTGGAAAAATCTTGTTTCAGAAAGAGCAACAGCAGCAGCTGTTGCAGCTGTTGCTGTTGCTGTTGCTGCTGTTGCTGCTCCTCCAGTGGAGGTGTACTAACGACATTACTAGTTTTTGACTTCTCATCGGTAAGTAATACTTGAACCGTTTCTTCCTTTGGAGTCTTTGGTGGTTCATTCAGCTGAGGTTGAAATTGAAACTTTTGTTCTTGCAATGGTATCATCCTCTTTACTTGTAATCCAGATTGTTTTTCAATCTCTTTTTTCTCTATTAGTTTCTTTTCATAATTTACTATAATATGGAAAAGCTCCAACCTAATCTCAGGGTTTATCAAGTTTGCCAATATCTCCACATAGGTCAGTAATGGAGGTTTGAAGCCTGTAAAATTCTTGGCCAAGCATGGTCTCATTATCAAATGCACAAAAGGAATTCCTCCAATCACTTGCATCAGGTTCAACTCTTTAGAAACCAGTTCCAATAACGAGTCATCTTTTGTTGTAATTGAAGCTTCAGGAAAACTGTCAGACAAACGATAGTTACTAAACGTGTAAATGTCAAAGACTTTGCAAATATGTTCCATAATACATAATAACGATGCCAAGTTGCTTCTGGGTATCGACCCCAAATGCTTGATCAAATTGCTTTTAGTGTCTTTCTTTCCATCTTCTGCATACTCATTTACTACAGAATCAAACACAATGAAAGGTATCACAGAATCCTTGATCTCCATTAACCAACATTTTAGAAACACAATCACCTCCTCTGTTTTTCTTGACTTTAAATTATCTATAACCATAGTGATAATGGCACTTGAGACTGTAACATTGCTTTGAATTTCCTGCTCTGTGCCAGTGGCGTAATCTGCAATTAACTGAGTCAACTCCTGTTTGACTCGCCATTGAGATTGGAAGTCAATTGGCTGTAGCCAGAGTTTCCGAAGATGGTTGATGTCTCCTTCCAACTCTAGGATGCTTATTATTTCATAAAGAAGTACTGGAACAGATGCCACGCTCAAAACACGCTTCTCTTCTTCTTTTTCTTCGAAAACCTGGCAATTTAACAACTGCAATGGAATATCGTTAAACAAATCAAACTGCTTCTCTAGATTTTGCGGCAAATTGCCAACTTGCTCGCGCTCCTTTTGTGGGAGGAGTGGGTGTGATATTGGAAAATAAATGCCACTCTTAAAATTTTGCAAAGCAGTATCGAAATCTGATTCGTAATTCGATACCTGATTTATCTGCGTAATAGTTTTGGAAAATTTGTCAATAGATGCAACTTGTTGGTGATGAAAATGGACTATGAGATCCAGTAACTTTGCTGAGCATTTATAGATTATTTGAATCTTTACTTTTTCAAATTTTTCCAAATACTGCGATATGTCAAATAAACCCTTTTCCAAAAAGTAAACATATTCTTGTAACTCTAATATCTGGTCGTTGTACTGGTCTAGGAGCTCCGCTAAAATCTCAGAATGGTTTGTTTTCAATATTGAACTCTTTACCGTATTAAACATTGCGTTGAATCTAGTGGTTGTTTCCGCCATGTTATTCATCAATTTTGAAGCAGGGGAGGTCATTTTGTGGTTGTTTGATCTTGCTGAATTCTTTGATGGCAAAGTGCGTGCATCAGAAGAAGAAGTTGAAGTAGAAAAAGTACGAGAATGGGAATGAAAAGACTTGAATTCAGCAATTTGCAAAGCTAAATCAGACCATTCAAACCAAACTGCTTCACTTTTGAATTTTCGCAGAAATATATTTGTTGGAGTAATGAGCTTTAAATCGAGAAGACCCTGGCCAAACTTTTCAAGATTCGATCTTGATGGACTCAATCCTCGTATTCTTAAACTGGTCAACACATTGCATATAGAATCACTTACAAATATTTCTTCCTTATACCCAGGTAGCGGAATCGTTCTTTTTGTAGTGGGGGTTTTGGCTATAAGTTGAGATAGCGTTATTTTTAGTTCTTCCAAGTTGTCAAAAGTCGCTGGACCTATACGCAAGGGAAATCTCAATCTAATTGTATTCTTCTTCTCCTCTTCCTCTTCCTCCTCTTCTTCTTCTTCTCCCACATATGACGCCTCCTTTCTCGCCTCCTTTCTCGCCTCCTCTTCTTGTTCTTCTTGTTCTTCTTGTTGTTCTTCTTCCACATATGACTCTTCGTCACTATAGTCGGATTCCTCTCCTTCTATTTTCATCCTTCTCTGCTTAGCAATTGCAAACTCCTTCAAATGCAATTGCTCGACGTACTTGTGTTTAGTTTTGGAAATATTCTTCAACAATTTGACATACTCATCATACAACTCCTCTAACCTCGAAAGCTCCCGTTTGATCTTTGGTTCATGAAATTTCAAGTACTTGGTTATATCGTCAACAACATATTTATCTATGCTTGCCGCCAAATTCAGCATAATAACCGATTCTGACTCCATCTCACTTATAAAAGTGTTATAACATGAGTTCAACAGTAACGACTCAATACCATTGGCAAACGAACATTCACCATCAAATAGCTCCCTAATGGACTTGGCAAAATACTCGCTATTCAGAAAGTAATATTTCAAGTAACTGAAAGCTAGTTTTCTAAAATCATGTAATTGGTTTATCGATAACGTTGATTCTTGTTTCAATCGCGATAATCCTGTAATGTAATCAGCCGACCAAAAATTATCTGCAAAAAACCTTGATCCCATAATGATAGCTCCCCCCTTCCTTCCTCCTATATCTGTCTCTCTCTCTCTCTCTTTCCAAGCCCAATGACGGCTAGTGTGCTCCACTATCTCGCTTGGCTCGATAGTGTCGGATAAAGAAGCGCGATGGAAAAGATTTGATGATAATAACAAATCTTTTCTCATCGCGCCAATTAAGAAATAAAGAAACGAATCAAGAGAAGTTTGGGGTTTAGAGCTTTTACCTTGCCCCGGCTAGATTTCTTGTGTAGTGTAGACTTTGTTGAGGCTGATGAACCAAGAACTTGAGGATGACAAGTTGCAATTGGTTCAACAGTGTGAGGATTTGAAGCGGGAGCTAGAAATTATGTATGAAGATATTGCAAGGTTATCAAAAGAGGATAACAAGATTTCAAAAGAGTTGGCCAATTTGGAAAAAAAAACGGGTGAAGAGGGAAAAGTTGGTGTTGTAGTGCAAGAGGTGGGGTATGGCAAACGGAAGAATGGACCAATTGTTGATTGGTTTCCTAATGGCGATGCTGAAATTCCAATTATCAAGCACTCGTATTTCGATGTGTGTATTGAAAAGTTTTTTGAAAACACTATCGACCGACACTATCGAGCGAAGCGAGATAGTGGAGCACACTAGCCGTCATCGACACTATCGACACTATCGACCGACACTATCGAGCGAAGCGAGACAGTGTTGTGACAGGCTAGTTAGTATTGCTCGATAGTGGAGCATACTAGCCGTCACTGACACTATCGACACTATCGAGCGAAGCGAGATAGCTGAGCACACTAGCCGTCACTGACACTATCGACACTATTGAGCGAAGCGAGACAGTGTTGTGACAGGCTAGTAAGTATTGCTCAATAGTGGAGCATACTAGCCGTCACTGACACTATCGACACTATCGAGCGAAGCGAGATAGTGGAGCACACTAGCTGTCATCGACACAATCGAGCGAAGCGAGATAGTGGAGCATGCTAGCCGTCACTGACACTATCGACCGACACTATCGAGCGAAGCGAGACAGTGTTGTGACAGGCTAGTTAGTATTGCTCGATAGTGGAGCATACTAGCCGTCACTGACACTATCGACACTATCGAGCGAAGCGAGATAGCTGAGCACACTAGCCGTCACTGACACTATCGACACTATTGAGCGAAGCGAGACAGTGTTGTGACAGGCTAGTTAGTATTGCTCAATAGTGGAGCACACTAGCCGTTATCGACACTATGGACACTATCGAGCGACACTATCGAGCGAAGCGAGATAGTGTTGTGACAGGCTAGTTAGTATTGCTCGATAGTGGAGCATACTAGTCGTCACCAATACTATCAATCGACACTATCTCACTCTGCTCGATAGTGTCGTAACAGGCTACTTAGCGTTGCTCGATAGTGGAGCACACTGACTAGCTTCTACTATCATCTGCATGCTTTAGATGCTACACACGGGTTTGATTGCATCCTTTTCGCTAGTCAGTGTTGCTCCACCATCGACCAGAGCGGGACAGTGGAGCAACACCGACTAGCTACACTATTTAATCCACTCTTTCTATTTGGTTGGGCCCACATCAACAACAAATAAAACATAGAGAATAGCATAGAGAATAACATAGACAAGTACAACATTGAGAATAACATAGACAAGTATAACAATGAGAATAATATAGAGAAGTAACATGGTTTTCCTTTGCATGATAATAACCGTTCTAAATACTTATTCATTTTTCTTTCTTTATATAACTAATAATCAACAAATACTTTTTCTTTTTGTTCTTTTGGAGATATTGTTTGCTTAAAAAGCATTGCCAAACCCTGCTCCAGTTGATTGGAACCCTAAAACGCTAGTGCTAGTATTGGAGAATCCAGTGTTTTGGAAACCCATAGGACCATTAGTAAGCATTAATGGCGCAGCGCCACTACCGTTGCCGCCATCTTCATCGCCTCTTTCATTGCTCTGCCTCTTTTGCAAATCAGCATACACTTCATTCAACTTCTTTTGGTTTTCGTAGACTATTGAAATTTCGTATGGTTTTATAAAATTGGCCAAGTTATGCAACCATGATAATTCCAAAACGTAATCATTAGCAATGAATTCATATGAGGTGTACAATAATGCAACAAAGCATTCGTGGTTACCAGTTTCTACAAAATAGTCCATAATATCATGAGCAATCTTGCAAGATTTTGAAATAGCAACAGTGCGAAGCAAATCCGACCACAATTTATCTGCCTTAAGAATCGAAATGGCCTTGTTATACTTCTTCTCTTTGGCGTATAATGTAGCGGCAATTTGTCTGAAGAATATCAAATCGTGTTTTTCTAACCGTTCTGCAAGATCCAATTTGTTAAACCGGTTATTTGATTCATTTTCAATCGATGATCTAAGAGATTTGTAGTCTTCTTCTTCAATAAGTAAATCATGGTATGCGGAATTGACCACGGAGTTGTTCTTTTCCAATACCGAAATGAGGAATGGCTTGATCATTGGCAAATTGTCACTCTTTACAAACATTCTTACTACTCTGGGCAAGTCCAATTTCGGAGTAAGCACTGCTAACAAATCAACCAATAATGATGGATTCTCATTTAAATAAAATTGAATGGCCTTGTAATAAATTTCCAAATTGGGTGCTTTAACAATAATCTCCTTGAAGGACGAATGGTCAAAAGCAACCTCGGATCTCTCAATCATAGTTAATGCGGCGTTATCCCATTCTTCATAGTGGCAATAAAGGAATATTAACTCGGGATACAAATGAGCATCCTCGCAAGCAGTCAACACCTTGGGGATATTGATTCTTGACCAAAACAATTTCAAATGTTCCATAACTTTCTCGGGGCTGTATTTGGAATACAAGATAGCCAACTCAGTAAACATACCCATATGAGCCCTTTCCAAACCTAATCCACTCTCAAACAAGGAAATCAATTCATTAAAGTATCCGTTGTATTCATAAGTCTTTACCAACTCAGGCAATTCCTCAGCATCAATTATCAAATTCAATCCACAAATTTGTGCTAATCTAAATTCCTTATTCTCAATACATGCATTATTCACTTGTTTCCAAACTTCAATATTCGAAGCTTTTCTTGCACAATCTACTGCTCCTTGGAAATCCTCCAAGTACACCAATGTAGTTGCCAATTTGGAATACTTGGAAACATTTGCAAACAATATCTTTGCTGCCTTATAGTTCTTAGCTTCGAATAACTTATCTCCAATAGTTTCCAAATCTGCAACATTGGACCCTGCTACAAATTTCTCCATATCACTTAGTCTGTCTAATGTAGCATAAACATTAATGAAGGCACCATCAATAACAGGCTCTCTCAACGTCTCTCTGGCCATTTCTAAAAATGGTAACAACTCTTCCTCTTTACCTGCATGTTCGGCAATATCGATAACTTGTTCAAAGTTCTCGGGGTTCTTGGATTTCACATAAGACTCGATAGCTTCAGGAATACGTAAACCGTCCAATTGAGCAGTACCCAATTGATACCATAATTCAGATGTATCGTATTTTTCAGCATATTGTTCTGCTCTGTCCAAGGAAACGATATCTTCAATCAAAACCTTCATAGCCTCTGATCTCAACTCGAATTTATCGTATACTTGGAATGCCTCCTCAGCTAACTTATTATCAATACACAATGGTGCTATTTCGTGAGGATCAAATTTATCCAATTTTTCAATATAGTTGGAAACCTTTGATGGATCAGCCTTGATAGCTGTAAGAATCATCAAGCCTTGCAATGAAGCATTTTCACTAAATGGTGATGGCTCTAAAATGATTTTTTCCAATAACTCCATAAGTTCTTCAGGAAGATCATTTTCCATAAACGCTTTAACTGTGATTGAAATTGGTTCAGGGTCATCCAATTCTGGTATACCAGTTGATATAACTTGATCAATCAATTGTCTACGGTGAATGTTATCTGAACTGAAAACCTTATTCCACAAATCAAGATCAGATTTATGTAACAAATATCGAGCTTGGTATTTGTACATCTTGTTTTCATTTGTAATCTTGATCAACTCGTCATCATTGCCACCTTTGGAGTATGAGATGTAAGCCAAGTAAGGGTCTCTCTTCTCACAATATTTACCAACTACCAAAGTATCATAATTGTTATTTTCTTGCAAGAATTTCTCTGGTGAGTTGTTTGAATCAATATAGATTTTGGCTAAAGTATTGAAAACTTCTTGATCGTTGGATCCGCCTTCCAATGTTTTCTCCAAATATGGCAACAAAATCTTTAATCTGTTTCTTTTTTCAACTTCTTCAACTAATGGCTTGATTGGGACACGGCCAAGAACAGACATTAACAAATTCTTAATGACATTTTCGTCACAGTCAACATCCAACAATCCAGCAATAACTTGAGGAGTATTAGAAGGATTGACTGATTGAACATAAACTTCAATAAATTTGAAATACTGATTCTTGTACAAGTACAAAATCAAATCATGGACAAAATTGAATCGATCACAAACAATAACCAAGGGTAATTGATCATCCAATTTGAATTCTTTCAAAAAGTTCTTTACTCTTTCTCCGTTGTAAACATTGTTATCTCTAACAACTCTTTCAATTTCTTTGGTCTGTCCCATTCTTGCTGCTGATTGAATATACTTGAAAACGACATCAGGATCTTGAGTCAAGTTGACGATGGAGCTCAAAAAATAGTACAACCCTTCATTGCACTTGTATTCCTCGAACAATTTGATTAATTTTATAGCACCAATCAAATCACAATACTTTGTAGCCACTTGTATAATAACTTGCAAATTCTGGGCCATGTTGTGACTCAATAATTCGCGAAGACAAGCTATAGATTGATCAACATTCAACTGACCAAAATAGGAAACTAGCCAGTCATTAGGTAAGACGTTGGTATGTACAATAACCCGCTTTATATCCTTCAAGTCGTCATAATGCTCCAAGGCTCTTTGAAACAAACCTGACTTCTCACATAACTTCCCAATTGTTGGCTTATCATAGTGGCTAAACATTTGATTCCCTAATATTGCATCAGCAACTTGTGGTGCATGCAATAAATTGATTTCCAATACTTTTGTTTGCAAGTGTCCTTCAGATGGCAAATCATTTTTTAAAGCATCTAACAAAAAGGCGGTACCTTGTTGGATATAGTTTTGAGAAAAGAATAAATCTGCAATTTGTTCAATATTTAATTTAACTTCAGGAGAGTTCAACAAGGATGTAGCAAATTCACTAGCTTTATCTGGGTTAACCCTAACCAAGTTTTGAATCAAGCTGGTATAATCCGGCATATATCCAACTTTTTCACAATAAGGTAAAATTTTATCAAATTGTCCCAATTCAGCTAGACAAGAAACAACCTTGACGTTGACATTGGCTCTAATGTACACGGCCAAGGCCAAAGCAGCATCACCATAAGATTTGACAATATCACCCAACTCTTCGGACGAGGTTAATTTATCCTCCTTCAACCATTTTTCAAACAATGGTTTACGATCTTGTTGTAATACGGGTTTGGCTAATTCAATAGACTCGTACTTGTTCAAGTTTCCTCTATCCAATAAAGTTGAAAAATATTGTAAAATTGGAGATATCTGCCCTGGTTGTGGAGTGATGTGTTTCAACTTGTTAATAGTATCCTGAGTTCTCAATTGTTCCAGGGATGCGGCTATTTTAGCGGCATTAGTATAATCCCCCTGATTCAAGTAATTTTGAAATTGTTGATTGAATAAATTTTCCGCTCCAGGGAACCCGCCACGAGACGATAAACTTAAAGCCAATTGTACGTTGGCCAATTTTTCCAACACATAGGGGATAATTTTTTCTCTTGATACTTCAACGCTCAAAACCTGGCCGGACTTGTTAACGGTCAAAATACCGGTACCATTATTATAACTAGTGGCGGTGAAGACGGGATCAGCAGTGATTCGATTAACAAATAGGTTAAAGCCCGACTCCATGTCATATAAATGAATGAACCCATATTTGGTCAAGATATAAACGATTCCATATCTGTTTGATGCCTGTAAACTTATTGGAAAATCATTTGATGCATCTGGCGGGAAAAAAATATCAACGACTTTCTTTTGAAATGAGGGATTTCCTTCAACGTGGTCAATTTCAATAATGTGCATATTTCCTTGTCCCTGGGCGTTTTTGTTACCAACGCAGAATACCTTGGTAGGTTGTGATGCGCCAGTCAAAGTCAATGAAGCAAATTTACAAACGTGACCTTCAATAGCTTGAGATACGTTTCTTGATCTTGAGTACAACTGTATATGCCCAGCAATTCTACCATCTTCTTGAGCAATCCCGGTTATAGCAAACCAATTCAATTCTGTTGGCTCAGCAACAAAATTGATAATCTGAGCATTGTTCAAAGAATGGTGGCGATCAGTGAGCTTTATGGGACCATCATTGCTACCGTCGAACACGTTCCAGAGATAAATCAGCGCTTGAGTCACAAGACCCAAATGCTGGTTATCGAGCCATTTCCAAAAAACTACTGGCTCTTGCATAGTATGAGCCTTCAATCTCTGCTTAGTGCCCAAATTGAAAATCTGCAATGTTGTGCCGTTGGCTCTCAAACTGATTATGTTCTCTGTCGGGTGCATTATAGCATTATCAGCGGTCATATTTTTTCTAGTAACCTCATTATTATTCTTCAAGTCAACAATAGCAACCGTATTACCCTGAGAACCTTGTTCACGACAGCATATATAACGGTCGGACTCCAAAGTAGTCGATTTGAAGTCCAACGAGGAGGGTGATATACCCAACTGTGTCAACTGAACCAACTCGGTGAAATCAATGGGAATATCCGACATTGTTTAAAATAAAATACAACAACAACCGAAAAAAAAAAAAGCCAGCAAAAATCCCAAAGGATCAAGTAATTGAATGTTTAAAGTAAATTAACTCTAGCAGCAAATCTGTCACACTATTACTCCCCCTTCAATTATGTTTCTTTCCTCTTTCAGAACCTCTTATTGGCTATTACTTCTTATTCTCCGAAGTAAGAAGTTGTTCACTTCTGTTTGCTGGTTCATTTTTTTTCGCTTCGATTTTGGTTGGTATGCGCGCTACCATGTGCCTCGGTAAAGTTCGGTTGGAGCCCGTTGAGCGCCGGCACCGGCAGACCAGAGGAGACCAGAGGAGACCAGAGGAGACCAGAGGAGACCAATGGCGACTCTGGTCTATAGTTCATTTACCAGAGGAGCCAATGGCGACTCTGGTGGGCAGCTGGTCAGTGTTGCTCCACTATCTCGCTCTACCTCATTTACCAGAGGAGCTAATGGTGACTCTGGTCTATAGCTCATTTACTAGAGTCACCTTTGGCTCCTCTGGTGGGCAGCTAGTCAGTGTTGCTCCACTATCCCGCTTTGATCGATAGTGTCGTTTAGTCTCGTCTGGTGCTCTACCCTGGTTTATACAGAAGGGGCCACTAGAGAAGCTAAATGTAACGGCTCAGCATCTTCAGCACCAGTGTAGCTTTTCTCTTCAGCATCAGCACCAGCGTCATCTTCAATACTAGTGTCATCTTCAGCACCAGCGTCGTTACTAGTGCTGCTCCACTATCTCGATTTACTCGATAGGGTAGAGAAAGCTATAGACCAGAGGAGCCAAAGGAGAGTATTTATCATTATTCTCCTCTTGTTGTTGGTTATACTGCCATTTAGTATTTGTTATTGATTATACTGCCATTTAGTATTTGCTGTCTCTTGCAAATGTGTTGTCAGTGTCGCTACAAGTGTTGGTTGATGGTGTTGGTCAGTATGGTCCATTATCTCGCTTCGCTCGATAGTGTCGCGTGTCGCTACTAGTATTGGTTGATGGTGTTGGTCAGTATGGTCCACTATCTCGCTTCGCTCGATAGTGTCGCGTGTCGATACTATAAAGGTGGCCTCACCGATGTAATACAGTCTTGGATAATCTTGTTTGTAAAACCTGTTGGACTTTCATAACTCCTAACGCTTACAAATTGCTTCAAGTACTCATTAACATAGTAATAATCACTTCCAAACCAGTCACCTGTAAGCATACTAATTTCTAGTCTCTTGTTAGCTAACATTCTCCTCTTTTCCAATTTCTGTTTAACTTCTTCGTTGTCTTCGTCTTCTCCCTCGTCATCGAGACTCGGATCATATATTTTCAGGCTTAAATCATCAACATTAGCGAATTCTCTGTTATACTCCCAGTCTACTAGCCAATACCCAATTTTACGCATGGCAATTTTGACATAATCTGGAGTCACAAATAACTCTTCTTCTTCTTGAGCAGCATCAGCATCAACATCATAAGGATGCCGTGACTTTTCCGATGTAATTGATTGTTCAAGACTGATTTCCACCTCTTTTATCTTCTCCAACTTCAATGAATCAATGAAACTGGGTCCAGACTTTTTCCTTTTTTGTGCTTGATGTTTCCATAGTATCAAGGCTTGACAATATTGATACAAGTACTCTATAGTTGCCGTTGGAACTCTAACCAGTTTTGGAGATAATGAAGCCAATCTATGGCACCGAATAAAGACAAGTAGAGAATAAATATAGCGCTTTATATCTGGTGCAATGAATACGTTTTTCATCTTTTTACGTAGCCTCAAGATTGTTTGGAGATACAGGCAACCATTTGGGAAAGTATCATGCATAATAGGGAAACAGACACTTTGCCAAAACTTTTCCTTCAAGTAAGTGTACAATTTCAAGTCATATAGATTAAATTCCATAAAAGGTATGATTGTGAAAATCTCGGGTTTATGCACTTTTTCAATTTTGCCATTTACAGTGACACTTGCAGGTAAATCATCATCTGCTAGTTTTGCCTCGTTTGTTTCATAATGATCGATTTGCAAGATCAATTTGTACAATTCTTTCTGTAGGTCATTTGAAGTTTTCTGGAGATTCTGCCATATGACAAAATTGATAAAGCAGCGTTTACCGTCATTTGTATAAAAAGTCAGCTGGTCCAAAATGGTTTGGATGGTATTATATTGTAGGAGGTCTATCACCGTATAAAGCGGTTGAAAAGAATGTTCAACAATGTTTAGCAGTTCCAAAAGCAGAGTAAACTGGGGGATAGCTTCTGTTGCAGATTCGCATGATATAACAAACCGTTTCTGAGCAATTAACGATACTGATAACGCCGTGTATAACTTATCCATTAGTAGTATAGAGGTGTTTAATTGACTAGGGGTATTCCTTTAGGTCTCATCTGATATTCTCTTTTAGGTAATTGTCGAAAACCGTATAACATTTAAAAATGACAACTGGTGATGAGTTTTTCGCGACACTCATTAAAAAAAAAAACCATTACTGTCGTGATGTGTGATGGGGGTTTTATGAGCTTTACGACAATTACCTAAAACGGAAAATTTATCAAATAATTTCAATGTAACCTTGTAAAAAAACGCTACCACTCTAGACCCTGACGCGTTTGTTTTTTTTTGGTGCATTGTTTTGTAAACAAAAACATGGCAAGAGATTGCGTGTAGAGAAAAGGGGGATGCATGTAGTGTAGCGTTTGTGTGAGGGGTTTCATGCTATCGAGCAGAGCGAGATAGTGGAGCTGCACTAATTAGTGGTCCACTTGCTCCAATCTGTTGCTAAAAATAACAGTATACATTAAGCTTTTTGAGTAAATGACTGAAAAGGTGGAAAAGGTGACAAATTGGGAATAAATGTAGAACAAATTGAGAATAAATAGGGAAAAGAGAATAAATAGGGAAAAGGTGTAACAAATAGGGAAAGGTGTAACAAATAGAATAAATGTAATAAATAGGGAATAAAAGAGAACAAATAGAGAATAAAGTAACGAAAGAGAAAATGTATTATTAGGGAACAAATGGAAAAATAAAAAGGTAATAAATAGAGAATAAATGGAAGAAAAACAAATAAAGCTAACAAATAGACTAACAGATGGACTAACAGACTAACAGATAGACTAATTAGACTAACAGATGGACTAACAGACTAACAGATAGACTAATTAGACTAACAGATGGACTAACAGACTAACAGATAGACTAATTAGACTAACAGATGGACTAACAGACTAACAGATAGACTAATTAGACTAACAGATGGACTAACAGACTAACAGATAGACTAATTAGACTAACAGATGGACTAACAGACTAACAGATAGACTAACAAATAGAGTAAAAGTTGTAGAAAAAACAAAAAAAACAAGTTGATTGGTTGTAGAAGATTGTAATGTCACAAGATTAACGATATATGATGTTAGAAGATGGATGTGGTTTGCTCGATAGTGTCGTTCAGTGACTACCTTGTTGCTTTGCTCGATAGTGTCGTTCAGTGTTGCTCCCTAACTAACTTGTTGCAATAGTAACTAACTTGTTGCTCCACTATCTCGCTCTGCTCGATAGTGTAGCTAATTGCCACCCTGGCTCTAAAGCTTTTGAGTTATTTTTATTATTTGCTTCCATTTATTTGACAAGATTTTCTTTATTACAACACTTGGTAGCAAATCTCAACGCGTGTTACAGTTTGACACCTTTTTGCTACTTACCGCAATATTTAATCGAGTCAATGTTAATTGAGTAAAGCTAACTGTATCATAACCAATAGTACCAATAGCACTAATATTACCAAATACCAGTATTACCACACGGATTTAATTGCAAATGTGTTGGTCGGTGTTGCTTAATAGTGTTGGTCAGTGTTGCTACTAGTGTTGCTCAATAGTGTTGGTCGGTGTCGCTCGTGTTGCTTAATAGTGTTGGTCGGTGTCGCTTAATAGTGTCGTTAACCCGTGTGTACTTTCTTTTCTATTACAACACCGCTAAACTTCTCGTAGTATTCAAATTTAATCACCGCCCGACAAGTCCACAAAATTCTCACGACATTTTTTTTTTTTATTTTTTTATTTTTTTTTATTTTTTATTTTTTTTTTATTTTTTTTTCACGTTTCTTTTTTTCATCGTCAAAGTTTACCTTTGACTTGAATATAATCATTACGATACAACCATTAGAGGAATAGTTGTAGAGTAGTATACAAAGTAGAGGGTCTATTAGCGTCAAGACAACTTTTCCCATAGCAATTTTGAACAATTTATTCAAATTGTATACATCGCGATCAAACCTAATCTCGCTATTTTAACCTAGCCGCTGTAAATATTCAAAACCAGACCCCTTGTTACTCACCTGGCACTCACTTGGCACTGACCTGGTACTGACCCCTTGATTCACCTGGTACTCATCTGTCACTGACCTGGTACTGACCCCTTGATTCACCTGGTACTCACCTGTCACTGACCTGGTACTAACCCCTTGATTGTTATTGGCACTGACCTGGTACTGACCCCTTGATTGTTATTGGCACTCACCTGTCACTGACCTGGTACTAACCCCTTGATTGTTATTGGCACTCACCTGTCACTGACCTGGTACTAACCCCTTGATTGTTATTGGCACTCACCTGTCACTGACCTGGTACTAACCCCTTGATTGTTATTGGCACTCACCTGTCACTGACCTGGTACTAACCCCTTGATTGTTATTGGCACTCACCTGTCACTGACCTGGTACTAACCCCTTGATTGTTATTGGCACTCACCTGTCACTGACCTGGTACTGACCCCTTGATTGTTATTGGCACTCACCTGTCACTGACCCCTTGATACTGACCTGGCACAGGATTTCGCCAAAAACTTGTGTACCTGTGTGCCTGTGTGCCTGTGTGCCTGTGTGCCTGTGTATCCGTCTGTGTCTGTGCCTGTGTTTCTGTGTTTCTGTGTTTCTGCTGTCATAGTCCTTGCCTCCATTGGTACCTAATCCTAGCTGTTCCTCCAACTCACAAATGATCTCCTTCCCGACGTTTATCAGAAAAGGCGAATGTTCCCCAAGGTCTCTCGACCATGCTTTCCCGCCTTTCAATCCAAACCACAAGTATAGAGGTGTATATGAAAGAGCAGGCTTTGAAGTAAATAATAGCCCGATAAAGAAACTGGACCATAATACCCACAAAAACTCCTTCTCGCTGTATGATAAGAGAAACAAATCCTATGAATCTCCAGCGAATTCAACATACCGGCAGTCTCCTCCAAATTCAACACACCGGCAGTCTCCTCCGAATTCAACAAACCGGCAGTCTCCTCCGAATTCAACAAACCGGCAGTCTCCTCCGAATTCAACAAACCGGCAGTCTCCTCCGAATTCAACAAACCGGCAGTCTCCTGCAACATACCGGCAGTCTCCTCCGCATTCACATTCGCAGCCCCTCCCCCAGTCAATCTCCGCAGAAGCATTCCCAAAATCAACGTCACCCTCCTCCGACTCAACCACAACTTCTTCTGTAACAAACAATATTTTGCACAATTCCTACCAACAACCTATGCAAACTGCTTCAACCTCATCCGACACCTTCTTTGGTAATAAAGAAGTGCTGGATTTGGAAATGTACAGAGAAAGGGAAATAAGTTATCCCGGTCAACAACAACAACAAAAGACCTTGGCAAATAAAACTGACAATTTCAACCTGACATATTCAATGCTGCAATCATCATTACGTGACGTTTTCTCTACAAAGTCGATTAGTTCTCAAAAGAATGTAAGAAACTTGAAATTAAAGTTGAATGCTGATGTTCTTGAAGATGAATTAGAAGAAAGAGGGAAAGGAAATAGTTCAAAAAACATGGGTAGAAAAAGTGTTGGTGCACAATCAGCACATTCATTGCATTCTAATCTTACAAATCATACTTTACCATCAAACTATTCATCTCATTCATCTCATTCAAACCAATCAGGACAATCTACTTCCTCTAACCAATCTAAAGGCTCAAATAAGTCAAACAATTGGAAACAACGTGGTCCCATTGTTTCAGGTGATGCACAACTGCCAGCACCTTCTCCTTTGCAAGGAGAAAAGTATACTCAATCAAGTCATCATCAGCAGCAGCAGCGGCAACAACAACAACAACAACAACAACTTCCCTTTGATCCAAGAAAATTGAGAAAACAAACATCGCTGAACAATGCATTCCCACACCAGACCCAAGCATATCCTCAAGCATCACACGCACAGCAGCAACCTCAATCCGTACCACGCTATCCGAATGGTACCCCACCATATCCGACAAATTCCGGATACTCTCCATTATTTGGTCAATATCCGCAACTGCAGTATCCGCAACAACAGCCTTCACAACAACAGCCTTCACAACAACAGCCTTCACAACAACAGCCTTCACCATCCTATCAACAGTCACAACAAAACATGAACAAGCTGGGACCAATGATTATGAAAAACGACTCTCCCCAGTACCCTCAACAAATGACAAAGAGCACCCAAGGTCCAAATGGAATGCTCACCCCCCAAACACAGGTGTATGACCAAGCATCTACAGCGTATACACAGCACCCAAATAACACACAAAACATCCCATCACAGCAACAATATTCAATGTGTCCGCCACGTCTGCAGTATAGACCACAACCAGCAATGCTACACCCTCAACAACAACCATATCCGGGACAATTAACACCCCAAGATATGACTCAACCTTCTTCTCAACAGAGCTATGAAACTGGTAGTAGCAATGCTAGACAACCGACATATTCACAGCTTAGAGATGATAAACTATCAGGAGCATTGAATGAGTTAAAAAATGATGTTAACAATTTAAAGAGCACAAGTGAATTATTTGCCACTACAAATACTCGTACTATTGCTGGTGGTGGTGGTGCTACTACTAATACGTCTTATTCTTCTTCTTCTTCGCAAGTTCCCGCGATATCTAGTTCTTCAACGTCCCAATTAGACTTGTCTAAATTTGACTCATCACCACCATCGCCACCACCACCAGAGCATCGCCATAATGATTATATGGAACAACCTCCTTTTGATAGCAAGGATCAGAAATATCAAAATGTTGGGTTTGAAGCGCAGAGTAGACTAAGTCAAACTTCAATGGTGAGTTCAATTTTGTCAAAAACCTCATCATATGATGATGAAGAAGAAAACAAACAAATTGAAAAAGAATTGGAAAATCAATTACAAAGTATTAAGGAAGGTGGTGGCAATTTTGGTCAATTGAGAACCTATGACACTGCATCGTCGTCGCAGAAGTCACTTAACACTACTGTTTCCGATGTATCGAAAAAGCACATTGTACTACCACAATTCAATATTGAAGAAGTTGATGAAGAGAAAGCAGAAAAAAGAGACTTGGAGGAAGAGATGGCAAGATCAAGTAGTTCTGGCTCTAAAGGTTTCGAAGAGATGGATATTGTCTCAATTGAGTCAATTCAACCATTATCTGTTTCGCAATCGGTTATTTCTCCTAAAAGGAAGAGAATTGAAAGAAAATCAGTAGCACTGAGTAATGAGATGAGTATTGCAAGAAAAGATTCTATTGAATTCTCCAAGATTATTGATGAGGTCAATAACATGGAATTGCAGATGAGGAAAGAAAGTGAAAGCGAAGGTAAAGGTGAAGGTGAAGGTGAAACCAAAGGCAAGAGCAATTTTCTTCAAAGTGAATCAAAAGTGGTCCCACTGGGGAAAGGACCCTGTCGTTCGTGTCATGGATCCATTGACCCTAAGGCGACTGGCTCATTAAAATCCATTTACTCGGTTGATTTGTCAGGCCAATGGCATCGAGGCTGTTTCACATGCTCCTATCCTCAATGCACTATAAACTTCAACGCCAAGATTCAATGTTATGTTTATGAAGATCAACCATATTGTTTCAACCACTACCATTTGTTGAACGACACTACTTGTTCATCATGTAATATAGGCATTGAAGGTGAATGCATTGAGAATGATTTAGGTCAGAAGTGGCATGTACCATGTTTGAAATGTCATGTATGTAAAAGGAAAATCATTGAGTGTAAGAATTGTGATTATTATGTTATTGATGATTATGTGGTTTGCGAGGAAGATGCAAAACAGATTATAAAGAATAAAAGGAACAAAGCTAGTGGCAAGGGGGCTAATGGATTAAGTGTTGATATGTTTGAAAAGAGAAGGACACGAATATATTATGCCTGAAGTTCAAAGGAAGAGATAGTATAGATTAATGAAATGAAAATTTATAGAATAATTTTGAAATCTTGTATAACAGTGATGAGGTTATTGAAGCTGAAAGATATAAGAAGAGGAACCAGTTGTTTTTTTTCAAGTAAGCCGTGTGTGTATATACATCGTTCTTGTTTGTATATAGACAAGCTCATTCCGGCGATAGAATTACGAAGGCTCCTTAGGGGGGGGGGGGGGGGGGGAGCAAACAAAATGAAGAAAAGTCTGATTGATGTTCAATTAAGAATTAGTATATAAGTTCATAAGCTTCTTATACATAAACTTGCACAAACCAGCTACACAACCAAGAAGGAATTAATATTGATTAGTATGGACCTCTGGAACGTATTCCACTTTGATAAGTGGCATATACTCGGGTTTCCACATTTGTGATTTGACCCATTTCAAACAAGCGTTATATTCTGTGGGAACACGAACGTATCCATCGTCTGGAATTTTCTCACCTTCAACTTGTGCAGTGCCTTCTTTCAAACTTTGCAATACAACAGCGGTTGCAACATGAGCACTAACATCATGAATTTCAGTAATATCTGGTAACAAACCTGCTTTTGGATCGTTGAGTTTCGGCGACATATCACTTAAGGCCTCGACAGCAGCGGAAATCATTTCATCGGTTATCTTTGTGGTTCTTGCTAAAACCGATCCAAGAACTATACCTGGGAACGCAAAGCAATTATTGTTTTCAGAAATGACGTAGCCATCAACTGGATCGAAAGGTGATCCTGTTGCAATTAATGCGCGATTATCTGTCCATTTCATAATATCAACTGGGTATGCTTCGTGTAATTTTGTTGGGTTGGAAAGAGGGAAAATAACGGGATCTTTATTGTATTTGTACATGGTTTTAACAACCTCTTCATTGAAAGCTTTTGGTCGGGTTGAACTTCCAATAAGAATAGTTGGTTTGACTTTATTGACGACATCCACCAAGCTGTGTTTGTCAATTCCCTCCCAATCTTTGTCTGGTTTGGCAAACTCGTGCTGTGATGGTGATGCTTGGGTTGATTCAGTCACGAGCCCAAATCTGTCCATCAAGAAAACTTTTGATCTTGCTTGTTCGGGAGTCAATCCTGAAGACACCAAATTGCTTACAATTTGTGTAGCAATTCCCATACCTGCGGCACCGGCACCATAGATCAAAATAGAGCTTTCGGTAAACTTGCGATTAGTGACTTTCATGGCAGCTTTGATTGAAGCGACAATGACACACCCGGTTCCTTGCATATCATCGTTGAAACAAGCCAATTGATCCCTATACTTGTCTAACAAGGTTTTTGCTGCCAAAGTACTAAAATCTTCAAAGTGCAATACCGATGATGGGAATCTCTTTTTGTAGGCCATGATCACCTTGTCCATGAAGTCATAGTACTCTTTACCTTCCACACGAGGGAACCTGTTTCCCATGTACAATGGATCTCTCAATAACTTTTCGTTATTTGTCCCTGCATCTACACCAATTGCAACAATTCTTCTTGGATTGATACCACCTGCTACCGTGATAATATTACCTTTACCAACAGCACTAAAAAATTAAAAAAATTGAGTTAGTACAACTATTTATCCTTCCTTTCTGGGTTTCTTGGTTTCTTGGTTTCTTGGTTTCTTCTTCTTTATTTTTCTTTTGATACATACATCAAGATACCTTGGATTGACCAATCTCCGATTCCAAGTATAGCTGAACCATCGGTAATAACAGCCATATCAACATCTTTATCGGTACCAAAATTTGCCAAACTCTTTTCAATTGAGTCAGGATCTGTTATATTCAAAAAACAGCCCTCTGGTTTCCTAAATCTACGAGAGTACCCTTCAATTGCGTCACCAATTGTAGGGGTATATATGATTGGTAACATTTCCTTAATATGCTTCTTAACCAATGCAAAGAATAGCACTTTATTTTGTAGTCTTAAAGAGTCCATAAACGAGTTTTTGGACAAATCGTCGACTCTAGTTGAATACTGGAAATAAGCTCTCTCAACTTGCTCTTCTAAGGTATTCACCCCCGTGGGTAATAACCCAACTAGCTCAAACGCTTTCCTTTCTTCATCGGTAAAGGCCGAACCTTTATTATAAAACGGTGAGTTTAGCAATGAAAATCCGCTCAATGGACACTCTTTAGCACCTTCTCTAGACAATCGTGAAGTCTTAACAATTGATTGTCTTCTTTGTGCTTCTGGACCTATAGGTGTTTTAATTTCCTTCATGGCTGCTTCTGCTGCTGCTGCTTCTGCTGCTGCTGATGTTGATATCGATGCTCTTGCTGCTATTCTTACAGCATTAGTATGCTGATACCTAGCTTGAAAGTATCTAGTCCTTGCTATGGATCTTGTTGCAGTTTTATGCATTTAAGAAATAAGGAGAAAGTAATTGACCCAAGAATAAAAAAAGTCTGGGTTTCAAAATGACGGAAATGCCAAAAAGAAAAAAATAGAAGGGGGGAGGGGAGAAGAGCTATAATCTCGTCAACCTGTAACACCCAATTGATATTTGAAAGGGGGGGGGGATGGTGGTAGGGTGAGGGTTCAATAGTAATAGAAGAGGTTAAAAATAAGGATCTTTTGGCAATTTATTTTTGAAAGAATTTATTTTGCAAAAAAGAGCTTAGCTTTATATAACTTGTACTTTACTAGAATTAGCCTTTCTAAAAGTCCTTGCTTGGTGTAAATCGTACCATGTAATGCTTTTGTTTGCTTGTTAGATGAATGAATGTTATTTTTTTCACTTCTTCTGTAACAAGGCGTATTTGATGCAAAGCCATCATCGGCTGGGTGGGGGAGGGGGAGGGGGGAGGTGGCTCATTCAATGCTCCCCCCCCCCGGGAGTGGGACCATATTTTCACCCCATGGGGGAGGGGCATTTTTCTCGGAGCGACATATTCTTAATTGAGGCGCGCAATTTTGAAAGAGAAGAAAAAAGAAATTGGGAAAATAAAAGATGTTACATGTTACATTTACATAATAAGCAAGAATGTAGCAAAGAACATATGAACATATGATGAAAAAGGTGATAGAAAAGGAATAGAAAATATTAAGAGTACAACATAGCATATATGATTTTCCGATCATATATGCTACATTGATCTCCATATAGGTGACCAATGTAGTTGAAGGGCAATTGTAAGTAACCAGTGTAGTGTCAAACCCATCAGACACCACTGCTGCTCCACTAGCTCGCTTTGCTCGCTAGTGTCAGGGAAATTGTTTGAGACACTTTGTAGAGAGAAAAGTGTATGGGGCTATTTAAAGAACAGGCGGAAATTCTCGCTTGTGTTGTTCCTTTTACTTCCGATATTGCATCCGGGTTAACTCAACTTTTTTTTTTTTTTTTTTCTTTTGGCACATAACGGTCCATGCATCTTATATAGGTGGTGTTATATATTGACAAACTTTTCTAGAATTGAACCATATATTCCTCATTTCCCATAATTTTTGAATATCTGGAAAAATGTATTAATCTCTTCTATAAATACTTGTTTTGTAATCTAATCAGAAATATGTATAGCTATGCATAGTTGATGTCAATCAAACCTGTGTGTCTCTTCTAGGAAATTGACATCCCATCCAAGGTTCAAGCATGCTCCCTTCTTATCTCCAGGACACCAGTAATACCATTTGAGAAAGAAAATACATGTTCCCTTCAAGATAAATGCGCAAATGGAAAAAAATTATTCCGAAATTGCTCTTGTCTGGTTCTGCACTTTCTAATTTTACTTTTTTTTTTTGTGATTGCAACTTATCCCTGTGTATTGAATAACTCAAGACAAGCTTTACTTTGCTGAAGAGAGGGATTACTTTTAAGATGGGTCTTAGAGAGTTGAAAAATAAATTTAAGCGTATGGATATTCATCATGACCAAACCCCCTTGTCTGCGCCTGGCAATCAGCTGTCGCTTGCTAACGATGATGATATTTTCCAAAAACCAATTGCTACAAAAGAACCACCACCTTTGTTCAAAAAAGTACAGCATAATGCAATACCCAAAGGTTGCTCTTTGAACCAACCGATTCAAACCAACAATTTCTACAATAACTTAACTTTAGAAGATCAGACTTGTCCCATATGGACAATGCCTTATTCTTTATGGTTTACCAAGGAGGAGAAGGAACAGGATTTTGGTTTAGCGTTCAATCATACAGAAGCTCAACAGAGAGTGTTTGGACCCGATCCTGCATCGTCACATGCACAGTATTTCTTCAATCCTCCAAGAATCAAATCGTTTGTTTTGAGTAGTGAGAATTTTGGCAATCTAAGATTGACATTACATGAACATCGAAAAATGTCGGTTACTGCAAGATTAGAAAATGATCAAGGGTGCATAGTTATTCCGCTATGTATGGGTATGGGTTTCATTACTGCGATTTATGATCGAATCCAGCCCATTATTGCATCTCAAGTCGGATATCAAGAGTTTAAGCAGTGTGGACAAGTTGATAGCTTGAAAAAATACTCGGTGAAATTGTTTAATCAAGTTACATGGTCGATATATAGTGATATCGAGTTGATTTTGAAAAACCCCAATCAGATTGTTGGTCTGTCTCCGGGAACTGTTCAGATTGCTCGTGGTGAGTCTTGTCACTATGACGATACTGCTGGGTGTTATCCAGTTAAAATTGATTTGAGTGGTACTGTTAATGGAGATATTGGTGAATACAGGTTTACTTATATTCTTAATGGCAGATCAAGATCGGGGAAAACATTGGTATGGGCATTACCCCACCATCAAGAAGTGGTCAAATCTGACTCCGCCGCCGATTGCACAGATTTGCAATTAGACTCAACTACAAAAGGGGTAATGAAGGCTTATAAAGTAAATGAGCTAATTATGCAAGAGCACGGTTTGCCAATTGATATCAAATGGGACCCATGGACAGAAACCATGCATAAAGCTAAAGCCACATGGTCTAATGAAGCCAAGCACTTGATTCGTCAAGCTGCAATAGAGGAGATGAAACAAGATGTTGTTGGCATGGCCAATATCGACTCAATGTACACCTCGGGAAAAATCTTGGATAAGTTTGCTTATGTTGCATATGTCTGTCATTATATACTAGAGGATGATCAGCTAACAGGGGAGATACTACCACGAGTGAAGCAAGCAATCGAAATATTTGCTAAAAATCAACAAAAGTTTCCCTTGGTTTTTGATACCACTTGGAAAGGGTTGATTTCGTCGGCAGAACCGGGAGCCGATTTTGGAAACTCAAACTACAATGATCATCATTTCCATTATGGGTATCATATCCATGCCATTTCCTTAATTGCAAAAATTGATCCAGATTGGTTACATGCAAATGATAATTTAGTATACAATTATGCCATTACAATGTTGCGTGATGTTGCCAGTCCTCAAGCAGATGAGTTCTTCCCACAATCACGTTCATTTTGTTGGTTCCATGGTCATTCTTTTGCCCATGGTATATTTGCGCTGGGTGATGGTAAAGATGAGGAGTCATCAAGCGAAGATTATCATTTCGCTTATGCAATGAAATTATTTAGCTTGGTTGCTGGTGATGAAGCCATGGAAAAGAGAGCAAATTTGATGCTTGCAATAATGAAGCGATCAATGAACATGTACATGCTCTATACCGATGATAATAAAATTGAGCCCTCTCAATTTATCAAAAACAAAGTTGCTGGTATTTCATTTGAGAATAAGATTGATTATGCTACGTATTTTGGTCGTGGCACTATAGGAGACGAATGGATTCATGGGATTCACATGTTACCTACAACACCCATCTCCGGGTATATACGTAGTCCCAAGTTTTGCAAAGAAGAATGGGACCAAAAATTGGCCGGTATAATTGATAGAATTCCAGATGGGTGGAAAGGTATTTTAATGTTGAATAAGGCCTTGTTTGATCCTAAAAGTTCTTACGAATGGTTTGCCAGAAGAGACTGGCAGCCTGACCAAATAGACAATGGTATGTCTAGAACATGGTCATTAGCATATACATCGGCGCTCTTGTGATAAGAGGAAAAGGAAAGGGGTTCACAAAACAATACAAACCCCGTGTGTACAAAACATTGTTTGTTGATAGATTCTATAAACTGAAGGTCAATATTAGTAGTTTGTTTTCTCTTATTGATGATCTAGATGTTACCATATCTTTCTAATCAAGAGTTGTTACCAAAAAAGAAAAAAAAAAAGTAAATCTGGGTGCAAAAATATTTGGACGAAAAGAGATTCGAACTCTTGGCCTCATGCTTGCAAGGCATGCGCTCTACCAACTGAGCTATACGCCCTAATTTCTTGACAAAAAATATTTTGGATTAAATAAAAACACATTTTTTAGAGAGTTTGACGGTTGCTACCAACCGCGAAGAAACATAGTGGAAGCATTAATGGCAAGGTAAAAGAATGAATGATATGATAGTATGTAAATTGAGAAATAGGTAGCCTATCTTCATTAGCAGACTAGCAACTTTTGATTTATCTGCAATTAACATTTCGAGGAATTCTATCTTGAAAATGCTTTTTTGAGCATAAAAAACAGAAGACTATATAGACTATCGAGCAGAGCGAGATAGTCTATATAGAGAAGAGAGAGTAGATATAGGCTATATAGAGAGAAGAGAGAGTAGATATAGGCTATATATAGAGAAGAGAGAGTAGATATAGGCTATCGAACAAAGCGAGATAGTCTATATAGAGAGAAGAGAGAGTAGATATAGGCTATCGAGCAAAATGAGTGTGTAGATATAGACTATCTTGCTTTGCTCGATAGCCTATATTTTTTTAATCTTTTTCCAATCAATGTAATGCAAAAATTTTGTTTCAATATTACATTCTATAGATTCCCTTTATAGGGTAGTAATCTCTTTTATAGACCTCATTTGCAAAATAGTAAAGTTTCTTATACATTAGTCTCTTTTATAGACTCCCTTTACATTATTGTTTATTACTCTTGTAGAGACTCCATTTACACTGTTGTTTATTACTCTTCTATGAAATATCTCGTTTCGCTCATTAGAGCCAAGTGTGTTGGGGACAGCAAGTGCTCGAATGTGTCGGTGGCAGCAAGTGGTCGAATGTGTCGGTGGCAGCAAGTGGTCGAATGTGTCGGTGGCAGCAAGTGGTCGAATGTGTCGGTGGCAGCAAGTGGTCGAATGTGTCGGTGGCAGCAAGTGGTCGAATGTGTCGGTGGCAGCAAGTGGTCGAATGTGTCGGCGACAGCTGCTAATGTGCTCCACTATCTCGCTTTGCTCGATAGTGGAGCCCCATACTTTACTTCCAAGAAAAACCTAGAGCTTAATAGAAAGTTAGAGAAACAAGACTAAATAAAGAGTATTTTCACTATGAAATGGGAGAAATGATCCATTCTAATAGCATAGCATAGGGAAAGCTTATTTAGGTATAGATCAAGGCTCGTCTAGGCTTCTTTAAGTTCTGTTCTATTTAATATCCTTCGACTAGAGGAGCCGGAGGAGACTAGAGGAGACTAGAGTCTCATCCGGCTCCTCCAGTCCCCTCTAGTCTCTTCTATGCTCCTCTTGTCCCCTCTAGTCTCTTCTAGGCTCCTCTTGTCCCCTCCAGTCCCCTCCAGTCTCTTCTATTTCCTATCCTTCGACTAGAGTCGCCTTCGGCTCCTCTAGTCGTAGCCAAAAAAACCTTGCTGCAAATGTTTTGCTCATCGCTTCGCATTAAAGGAACATTGGAAAAAAAAAATTACTGGAAAAACCCAATTTGGTAAGAGCTCATCTCAAAACTTGAATTTTCCATTTTTTCTTTGGTAAAGAGCGGAGTTACATTCTCCCCATGTCGTCGTTAAAGAAGAAAGACGCATTGGCAGCAGCAGCAGCAGCAGCGGCGACTTATCTAGATGAAGATACTACATGGGACTCCCTTAATTTAGACGCCCGCTTGTTACAAGCTATAGACAAGTTGGGATTTGAAAATCCTACTTTGATTCAAAGTAGCGCAATACCTTTGGCACTTGAAGAAAAAAGAGATATTATAGCAAAAGCGTCTACCGGGTCAGGCAAAACAGCAGCATATGCTATTCCCTTGGTTCAAAGTTTGTTACTCGACAGAGAAAACAATAGTAGTAGCAGCAGTAGTGGCAGTGGCATAAAGTCCATTGTGCTTGTGCCGACAAGAGAATTATCTAATCAAGTATATCAATTCATAGAACAGCTTATTAAGTATACAGATAACAAAATCGAGATACTAAACCTATCGTCAAACTATAGTGACCAAGTTCTACAATCTTTATTAGTGGGAAAGCCAAGTATCATCGTGTCCACTCCTAGTAAATTAATACAAACTTTGGAATTACATGAGAATAAAGGTCTCCTTGATTTGAGCACGGTGAGAAACCTCACAATAGACGAAGTCGACTTGATCTTGAGTTTTGGATACAAGGAGGATTTGGACAAATTGCAGATGTATCTTCCCGTGAAAAAGAATATCCAAACGTTTTTGATGTCAGCAACAATAGATGACGACATCAACGACTTAAAGAGTAAATTTTGCACGAAACCAGCTATATTGAAATTGGATGATGACCAAAATAGCGCCAACAAGCTAGTACAATTTTATGCCAAAACTACGGAATTTGATAAATTCTTGTTGAGTTATGTCATATTCAAGTTAAATCTAATCAAGGGTAAAACCATTGTGTTTGTTAATAACATTGAGAGAGGATACAGATTGAAGTTATTCTTGGAACAATTCGGAATAAGGTGTTGCGTATTGAATAGCGAACTTCCTATAAACTCAAGATTACACATTGTAGAAGAGTTTAACAAAAATGTGTACCATTTATTGATTGCTACCGATGACTTGTCCGTGGAGAAAGAAGAGCAAGAGGAGAAGGAAGAAGAAGAGAAAGAGAAAGAGAAAAAAGCAAAGACAGCAGAGAAGAGTAAGGAAAAGGGGAAACGCATTGATACAAAGAGCACAACAAAAAGTATGAAGGACAAGGAGTATGGTGTTTCTAGAGGTGTTGATTTTAGGAACGTTGCGTGTGTATTGAATTTCGATTTACCTACAACATCAAAGGCATATATACACAGGATAGGGAGAACAGCAAGAGCAGGCAAGTCAGGTTTATCGTTGTCATTTGTCATCCCGGAAAAAGAGGTTGGTAAGCACAAAACTGCTTCTTTGGCAACGGCTAAAAAGGACGAAAAGATACTAAAAAGGATAGTTAAACAACAACAGAAGAATGGATTTGAAGTTAAACCTTATCAATTTGATATGAAGCAAGTGGAGGGTTTTAGATATAGAGCCGACGATGCGTTTAGAGCAGTAACTCAAACAGCAATCAGAGAAGCTAGAGTGAAAGAGTTGAAGAATGAGTTGATCACTTCGGAAAAATTAAAGAGATTTTTTCAGGAAAACCCTCAAGATTTGGCAACTTTGAGACACGATAAAGAATTACATCCTGCTAGAATTCAACCACACTTGAAAAGGTTGCCACAATATCTATTACCCGAGAGTGCAAGGCTGGATGTGAAAAACATTGGATTTGTGCCATTCCACAAGAAAAATAGAGTGGGTAAGAACAAGAAGAAGGGAAAAGGTAGAAAGAAACACGATCCGTTGAAATCGTTTAGAAAATAGAAAAAAAAAGACGCAATAACAACAAGAACAACCAGAACAACGTTACTTTGAATTATCTCTATGATGTATACTATGCTAGTTTGCTCAAAATCAAATTCCACACCAAGTTGGCTAGACAATTGCATGGAAACATGGCCGCCTCTGGAATGAGCATAAACAGTAATATACTGAAAAATGGCCAATAACAATAGCTGTATTTTAGTGATTTGAAGTATGCATTTTTTGTAGTTTTTGAAAACAACTCTCCTTGATCCCATAATGTATTCAAGATATTGAAAATTAACTGAAAAATAGGTGCTCCTACAACTTGGTCAATTAGTATCCTATAAACCAACTTGTCTACGTTAACAATCAAGATGTTGATCCATGCAACTGTAAAATAACCATTTATACTGCCCCATAGCATAAATTTAAAGATTTTATTCAATGTGAATTTCTTTTTGAAAAGCTGATTTATTGATTGTGCCAATGCTCCAGAAAAGCATCCCAATAATGTTGGTGCTAGCATAGGATTAATCGCACTGATTTCCAAATAGTGATAGTATAAGGTCAATGATATAGCCGCCTCAATAAATAAAGCTCCATATAACCTCTTTAGCATATGTTTCGAGCTTGGATGTAAAGTGTACCTATTACGCGTATCAACATCAAACGAAGCAAACGTTGGGACTGTCGAAGGTGATTTTTCTAGCTCACTAAGATTTATCGTCTCCTTGGTCAACGGCAAACTCATTTTTGCTACTTGACCTAATTACACACAGGCGTTGGGGCTAATTACACACGGGCGTTAGGTTTTTTTTTTTTTTAATCAAACGCTCTGTTAATAAGAGATGTTTCTCAAATGTTTGAAAAGTATTTTTCAATTTTCATAACTCGCAGTTTATCAGTTTGTTAGTTTGTGTGTGTGCGCATATATGTGCGCGCGTGAGTGAGTTGTGAGAGAGAGAGAGAGAGATAGAGATAGATAGAAAGTGTGTGTGTATGTGCGTATGTGTGTGTTTTTCTCCTCAATGAGAGTTTCATTGATATGCCACGTCGAATTGGTATGGACGGGATATGGGATCAACTGTGGATCGACAACGGAGGAGGGGCACGATGGACATGAGGGGCATAAGGGGCAAGAGGGGCACGATGGACAAGAGGGGCAAGAGGGGCAAGAGGGGCAAGTGAGAGTTTTGATGTAAATTGATATTCTAAAGGATACTACTTGTTCTCTGCTCTCTGATATAGTCTACACCAAACTAAGCTTGATTAGTCTGCCTTGCCCAACTAGCCAATTGAGCTAGCTGAGCTAGTTACAAGGAACGACGATGAAATGTAGTTGTTTGTTAACAAGTAATCCTCCCCCTCCAATGGAAAATGCTTAAAATACACTAGTATTTTAAACTTTGGTGTATTTGTTTTTGTTAATTGCCGTGCAACGGTTTTTTTAACCGAAATTTACTATTTTTGGTCTCGGCTTCGGACCGCGCATTATCCCCGATCTCCGATCATCTCTTTCATTGTATAATTTTATTTTCGTTGAAATACTCATCAAAACAATAGAAACAAGATAAGACACCAGTTGAGGTTAAGGTTGAGAGCATTTCCCTTTTTTGGGACAGAAGATTTAATGGAGAGTGGGTCAAAAGTATCCTCAAGACTAGAGGCGAGTCTAGACTTTTCGTCGCAAGACACGCTCTCCTTGAATCGTGATCCAGAAATAGTTATCAAAAGCGATGAGAAAGAAGCCGATGAGTATTTGGTAGTATTTGACGGTACTGATGACCAAGAAGATGCATCCAGATTATCGCGTTTGCACAAATGGGCAATAGTTACTATAATATCATTTGGTTCCTTATGTGTTACTTGCATATCCTCGTCGTGGTCGCTAGCATCATCTCATATAATGGAACATTTCCACATCAGTCACGAAGTAAGTGTTTTGGGGATATCTTTTTTCATTCTTGGGTTGGGTACAGGTGGGATCTTTCTCTCGCCAATTAGTGAATTCCACGGAAGGAAAATGGTTTACATATTGGGGCTCTCGGTAATGATTGCTTTTGAGTTTCTTACAGCATTTTCCGAGAATATAGGTTCAGTAATCTTTGGAAGATTTATGAGCGGGTTTTTTGGACTGAGCTTTATGAGTGTTGCTTCGGGTTCATTTTCTGATCTTTTCAAGTCTCGCAAACTGGAAGGGAAAGATGCTAATAAGGAATTGGCACTAGCATTGGTATTGTATTCTGCATCTCCTTTTGTTGGACCAGGGATTGGACCTTTACTTAGTGGATTCATTAACACCAAACTAAACTTTAGATGGACTTTTTATGTGCTATTAATGTGGTCTGGTTTGCTACTAGTCTTGGTGATATTGTTTGTACCTGAAACGTACGAACCCATCAACTTGAAAAGGAAAGCAAAAAGGTTAAGAAAACAAACCGGCAACAACCGGCTTTATGCTGCAATAGAGAGAAGCAAAGTAACACTACGTGAAAGTGTTTTGACAAGCTCAAAAAGACCAATTTTGCTTCTATGCAGAGACAATATGACTTTGGTACTCTGTTTTTATACGGGGTTCACACTTGCAATTGTTTACTTGTTCTTTGTGGCATTTCCCTACATTTTTGTCACAGTCTACAATTTCAGTTTAGCAGAACAAGGGATGTCATTCTTGGGGTTGATTACGGGTATGATTGTGATGTGTCTCATTTCACCATATTTCGTCCACAAGATATACATCTATCTACTCATGAGAAACAATGGAGTTGCAAAACCGGAGTTTAGGTTCATCCCATTGATGGCGGGAGTGTTCATAGTACCCATTGGCCTCTTCATTATAGCATGGACTTCCTATCCACACGTGCACTGGATTGCGCCAATTATTGGGTCAGCTGTATACGGCGCTGGAACCATATTGGTGTTTAATGGGATTTTTTCCTATACAGTTGAGGCTTATAGACTCTACGCTGCCTCAAGTATGGCAGCAAACTCGTTTGTCCGGTCAGTCATGAGCGCTGTGTTCCCGCTCTTTGGATTGCAAATGTACCAAAGATTGGGAATCCAATGGGCAACTTCCTTATTAGCCTGGGTCGCTTGCGCACTAATACCAATACCTTTTATATTTTTCAAGTATGGACCACGATTGAGAGCACAAAGTCCTTATGCCTGGAGTATTGATACATGAGATAGAGCCTATATATATCTAAACATGGACGCTTTAACCTGCCCCCAAAAAGAGATTTCCACCAGGGCTTCTTACATTTACACATTTACACCTTCTGTCACCCTAGTGTCACTTGTCAGTGCTGCCCAATAGTGTCGCTCTGCTCGATAGTATTAGTCAGTGCTGCCCAATAGTGTCGCTCTGCTCGATAGTATTAGTCAGTGCTGCCCAATAGTGTCGCTCTGCTCGATAGTATTAGTCAGTGCTGCCCAATAGTGTCGCTCTGCTCGATAGTATTAGTCAGTGCTGCCCAATAGTGTCGCTCTGCTCGATAGTATTAGTCAGTGCTGCCCAATAGTGTCGCTATGCTTCTCCTATCGTGAAAGATCTATACCCAAACCATCAATTCTGGAACCTTCTTTGAATCTTTTTTTTTTTTCCACTCAAGTATTAAAACCGCGAGATGAGATGAGATGAGCAAGTTGGTTTGCGAGATAGATAAAGAGGATTTTATAGAAAGGACTAGATGGTCGTACACAACCCTAACAACTGGTATGTCTTTTTTTTTTGTAATAGAAATCATATAGAATTATACGGAATCGTAGAGATTTGTAGACTAACTAAACCTTTTCTTTTTGTTTTCTTTTTCCAGGCATTGGATCGATAAAAATTGCTTGCCATGGTCCAAGGAATATTTCTCAACTCATATAAAGGATACATCATATGAGAATGATGACTATAGGTTTGTAATAACAGGTGTTAATTCGGTTACTGGGGATTGCGATGTAACTCAAAGAAAGGGAAAAGTGTTGTGCATATATGATATGAGACTTCTGTTTGCTCTATCGATTTTGAATAAACAGTTGAAAGAGGATGAGAACGAGAACGAGGACGAAGACGGGGACGAGAAAGAAGCCAAAATGGCTTATGGAACCATCACTATCCCAGAGTTTGTACATGATCAAGAAGAGGACGAATACGTATTTGAGATTGATTCAGAGCATAAAGCAGAAATTGTAAAACTACTCGTTCCTAAATTAAAATCAAAATTGTCAAAGTTTCAAAACGATTTAATAGAAGCTCATGCAAAGGATGTACAACATACATCAGGTCATTAAAATTCATTAGCTGAGATCGGCCATCTCTTGAACATATATAGATATATATATATATATACAGACGCTTTTATATACAGATTGGAAAAAGTAAATTTTGATTGTCTTTTCTCAAAACCCCTTGGGGACTCCTTTTGCATGTCTAGCATGCTCCCCTTTGAAGCCCAAGTATAGATCAATAGCCCCAGTATCATTTGTATCGGCATCTAAACTTAACCATTGTGCATATCCTTGTTCAATCAATTTCAAGGTCTTGTAGGCATCGACAGAGCTGTAGGGGATACCCGTTGACGGGTCAAAATATTTCACTTCTGTACCAGAAATCATACATGCCTTCTTATTACCATTCGGAAGATACAATCCTGTTGGAGCTTCGGTTTTGATAATGACCTCACTAGATTCTTTCTCTTTTGTGTCATTAGTAATTTCAATAATATCTTGTTGAACACCTAATCGCGGTAATTTCTTCAACTCATCAAATAACGGGCTGTCTTTGGTGATTTCAGAAACTGGTCTAAATAGCTTTTCTTCATCCTTTGAAGCTGATGCATATGGATTTTTCCTTTTGCCAATTCTTAAAATCGTCTTTACGTCATTAAATCTTCGTGATGCAGGTAGTAATGATTGTTTGCCAAAAAGAATGGCCTTTATGTTTTGTGGGTTCAATCTCAAGTCTTTTTTATCTTCGTTGAAATCTAAAAGGCATACCATATTACGTGCTACCTTTTGAACAGGACCTTCAAAGATCTCCACATAACCCGAGGTTTCTTCTGTATTTTTGTCCAAAACTGCAAATTCTGGTTGAGGAGTAGGATCCGTTGACTCAACTCCAGTTAGGTCATCTGCAAATTTCACCCGTTTGCGCTCAGCCTGCGGTTGATTTGGCGACAAAGATCCCTCTAATAAAGTAGCATCGGTATGGGCTGGTGAAGTGTTATCTTCTTGAGTGCTATCAATTCCTGGCTCCTTTTTGACAGTTATTTCTGATTCAATGTTGCGAGCAGGGCTAAGCTCTTTTTCGTCAGCTATTTGACTTTTAGAGGTTGCACTTGCAGGGACGGGGGATTGATTATTTGCTTCTAAAGCCTCTTCATTTTCAGTTTTCTTCTTCAACCCATTATTTCCATGGTCTTCGGATTCAGACAACAGTTCAAGTTGTGTCGCTTTGGAATTTCCATGCTCTCCTACTTTGTCTACTTCAGTTTCAGCGTCATTCTCTTCTACTTTGTCCACTTCAGTTTCACCGTCATTCTCTTCTACTTTGTCCACTTCAGTTTCAGCCTCAGTCTCTCCCACTTTGTCCACTTCAGTTTCAGCGTCAGTCTCTCCCACTTCGTCCACTTCAGTTTCAGCGTCAGTCTCTCCCACTTTGTCCACTTCAGTTTCAGCTTCCTTCTCCTTCTCTCCCACTTTGTCCACTTCAGTCTCAGCCTCACTCCTATTCTCTCCCACTTCAGTCTCAGTCTCATGCTCCTTCTCTCCCACTTCATCTGATACAATTCGAATCTCTCCTTCCACTTTGTTTAACTTGATTTCAACGTCATTCTCGCCCTCTTTAGTTTCTTCAGAGCAAGTCTTTTCTTCCATCTTCACTTCGACAGCACCGTTGACCTCTATTTTTTCAGCATTTGTATCTACAAGCGACGAGTCTAACAGTGCTTTTTCTTCACTGCAAGATGCAATCAATTTCTCCATTAAAGCAATATTCATATTGTCCAAAATATCAGCTTGTTTTTCCAAGTTTTTTTGTTTTTCTAAAGCCAAGGCTTTCTGGTATGGCGACGAGTAATCTATGGAAAACGGGGCTACAATAGGAAAAGCTTCCTTTTCGCCATTAGACGCTTTCTTTCTTTTATCTATTCTTTTTCTTTTCTTCATATACATTTCAAACTGCCGCCTTGCCTCGGCCACTTCTTCCTTCGCTGTGATAAACGCCTCACGACTTGTAAATCTAATGACATTCTGTAATTTGACTCGTTTTGACAATAGCGAAAGTCTCTGCCTCTCCTTTTTAACAATCTCTTGCTCCTTAAATCTGTTTAACGATTCTATATTTTCCTTTTCGGTTTCAACGGCTTGTGTTAACCTTTCCTCTTGAGTTAACTCTCTTTCCTTTTTGCGTTCCACATGAACGTATTTTTCCTTTCTCCGTTCACTTGCTTTCAATCTATCAATCAATGCTTGCTTACTTTCAACGGCAGATGATCTAGAGGAGGACCGTCGTGTTTCTAAAAGAAGGGATTCTGATGTTACCAACGGGGTTTTCCTTTTTTTCTTTACCGGTAATGACGATGAAGACGAAGACAAGGACACTTGAGTTATCTTTTTAATCTTGGGGACTATGGATGTTTTCTTTTTCCTTCGTTTTATCTTTTCCTGCCTCTGTAGCTCCCTCTCTCCCTCACTTTCATCAGATTCAGAAGAATCTTCATCCGAGTCTGAGAAAACATCGTCTGCTTCCACTTCTTCCATTTCTTCTCCTCCTTCTCCTTCTCCTTCTCCCGCTTCCTCTTCATTATCATCTGTTTCCCGTTTACGTTTTCTTGTCGCTTCATCTTTGTCTTCTTCACCCTCCTCCTCCTCCTCCTCCTCCTCCATCTCCTCCTCTGCAATAAACTCTTGATCTTCCCCGTCTTCCTGGAATAACAAATTGACATTCTCGTCATCCTCGGTCGCAAATTGACTAGCTGAACCTAATGCTTCATTTGCTTGTTCTTCCAACTCAATCAACTGTTTTAGCCTTGAACCGGCATTAGAACGCCGAGTTCTTGTAGCCATTAAACTTTCAAACACCTCTTCATCTTCAGAAGATTCGCTCATCAAAGATAGAAGCCCAACAGGGTGTAAATCAAGCGGCAGAAACGTATTATTGATAAGAATAAACTATCTTTATCTATCCATATATATTTTTTTTTTCACATTTTTCAACATTTTTTTTTTCACCACCACCACCGACACCGAAACCACCACCACCACCAAACCCGTGTGTAGCACCGCCTTACCAATGAGTCTCCGTTATATGCCTTCAAAGTTGAGGCAATGTTCTTTGCTGCTGATGAGGTCATTAAGTAAAAGCTGTTGTTTATATCATCTCAATGGGACAACTTCATCGTCTCTTTCAGAAATGTCACACTTCAATGCTTTAGCCTCAAGCTGGTGGGATGTTAATGGTCCTCAACGGATCTTACATAAGATGAATTTGCTAAGGATGGATTTTATAAACGAGACAATAAAGCTGCATCTAAAGCTCAACGCAAACCGTGTGTGTGAATTCGAGGAAGATGTGTATATTCCACCATACAATGTGGATTTATTACCACTTCAAGTTAAGAACAGGATTCTTCAAGACCAGGAACTGAGAAAAGAGGAATTGTTGAAGCATACAAAACTAAGAGTATTGGACGTTGGGTGTGGAGGTGGAATCTTGGCCGAGTCAATGGCGAGATTACCGTTTGTTGAGAAAGTGAAAGGTGTAGATTTGTCGCTGAACGTTATTGAAGCAGCTGAAATCCATAAAGAAAAAGACCCCATGTTATGGGATAAACTTGAATACGAACAAGCGTCACTAGAGACTATTCCACAGAGCTCAAAATATGATGTGATCACAATGTTTGAAGTTTTAGAACATGTGGATTATCCTTCTCGAATGCTACAAGAAGGATTGCAGAGATTAAAAGTCGGCGGCTGGTTATTCCTTTCCACAATAAATAGAGATCCAATAAGTTGGTTTACTACTATATTTATGGGTGAGCACCTTTTGAGAATCGTGCCTGTTGGAACACATACGTTGGAGAAGTACATCAATCAAAATGAGATTAAAGATTGGTTAGAGGAGGATCTCGAGAGAAAAAAGCAATTCAAGGTTGAGGTTACTAAAGGTTGTGCCTATATACCATCATATGGTTGGAAGTTTACCTCATGTCCAGATGTAGGTAACTACTTTATGGCAATCCAACGCAAAGTTTAGATAAATAAGTCTCTTTTACTCAACCACGGTTGCACTACAGTAGCGACAGCGACACTATCGAGCAGAGCGAGATAGTGGAGCAGCACTCTACCGACAATAGCAGGCACCGACACTAGCAGGCACCGACCGTAGCGGGCACCGACCATAGCAGGCACTGACACTAGCAGGCACTGACACTAGCAGGCACTGACACTAGCAGGCACTGACACTAGCAGGCACTGACACTAGCAGGCACTGACACTAGCAGGCACTGACACTAGCAGGCACTGACACTAGCAGTGTGCTCCACTATCTCGCTTCGCTCGATAGTGTCGCTTGATAGTGTCGCTCAATAGTGTCGACCAATGTTCTTTTAGTTGGCAATTTTTTCAGCCTTTTCAGGCTCTTCATCAATAAATGTGGGAAGTTTGTCAGAAACAGGTTCAGTATTACTTAAATAACTTGGAACGCCAACGCCACTCTCTGCCATTTCATTTTCAAAGTCCATTTCTTCGCCTAATGCTTCCAACTCTGCATCTAGTTCCGATTCACTTATTTCGTCAGGAACATCATAACTGGTGGAAAGTGCCTCTTGAAGTTCATTTGACTTGTCTATTATATCCAACATCTCATCTTGCAAATTTTCCAACTCATCGATGTTGATTTTACCGTATGTTTTCTTCAACTCTCTATTCGCCGTTTTCATGGCATTTATTGTAACCATTGTGTTTTGCAAATTATCAGTAGTCATTGAAGCCTGAGACATATTCCACAGCTGGCTCTCCAACTGGTCTTTCTGAGCTTCAATCTGCTTTCTCTGTCTTAGGAGTTTCAACGCTTTTTGCTTCAAAGCAGATTTGCCTGGACCATCGCGCATTCTGGCAATCTTTTGTTGATAAGTGCTTAGCTCAGAATTGATTTTACTGAGCTTGACGTCTAATGACCCCACCCTTTCATCGATTCCTTTGATAGCATCATTTAAAGAAGGCTTCGGGGCGGCAGATTTGGTTCCAAAAAGTCTGTTCATACTGCTAACAAGTTAAAATATAACTCTCTTGTTGAAGAGAAAGAGAAAGAGCAAGAGCAAGAGCAAGAGGGTATCGGGGCATCGGCATGGGGCATTTCAACTTTCTTTTTTGTGAGCCGCTCACCGCTAAAAAAGCAAAAAAAAAAGCCTATTCGGGAAGTAAACGCGCCACTTGTGATGCGGTGGAGACTCTAGCTTATAAGCCGCATATATTGCGGCACGGGAAACAACACGTGAGCAATGATAGGAGCCGCATATGGTACGGCTTAACTCAATAAAAAATAAAAAGGAAACAACACGTAACCCAATGCTATAAGCCATAGATAATGAGGCTTAATTGAATATAGGGGGCAGAGAGGGAATGGCACGTGACTATAGCAATGAGCATTGCTATAATACAGATTATGAGCCACATATAATGCGGCTTTATATGTGCACGTGACTGTGACTATAGCGATGAGCAAAATTGCTATATGAAAGGGGCAAGTAAGAAATCATAGCGATTGCTTTTGCTTTTGCTCTTGCTCTTGCTGTTGCTCTTGCTGTTGCTGTTGCTCTTACAAGTAGGAAGGAGTTGTCGAGAGAAAGAGAGATGCCTGAGGTATCGGAGGTATGTGAGAGAAGGAAAAATGCGGCTGTACAAGTATTGCTAACCAACAAAGTAGGTGGCTCATGTGTGTGCCTTGCTAAAGAGAACAGTTTTGGGGTATAAAATAGATGCTGTGAACTTACCATTTGATCCCTTGCTATGGCCAGTCTTGAAAGAGAGTCCGAGTCAAGATTCAGAGAAGGAGATTGCTAGAATTAAAGATCGACTTCTAGGCTCACAAATTCAAGGAGTTGGTCGTCATGGCAAGTATTTTTGGCTAAGACTAAGGCCATTAGAAACGGTAAAGAGTAATGTTTTGTTGATGCATTTTGGAATGACTGGGATGATTAAAATAAAAAATGTAAAATCACATTTAGTTTTTATGGAAAACGGCGGGGATAAAAAGTTTCTTGCAAAGGAGGATGATAAAAAGGCCGATGCTGAGGTGCAAGCGCAGGCGCAGACGCAGAAAGTGGAGCTGGATAAAGATTGGCCACCAAGGTTCACAAAGTTCGACCTACAATTAGTAAAACAAGGTGGTGAAGCAACATTAGAGGTGGCCTTTGTAGATCCAAGAAGACTCGCACGAATACGATTGATTGATGACGAAAGGGCTCAAACTGACGAGGGCTTGTTGCAAACCCCCCCCTTGAACTTGTTGGGCCCGGATTATAGCAAGCTGCCAAAGTTTATAAAATCTCATCTGAAATTCGTTTTTGGAGATCCCGATCCAGACAATCACGGAAGGCCGCGACTAAACATTCATGATTTCAACAAACTCGTTTTATCCAGAAAGAAAGCTATAAAAAGCTTGCTTCTAGATCAAGCTTTTTTTGCTGGAGTTGGGAATTGGGTGGCTGACGAAGTCTTGTTCCATGCCAAAGTGCACCCAAATGAAGTTCTATCTAGTGAGATACAATACAAGTCTGGTTTGATACATCCCGTGATCCAAAGACTATACGATTCGTTGATATATGTCTGTGAAGAGTCTGTCAAGGTTGAAGGGTCTGTTCGCCATTTTCCAGAGCATTGGTTAATGCGTCATCGATGGGGTAAGGCACGTAAAAAACAGGGCCCATCAAGAACACACGAGGGATTTGTATTGGATCATATAACGGTAGGAGGAAGAACCAGTTGTTTTGCCCCTGAGGTTCAAAAACTTTTGAAGCTGGAAGAAACAGTAAAGCAGGAACCTAAAAAGAGGATTAAGCAACTGAAAAATAAACAAGTTGAAGATGATGATACCGAGATTAAATGTGGTGCAAAAAGAAAGAGGCAAGGGAAAACTGTAACGCACACCGCAGCTAGTGAAAATGAAGTTAAAAGAACAAAGAGAACAAAAAAGGCAAGTGAAGATGGTAATAGAAGTGATAGACCTATTAGAATTTCCCCTAGAAGGAGAGTTATTAAGTAATGAGGGGTTAGTCTTTCCCCTTCTCTCTCTCTCTCTCTCTCTCTCTCTTTATTTTTCTCGGGGTATACCATACAATTGTTTAGGAATATATTCTTGTTATTTATCTCTAGTCAATCTAATTTTTATATAAAAATGTCTCTATTTTGTAGTCGGCTCAAGATCGGCTATATCTAGTTCGTCGTCATTGGCATTTTTCAGATCCTTCGGTTTTATGAGTGTTGGAGGATCAATAGGTTGGACAAAAGTGGTCTTTGTAGGACGATTAGACATGATTCGCGATATTCCACTTAGACTTTTAGTTCTTACTGGCTCTGACTCCAAATCAGATGCTCTTCGTGACCTAAACGACCTATTAGTAACCATTTTTTTCAACTTGGTGCCAATGTACTCTGCACTATTTACACCATCATCATCATCATCATCGTTATCATCATCATCGTTATCACCAACAGCATCACCATCATTGCCATTATCTTTGTTTGTATTGTAAATTATATTTGTACCATCAGCAATGGACCTTTCCCTAGCCAAAGGTGGCCCCATTCCATAAACTGGAAAGAGTCCCTTGGGAGATCTTGCTGACTTCAGTGACGACATACTATTGATAGTGTTACGAGTTTTTATTTTTGACAAGTTCGTGGTTACTTTGTCAAGTAATGGGACTGGGTTATATTGCTCTCCACCGTTTTCCGAGCTCAAAGAACTTTCAGGAGGACTTACGTTTTCCTTTTCCTCAAGCAACTGTTCATTGTCAACATCATCAACATAATTTCCGTTGAAATGTGGTCGTCGTTTTCTTCTTCTAACAACTCTTGAGTCTTGATTTAATTCAGGTTGTTCATCAACATACTGTTCTTCGGGGTCTGTTTCATTTAGAACCACATCTTCATCATATATTGGTTTCTTCTGCCTAACAACTCTTGAATCTTGATTCAATTCTGGTTGTTCATCTCTAAACTCGTATTCTGGCAAGTTCAATTCCTTTTTATCCCTTTCGACAACATATAAATGTAAATACCAACATATAACTATCCCAAAAAAGGAGCCACCAATCATGTTCCCCAATGCTCCTGGAAGAAATACTTTCCATACGAGCTCCTTCATAGGAATTGGCGCACCATTAATCTTCCCAATTATTAGCACAGTCATATCTGCTACAGAGTGGGTAAATCCAAGTGAAACAAAGGAAAACACAGGTAATAGCATCATGAGAAATTTCACATGAAGTGGTTTAACCATTATCTGAAGGTATATGGCCATACAAACATAAAAATTCCCCGCCATAGCCTTTAGCAATGTCTGTACAAATGAAAAAGATGCCTTTGATGTGACTATGTCGCGCGACGCCATAATGATATCCTCGTCGAAGGCCGCTTTCGAGTAATGAAATATTATATATCCCACAAAGATGTTCCCTACTAAGTTAAACCAGTAAGAGACAAACCAACTTACTATCAAATCGATAATTGAAACTGCTTTCCTGGATAAGGCGCAGCTAAAGAACAAGATGTTAGAGTTGAACAAATCAGCTCCCATTACAACGACATAAAAAAGCCCAATCGGATAGAAAAACCCATCGAGAAGATGAAGCACACCTGGATTCTTAGCATACGTCTCAGGCATTAGTCCTTGTACAATAACATGTAGCATCCCTCCTGTACTAAACAATATTCCCGCAAAAATTGCATTGACTATTAGCACATCTAGTCGTAGACGTGATTTTTTCATCCCCGTAGCTACCACAGCTAGCGCTGCTTCGTACGTGGTGAGATACGAGTTGTCATCCATATAGAAACAGTCCCCTTAGTAGGTGAGTTGAATATTTAAATAAAAAGGCAATTATCCGATGAGGGAAGAAAAAGATAGCTACCACTTTTTTATCTACCCGGATCTTGATGGATCATTAATATTAGTTTTTCCGAGATTAATCCAGCTTCGATGATACAAAATCGGGAAAAACTGCAAACAACACTATCGACACTCCACTATCGACACTCCACTATCGAGCAGAGCGAGATAGTGGAGCACACTAGCTACCACCGACACTAGCGGCCGACACTATCGACACTCCACTATCGAGCAGAGCGAGATAGTGGAGCACACTAGCTACCACCGACACTAGCGGCCGACACTATCGACACTCCACTATCTCGCTCTGCTCGATAGTGGAGCACACTAGCTGTCACCAACACTAGCGGCCGACACTATCGAACCCGTGTGTACCAGAACAGAAGAAAGAGAAGGATACTAGGGTAAAAACGACATTATCGAGAGACAATATCGAGCGACACTATCGAGCAGAGCGAGATAGTGGAGCACACTAGCTGCCCACACTAGCTGCCGACACTAGTTACTACCGACACTAGCTGCCGACACTAGCTACTACCGACACTAGCAGCCACCGACACTAGCAGCCACCGACACTAGCTACCACCGACACTAGCAGCCACCGACACTAGCAGCCACCGACACTATCTCGCTCTGCTCGATAGTGTCTACAAAGTGCTGCTTCGCTCGATAGTGTCGCTCGATAGTGTTCTAGAAATGAAATAAATTAAATTGAAAGTTGATGCCATAAGTTTTTCTTTAAATACACATTGAGGTTAGTTGGTTAGTTGCATTAATTGTTGAACGTCGTGCTGCTTCCGAAATCGAAGCTCGTGCCATTTGTTTCCACAGTAGTTTTATTATTTGGGGATACTTTGCATTCCATATTTGGTTCGGATATGTTATTAGCGTCTGCGTCTGTTTCATCACCATCAGTGCCCTTTTCTTCGCTTAAGTTATCAATAGCTTTAACAGCTTTAACAGATTCTTCCTTTCCTTTCCCCTTTCTCCTTCCACGACTTCTTGCTAAGGATTTCCTAGCTTGTCTCACCAACTCTTTAAATTCTGGACCGTATACAGCCATCCATTCACTAACCAGAAAATCTTTATCTGTAATCGATCTGTGACTTATCGAGCCCAGAGTACTATTACTAAATTCTTGAATGCCATTTCTTCTACCAAAACTCAGATGCGAAAGTTCCCACTTGTGGAGTTTTTGTCTCAAAGTCCGCTCCAGCACTGGATGATTGCTATCGATGTTTGAATTATACAAAACAAAATATTGGTTGTATCTTAATTCCAACTGGTGTCGGCTCCCTGTAGTCGGTATATGCAATTGTGATAATTTTTCTTTTAGTTTTGCCGTACTCAATGAAACAAAATCTAGTTTTGGTAGTCGCTTTACCTCCTTATGTGGCTGTTTCGACGTTTCGTTAAAGTAAAAATCCTTATGTCCCAAATTTTCAGGTAGTTCTTTTTCACTTGAGGACGACGACAATTGCATCGGCAGGGAAGGTGATGATGATTTATTACTGGTATTTCGGAAAAAAGATGAAAGTGAAGATTTATTGCTTCTAGTAATTCTTAACGTTGATGACAGGGAATTAGACGTGTCTAATGTGTCACCAGATAAACAGGCATCTAAATGAGTTCGCTGCAATTTCTCAACTGTCATTTTTTTAGTACAAACGGGACACTCTACTTGGTCTTGGTTGGAAACCTCGTTGTGGGGCTCTTCAACTTTTTCAACTTTTTCAACTTTTTCAATCTTTTGTTGCTTTACCTGTGTACTTGATGACATGGATACCTCCTCCGTCTCCGCAGTTCTTTTCTTTTCATTCTTCGTGTCTGATTTTGTCACCTCCGCTTCTTCAACACCATTGTTAAGTACTTTAGTTGTCAAATGATGTAGCAAATGAGGCCGTATTCTCTTGTAACAGCCAACGATTTCCTCCAAAAGCACGTCTCTTTTCAAATTGCTCTCAAAAACCTCCGTCTTACACAAGGGACACAAATTATTTGTTATCAAGTACTCCCTTATACATTTGGAACAAAATGTATGATGGCATGATGTAATAACCGGGGCATTGAAAAATTCTTTACATATATAGCATCTTTCCAACACGTCTAACTCAGCTAATGCCGGTATGCTGCTTTTCCTGAAATCTGACGGGTCAGTTATGTCTCCAATATTATTAGAGGAATACGACATATATCTATATCCAGCGGGAAGTTTCAAATCACCGTTCCTACTGAAAATGGTGATAATGATGATTGATACGTGAAAATGAAAAATTATTGCTTTATACGCTACCATATGGTGAATTTAGGTTAAGATATAGAGAAGGGTATCGCGATGAGATGAGATGAGATGAGATGGTAATTTTCTACAACTCTATACACATTTAGAGTTCGTCCTTTTCTCTTGGATTATTTGTTTTTACAGCTTTCGGTTTTGTCACTGTTCTAGTTACTTTTCTGGTAACTCTTTTTGTTGGTTTAATTGTTGTGGCTTCTTCGGGAGCAGGACGTAGTGTCGTTTTCTCCACATCACCACCTTTAGCAGCTGCTGGTGTTGAAACTTCAACAATAGGTTTTTCCAATTCTTCAACAGCTTGTTGCTTTGGAGTTGGTTCATCGCGTCCTGTACCTGCCTCATCTTTCTCGCTTACAGGTTCTGGAATCGAAACTGGAACCAGAACCAGAATCAGAATCGCAGTGGACTCTTGAGGAGGGGTGATTTCAACTTGACTTAGTATTGTGTTGGAGTTGTCGAGATGCTCAGTTTTTGTCTCGGACTCTAGTCGACTCTCTGTAGAAATGATTTCCTCAACTTCCTTTACAAAAAGAGAAGACTTTTTTTCATCTTCATCAATATGTGCAACCTCCTCTTCAATATTCTTGGCATCTTCTTGATTGGTAGAAGATAAATCTAAACTTTCTCCAATTGGTTCTGGGACACTAGAACTTTCATCAACAAAACTTGAGTAATCATTTTTACTTTCTGTTTGTAGTTGCGGAATCGGTTCTGAGCTTGTACTTGAACTCTTCTCTAAAAGGTCTGTAATCTTTGTGGACTCAATGTCAACAAAGGGTTCCGACGTAGCCTCTAGCGGTACTTCCGGTATTTCCCTTTCAATAGGAGTTTTTTCTAAAACAATTTCCTCAATAGAGTCCACTACTTCAGTTGCGTTGTAATGAACTTCACCCACAAAGTCCGACGATGAGGAATTATTGACGTCAAAAGATATTGGTTTGCTATCCTCAAATTCTTCAATAATTTCTTCATATACGACTTCCTCTGTTGGTTCACTTTCATGAACTTGAACTTGCTCCGATACTGATTCTATTACTTCACGCGTCAATTCATGATCGACACCTTGCTCATGGCGCATGGACTCGACGGCGGGCACCTCTTTGTCAGCTGCACTCGAGATTTCAGTTGTTTCCTCGGTCTTTTTTACTTCCTCAATTTTCTCCACTTCATCAGCCTTCTCAATCTCTTCTACTTCCTCAATCACCTCAACTTCCTCTATTTCTTTTACTTCTTCGATTTCTTCCACTTCATCAGCCTTCTCAATCCCTTCTACTTCCTCAATCACCTCAACTTCCTCTATTTCTTTTACTTCTTCGATTTCTTCCACTTCGTCAGCCTTCTCAACCTCTTCTATTTCCTCAACCTCTTCCACTTCCTCAACCTCTTCTATTTCCTCAACCTCTTCTATTTCCTCCACTTCCTCCACTTCCTCCACTTCCTCCACTTCCTCCACTTCCTCCACTTCCTCAATTTCTTCCACTTCTTCCACTTCATCAGCCTGTTCAACCACAGTTTCAATTGCTTCAGCGTCTTTTGATAATGTTTTTAAAGACAGAATCTCAACAGGGATGGATAGTTCATCTACAGAAAGATCATCATCCTTTGTGTTGGTAATTGATGTTTCACTTTCCTCTATAACATCACTAGTTGATGACTCTTCTACATTATCTTCATATTTGGCGGAATCATATGTAGCAGCAGCTTGTGTTGATGGAGTAGTTGTAGTTGTGCTGTACATGAAAGTCTCAACAGAAGCACTTATAGACAACGAGGAGCTCTCCAAAGGTTCAGGTACACTACTTTCTTCTCCAGCAAGAATGGACTGAGTAATATGCTCTCCTTTACTCATAAATGTTTCACTTTTGAAATCCGATTTTCTCGTCTCTTGATAAATGTCTTTTGTTACTTCCAGAACAATATCATTTAATGTACTTTTCAAATGTTCTTCATTAGAAACAACCGTGTCTTTCTTATTGAATTTTTCTTTGTAAAAATCAATAGCTTTAGATCCATAATCTCTTGCATATTCTTGCAATAAGTCATATCCAAGTTTACCATACTCTTCAGCTAATTGATATCCGACTTTTGCATATTCCAACCCTACTTCACCATATTGTTGCAGGAACTGTTTCAGAAGCTCCACCAATTCATTCACCTGTTCATATTCACGTCCCTTTTGCAAACCAATAGCTAATACCAACACTAAAAGAATAGTTAACAAGTACTGGAATAAAGATCCAATAAAAGATTTACCATTGCTGTAGTTTGGCGGTATACGAATTACATGAAGAGTGTTTGCTGCACTCCCCGTGGCTAGCTTAGTACCATTTGGTGAGAATGCAACGCTAGTTATAGCGAAAGAATGTAATTTCTTATATGTTTGCAATAATTTTAGATTTGAAAGTTTCAATAGTGACACTGTCAAATTATTACCAGCAACTGCAATTAAGTCTTGAGGTATCGAGATGTCCATAGCGACTATATTATTGAGTTTTTTCGATACCAATTGTTCACTAGTTATTTTCTGGGAGATCAAATTGTACTTGAGCAAAACTGCCCCCTTGCCATTTTTCCAACTAGCAGCAATTAGAATCTCGTCATCCTTGATGAATTTCACTTTAGATAGGGTGTACTTTTGCAACGATTTATCCAAACTTGTATTTGCTTTTGAAGTTGAAATAACACAATTGGATATTATATCGAATAAAACGATAGAAGTCAGCGTTATGTAACACAACTTTGCGCCATTTTGCGGGGATAGTGCAAAATCCTTTATCTCAACATTTTCAGCGGGTTTCAACTTGTACTTCAACTCCAATAACTCAGGATTGAAAAAATACAATACAGAAGGGACGGCTGAAGTCATCAAACATCCTATTTGATTATCGCGGGAAATTTTGATAATTTTCGGATACTCGTCAGTATCACCGCTGATTTCTTCTTCAAACTGCGCAGCATCAACAAATGTCAAATGCTCATCCACATTATAAGCATACTTGCGTACATTATTGTTGATATTCATGGATTTGATCAATTGCGAGCTTTGATTACATCCCACAACAACATTGAACTCGTTGCTACCGACAAGTTTTGTAGCGTCAATACACTGTGGCGAGTCCTCATTAGAGGGTAACTGAACTTCTCTAAATTTTTGCAACCTCCGCTTGGGATCCGTTACTTTAAAACTGCACTTAATCGCAGTGATTTTATTAGGAATACCATTATTACCTTCTCCACCACCACCCGTTACCAAAACAGTCTTGTTATTGAGAAATTTGGTCCCGGATATGGGATACCCTACATCAATTGAAGCCGATTCCTTAAGCGACATCTCTTACCAACCAACAAACACTCCAAAACCTGCTAATGCAATCTTTTACTTATACTATTAATTGACGTGGCTAATGCTGACGATAAAGTGAATTTTTTTTTTTCTTTTTTTTTTTTTTTTTTTTTTTTTTTTTTTTTTTTTTTTTTTNGAATAAAGTTAATTTTTTTTTTCTTTTTTTTTTTTTTTTTTTTTTTTTATTTATTTTTGGCTTCCGTCGGCACGGGACGAGACAAGGCGAAAATGGAACGAAGTTTCTTCAGTTAGGGCGAGAGGATACGGCGAGAACCGCACTTCCCCCCTACCCCCTGCCGCCAGTACATAAGTTTGCCTTAGCGCTATCAAACCCGTGTATTGTTAACCAAGGCTTTTTGCAAGAGTTTATAGGCTTTTAGGAAGTAGATACCGCTCCACTAGCTCTCTTTGCTCCCTAGTGATGAAGACGTTGCTTTCTATTCTGTCGCATGTTGTTCATGGATATGTAGGAAACCGAGCAATGACGTTTCCCTTACAGTATATGGGATGGGATGTTGATGCTATCAATACTACAAATTTCTCAAACCACCCTGGATATGGATCATTACAAGGATCAACGTCAACGGTGGATACAATTGAGAGTATTATAAGTGGTCTAAGTAAAATTTTGAGCTTACCTGATTTTGATTTGATTTTGATTGGGTATTGTCCCAATGCTGATGTTTTGCTGGTGGTTCATAAAGAGATTTCCAAAGCTTTGGGAAAGCAAGAGGCGAGGAAAAAGCTACGCTGGATTGTTGATCCCGTGTTGGGCGATAATGGCAAGTTATACGTTTCGGAAAAGGTAATACCGGTGTATATTGAGATTCTAACAAGTGGGCTAGTTTCTTTAATCACGCCAAACCAGTTTGAATTTGAAACATTGAGTGGTGAGGAAATCAATAGTTGGGAAAGTTGCAAAGATGCACTTGAAAAGTTTGCTACAAAGTTCAAAGTAGAGAATATCGTGATATCTTCAGTGCTGATAGATAACGCCTTGTATTGCGTAGCCTATACTCAAGAGCTGATTTTTTATCTACCGATAGAAAGGATAGATTGTGATTTTAACGGATGTGGTGATTTGTTCACCGGTTTGATTGCTAATGCATACTACAATGATAATTACAAGATCACACCTAAACTGATTTCAAACGTGTTGAGCAACTTGCATGAGATCTTACAATATAGCTATCTTGATGAGTTGAAAATTAACAACTTTGAACCAAAGGTTGTCAAGGATATTAGAGTTGTAGCTGCAAAATACTTGTTGGAAGAGAATGGGAAAGAACTAGTAAAGAAAATAGGATATTTATAGTAGACCACTAGTGAAGCAAAAGCGATGGTCGTTGATACTACATACTGCTCCACTAGTGAAGCGAAAGCGACGGTCGTTGATACTACATACTGCTCCACTAGTGAAGCGAAAGCGACGGTCGTTGATACTACATACTGCTCCACTAGTGAAACGAAAGCGACGGTCGTTGATACTACATACGCTTTCGCGACGGTCGTTGTTACTACATTCTGCTCTACTAGCTCGCTTCGCTCCCTAGTGTCGCACTTAATCTTGTATTTCGTTTAGTCGATTCTGTAGTATTCTATAACGATAATCCGGTGGTAATCCGGTGGTAATCCGGCTCTCCACCGGTGGCGCTATTTCGGAAATACCTTTATTTCTCGCAATTAATTCCGATCAAACCACAAATCTAAATTGTCAAAAAAAAAATCCTGATAAGAAAGATTTATTTACGGATTTTGGTTTGCCACATTATAGGAGAAAGCGTTTCCAATATACGTTAATGGAACTTTGATTTCCCTGAATCTTTAAATCTTCAAATATCTAGCTAATGACAAGGATGCCTATAGAGAAAGGACCACAAGGACAACTGTATTATAGAAGGCGCTTGCCACCGTTGAGGTTCATAAGTTACTCGCTTGTTTCCATATGCATAGTAGTCACGATTGTGGTCAAAATACTACCGGTACGACATTTGTACGTTATTACACCAGAGGAGAAGGTGGAGGAGACGCCGGAAGAAAATAGCAAAACTTTGCAGCTAAAGCATATTTTCCATCATGGCATTGGTGCAAAAGACTATACTTTACACAAGAGGTTAGATATCACACCGGCGTACCTTGCCAAGCACTCATCGTACTTTAAGTCATTATCATTCGTGGAGGCTGAAAAGGAGGAGGTTGAGGAGGCTGAAGAGGAGGAGGAGGAGGAGGAGGCTGAAAAGGGGGGGATCAATGTACTCAACACAAACACATTTGACTGGCCCAAAGTACATCGAGGCAAGAATCCATTTGATATACAACTACCGTTTAAGACTAAGCAGTATAAAATCAAGAGATTGAAAGATAGACATGAACCATTTTTTATAGAGAGCTACTTGGATTATGCCCGATCCGTTAATGGTAACGCAGAGATACTCAACAGGATAAATCTCGAGTGGAGCGATGATGATGTTTCAGTACCCAATATTACCGATAGAGATACACTTGTTTCATTAGCAACTATTTCCTCAAACGCATATGTTAGATTCCCCAAGGATGACGAAGAAAAAAAGAAATCAGACTGGATAGATGTTGGTGACTGGGATCCCGATGAACAACACAATAATATTAATTTTGGATGGGACAGTATTGGGCTTCGTGGTCATGTATTTGTTAGTCATGATAACAAAACTGTTGTGATTGGCATAAAAGGAACATCAGGTGCTGGATTACCTGGTGGAGGCAGTGATGAGACTTCTGGTATTGACAAAACTAATGATAACTTGTTATTTTCATGCTGTTGTGCTAGAGTTGGGTATATGTGGACTACAGTATGCGATTGTTATGAAAAAACATATACATGTAACCAAGATTGTTTGGAACGGGAATTGAGAAGAAAAGACCGTTATTATGAGGCTGCTTTGGATATTTACAAAAATGTTACAAAATTGTACCCCCCTGAAACCACCGAGATATGGGTAACTGGCCACTCTTTGGGGGGCGCCGTGGCCAGTTTACTTGGAAGAACATATGGTCTTCCAACTGTGGCGATTGAATCGCCTGGAGAAATGTTGGCCTCTAATAGGCTACACCTTCCCAAACCACCGGGATTGCCTAGACATCTAGAGCATATTTGGCATTTTGGTAACACTGCTGATCCGATTTACATGGGAGTATGCAATGGTGCATCGAGCAGTTGTAGTTTAGCTGGCTATGCGATGGAGACTGCATGTCATACGGGATACCAATGTGTTTATGATGTTGTTACTGATAAAGGATGGAGGGTTAATTTATTGAATCATAGAATTCATACTGTGATTGACGATATAATATTGACGTATAATGAAACAGCTCCTTGTGTTGATCAAGCTCCTTGTCGAGACTGTTTCAACTGGAGATTTGTTTCTCACGATGACGACGAGTAAGTTAGATAAGGAGAGGTAAATCTAGATCAAGTTGGAAAAAGTTTAGTAGATAAGCTTTTTTTTTTTTTTTTTTTTTTTGTTTTACACTTTTCTTTTTCCAGATCTATTTACAATGAGATTTGTAACTATAAGTAACTGGCAATTATAAGATTTGTAACTACAAGTAACTGGCAATTTGGCTAAAGGTTGGTAAAACTGTTACAACTAGAAATGTAAGTAGAAATGCAGGTAGACAGAAAAAAGCAAAAAAAATCAATTAGTAAAGCATCAGTAGGCATGCGCCACTTTAGTTGAGCTAGGAAAAAAATGGCGGTGGTAGTGGTAGTCAAGTGAACTCTCTTTTTTCCAGATCATCGACTTCCTTGACAGCTCAGCATATGTGAAAAAATGGCAGTGCTAGCTATAAAGGAAGATGACCTATACTTAAGTCAATGCATAATTATGTGACGTAAGAAAACACAGCCGTGTGCGCTAAGCGAGCTTCTTATTGTCTCTCATACTCACTTTTTTTAATTTTTTTCTTTCTTTTTGCATGTTTTGTAAGAGCAGCTAATTTTCTAAGTTCAGGGATCACTACTACAAATCGTAATTTCTAAACCATTGTCTTGAGGTGAGCTATTTACTGTTTATTATTGAAATACAAAAAGACTTAGTTTATTAACCGTTGGTTACGAGGAAATGAAGGGGCGCCGCACCAGGAATAAAAATTTCCAAATTAGAATTATGAAATTTTTTCGTTTCTTCATTTTTGTAACTCGGCTATTGTTTTTGTTTGGTCTTGATGAGGCTGTAGTGAAATTTCGAATAAACATTACTTGGAATTTGGTGAAGGTTCTAGAGACAATAATTGGTAAAGGTTCCAGAGACAATAATTGGTAAAGGTTCTAGAGACAATAATTGGTAAACCTAAAGAATCCACAAGAGAAGGTAACATAACCTTTACCACTCCTCTTTTCTTTTTTTTTTCAGCCTCAAAGTGGAGAAAAGAGAAATCCATTTTCAATGCCTCTGACTATCTCTCTCATGTGACTCTATAATCACTTCCAAGTGAACCAAAGCCTCACAGTTACTAACCCAAACACACAAAACGGAAATGGAAGAGTTCACTAAGGATTAAGAAAAAACAAACAAACAAACAAGACAAATTGGCACCTACCTAATATGCCATCATTGCCCGTCTTTTTTTTTTTTTTTTTTTAAATTTCACGTTTCATTATTATCTAATTTTAATAACCTTATTAAAAGTGAATGACAACAACAACAACAACAACCACAAATAAGACAGAAAGGACTACCTCACCTCGATTCACTCTTTCTCTTTCTCTTTTCTTTTCTTTTCTTTTACTTTCTATTTTCTCTCTTCCTTTTTCTTTACCAAACTTGGAATTTGTATAATAATCCCTATTTCTTTCCATTTTTCTAGAAAATTGACCCAGTTCCAGTTAATACAGATAGTGTGAGAAGGATATTAGGCAATGAAGGCGGTGTATACCTTGATTAATCTATTTTTCCTAGCAGGAGCCATCCTTTTACTAATATTCACTGTTCTTTCAGGCTCATCAGCTCATTCTCCTATTGATAAGTTTTACTGGCTAGAAGCAGATACTTCAGGTTTGAGAAATGCGCCAGCAGAAAGATCAGCATGGACGTTTTGGGGTGTTTGTGACACTGCGGATTACACCAACTGTTTATTGGGACCTGCTTACCCAATATCACCAGTAGATAATTTTGATACCACTAATAATATACCTCAAGAATTCATTGATAAACAAGATACTTTTTACTACTTGAGTAGATTTGCATTTGCATTTTGTTTAATTGCCCTTGGACTCACTGGGTTAGCGTTTATTATTGATATCTTGGGTTTTTGTTTATCAGTTATTGATAAAATCGTTATGGTATTGTCGAGTGCAGCATTATTTTTCATGGCGGCTTTTGCTTCAGTTCAAACCGCTGTTGTGGTTATGGCCAAGAACGCATTCAGTGATGATGATAGATTTGCTAAAGTAGGTGCTAAATCCATGGGTGTTATGTGGGCAGCATTTGTATGTATAGTCATCAGTTGGGGTTTAACGTTTTCGGCTAATATTGTCAATAGTTTTAACAAATTTAAGCAAAGAAGGGAAGAAGCTCAACAGGCCCATAGTTTCCATGAGAAGTCGATAAGTGATGATTCATCATTAAATGATACAAAGGAAGTTGTCGACGAAACAAACACTGGCGGTATACGGTTCTTTAACATTAAAAGGAACCAGAAAAATGTAGACGATGAATTGGCTTAATAGGATAGGAGTCCTTGGTTCAATTTGAGATATTCGATTTAATAGTGATAATTTAATAAATAATACCAATACTGAACTGGCAACAACCACTCTCTCCACTATCGAGCAAAGCGAGATAGTGGAACATGCTGACCAACACTATCGAGTAAAGCGAGATAGTAGAACATGCTGGCCGACACTATCGAGCAAAGCAAGATAGTAGAACATGCTGGCCGACACTATCGAGCAAAGCGAGATAGTGGAACATGCTGACCGACACTATCGAGCAAAGCGAGATAGTGGAACATGCTGACCGACACTATCGAGCAAAGCGAGATAGTGGAACATGCTGACCGACACTATCGAGCAAAGCGAGATAGTGGAACATGCTGACCGACACTATCGAGCAAAGCGAGATAGTGGAACATGCTGACCGACACTATCGAGCAAAGCGAGATAGTGGAACATGCTGACCAGCTTATTACAACACCATCTCGCTCTGCTCGACAGTGGAGGACAGCGATATCTTGCTCTGCTAGATAGTGGAGCACACTGACCAGCTTATTACTCCGCTATCTCGCTCTGCTTGATAGTGGAGCACACTGACCAGCTTATTACTCCACCATCTCGCTCTGCTCGACAGTGGAGAACAGCGGTATCTTGTTCTGCTCAATAGTGGATCACACGTGACCAAACATTATAACCGATGATGAAATTCTAGCGGATAAATTGTATTTCCCAATTGGGTAAACATTGCAAAAAAAACAAAAAAAAACTAACTAACCAATTAAAAGAGACCCTATTAAAAGGCACCTCCCAATTAAATGAGGCACTCCTCTTCTCCCAACTAAAAGAGGTACTCCTCTTCTCTCAATTAAAAGAGGCACCTTCCTCTCTCAATTAAAAGAGGCACCTTCCTCTCTCAATTAAAAGAGGCACCTTCCTCTCTCAATTAAAAGAGGCACCTTCCTCTCTCAATTAAAAGAGGCACCTTCCTCTCTCCACATGCAAGTAGCAGTAAGAGCAACATAGTCTCAAGTAGATCGAAAATACCCATAAGCTTTACAAAGTCACTCAATATTTTCCTGTTAAATGAGATGACTTCGGCAATAAATAAATATCTCGGATCGGAGTTAAAAACATCGGGTATAAGCTATAGCCAACATCAATATCAATACTAATAGCAAGCCAATAACAAGCAATAACACACGGGTTTGTAGAATAGGCTAGATCATAGAATCAGTAATGACAAAAGGTACAACTGAACAACACCTCTATTACCCTGAACTCTACACCTCAGACCTCAGCTCTACACCCCAGCTCTACACCTACAATAAATCCTTGATCCATTTTTAGACCTTTTTTTTATTTTTTCGGATCGAGTTCTTCCCTTTTTTGGCAATGTAGATGTAGCAGATTGCCTATTACTTTTAGACTCCACTCACTCTATTGTATCCTTAGATTATTCAGGAATTGTAAGCCGTTCCCAAGTGATACATCACTCAATCTCCGTCACTATTGCCTGACTCTTGAACTCTTGACTCTTATTGCCTCAATTTGTCTCCTGTTCCATTTCTAGATTAGATCTCTCGATGCTTATTGGTAGTTGCTTCTCTTTCTCCTATTACGTCAAAGACAGGGGAAAAAATAAGTTTCAATCTCATTTAATAAGATATTTCTATAGATTCTCTTTTTATAAAGCAATTGAAGGAAAAGAATTGCATAGGAGGCTAATCTTTTTTACAGTTGATAGAGGCTTATAGGTGGAAAAGTATTGCGCTGGTGGTGAAAATATTTGACACCAACAAAAATCAAAAATTTTTGAAAGAAAAAGTCGGCTTCTTGCTCATTGGTTGAAGAAAAAGTCGGCGGCTTCTTACTCATTGGTTGAAGCTGAAACGAAATTCCAATAGAACTGGTAGAACTGGTAGAGCTGGTAGAGCTGAGACTGGTAGAACTGGTAAAACTGAGACTAGTAGAACTGGTAACTGAGACTGGTAAAACTGGTAAAACTAGTAACTGAGACCTGGTTGAGCTGAGAACAGGTTAGAACTGGTTTTTTTCTTAATCTGAAAGAAACCTCATTGAGACTAGTGCTACAAAGTGTTGTTAGTGTACTCCACTATCTCGCTTCGCTCGATAGTTGTTAGTGTGCTCCACTCCACTCGATAGTGTCGCATCAGGGTTAGTTGTTGGTTGAAAATGACGCTGGCCAAAGAACATCAACACCACACTTTTAAAAAGATATTCAAGAAGGATACGTCGCCAAGTGACAAGAGCAGTGGTGGTGGTGGTGGAAACTCGTTCCCGCATGTGGGACTATCAAAGATATTTCACAAAGATTCCCCCGCCGAAAGTAGCATCAGTGGCAAAGATGCTGTCCCAATAGCTCAGCTGCCGAATTTGCCAAAACGTACTCCATCTGCGTTTTCATTAAAGCGTCGAAACACAAACCCCGTCCATCAAAACTCATCTGCAAGTGATAACAGATCGCGAAGTAACTCTGAGGCTCACCACTTACATCACCCTCAACCACATTCACTATCGCATGCTGCTGGCCCCGTGACCCATAAAAAATTGACCAAAGCCGAGACTTTTGCTCATCTACAGCAGTTGGACTCAAGAAATGCAGCAAAGCAACAATTGAGAAACAATCGAGTTCCTAGTATCCATAATAGTGGAGGAACAGGAACCGGAGGTCCAGCAAACTCGCCTTCGTTACCGAATCACGAAAAAATTGTTTACAATCCTTATGGAATGAATAAATCGCCAAGTCAAGAACAACCTAGAAACGCAAGCTTCTACTTATCGGGAGTCGTGGATGGCGAAAGAGTATTAGCTAACCCCGTGGCTAATCCCAATGACTATTTACCAGCAGAGTTGCGTCAAAAGCATGTAAATTTGTTGGAGGATTTTGAAATTGATGTAGGCACAAAGAAATTGGGAGATGGTGGATCATCGGATGTAAGAATCATCAACTCAATAAATCATAAGAAGAATCTTTATGCGTTAAAGAAGTTCACACTATTAAGTAAAGAAACAGATGAGGATTTCTATAAACGAGTACTGAAAGAATATGCAATACACAAGATGGCTTCAGCATCTCGCCATGTTGTTGATGTAATGGCAATATTGAGAATCCAAAGTCAAGCAAATTTAACTAGAGGCTGGGGTGTTGTGATGGAATTTTGTAGCGGCGGTGACTTGTTCTCACTTATTACTAGACCAGGTTGGAAACTGTCTCCATTAAATGAGAAGTATTGTTTATTTAAACAAATTGCATATGGATTGAAGTTCATACACGAACAAGATGTAGCACATCGAGATTTGAAACCAGAAAATGTATTATTGGACGCCAACGGAGTGGCCAAACTATGCGATTTTGGTGTTAGTGATTTTGGACATACAACACCGGGAGATTTTGAAAGTCCGATTAAAATGTCTTCGTCTTATGTTGGTTCTCCTCCATATTCGCCACCAGAAGTAATGTTACTAAAGGAGAAAAGTCACGTTGATGCTAAAAATTTTCCATATGATATGTTCAAATCAGATTGTTGGGGATTAGGAATGATTTTATTCTGTCTCGTTTATGCGGGAGTTCCTTTCCAACAAGCAACTACCCTGGATTATCAATATAGAGAATACCAGTTTAATCATAAACGGTTTTCATCAGATCATCAAAATTTCAAGAATAACAAGGGTATAAATAAAGGACCTGGCAGTGAATTTAAATTGGCGGCAAAATTTGAAAGTACTGGTGCTTCAAGGGTAGCATGGAAGCTTTGTGACCCTTCAATTAATACAAGATACACCATCACACAATTGATGGAAGATCCCTGGTTTACCGGGTTGGAAATGTGTATTTATGAAGATCCTGATCAAGAAGTTAACCCATTTGTTTTACCTGGTACTGGAGAGAATATTCCATCCCTATCCACCACCTCGTCAGCTGCTAATTCTCAAGCTCCATCTAGAAGGGCTACATTGATCAATAAAAACGTGTATAACCAAACTTCAAGTGGCGAAAATGGGTACGAGAGTAGTAACGATGAGATTAATAATAATAATAACAGCAGCAATAATCTAGCTGGCTCATTCAGAAGTATGTTAGATTTGAATGATGCTTCAGAAAGGATCATAGATCATGGCAACAATTATAATACCAATAAGAAAACGACATCGGTGTCATCGAGTAGCGCGTCGTTACACTCGAACGACGGAGCTCCTAGTAATAGCGTGCTGCGGGTACGCTCGATGCTTGATGTTGGCCAAAATGCGAATGGTGCATTTAGTCCAGCATCCCCATATTTGCAATATCAACAGGATCAACAGCCACAGCAGCAACAACTACACTCGTCACCAAATGGAAACTTATTTGCTTTAGAAGAAAGTGACATTGAACATGAACCTGAATGTGTTGCTTCTATGAAGCAGGATGAGCTTGAACAACAGCAACAGCAACAACAAGAACAGCAACCGTCGCCATCTTCATTAACTCACATAGATCATGTTGGTGATGTAAATAGTGGATTCAAGTTACCACCAAAGAGAATAGAACCCGAGCTGGAAGTCGATTCACCTCATAGTGATGAGGGAAGTATCAAATCCCTATATGATATCAAACCAAAAGTATCAAGAACTATCAGTGACATCAAAATTGAAAGTGATGGTACTTGTCCCTTGGGCTACAAATTGAAGAGACATCATCACAATGAAGTTAGCAATGTTACCAACAAAGCTGTACCCAGGAGGTAAAAAAAAGAAAAAAAGAAAAAAAAGACGATGTAGTTATATAGATATAGATTTTTAACTTTAAATTTTTTAACTCATTATGTAGTTTTGGCTTATGGATTCAAAATGGGAAGCATTTAAAGTTATTTAATGAAACATGCATCCAAGGAGTTTCTGTCAAATCTAGAGATATACCTTTCCCTTTTTTAACATAGTTGAACAAAGTTCGTTTATTATACAATGCTTAAAAAAAAATCATACCCAAAACGATCATGCTATTATACACCAGCACCCTTCATCAAACAGCACTTTTTTTGATAATCAAACAATAAATTATCCTACAGCAAATACATTTCCGTTTAAGCTTCTACGGCAACTCTACCCTTTGGATTAGTTACTTTGATACCGATTTTCTTAGCTTTAGCAAGAATGTCAATTCTGTTTCTAGCGGAGATATTGTGAGCAATTTCAGCAGCATATGTCTTTGTGTGTAATAACAATACATCCAAATCAGCAGTGTTCTTGACAACGAAAACTCTGTGGCCTGATGGGGTCATAAACTTGGTCTTGTTGTTTGATCCGTAACCAATGTTTGGTTGAGGGATATTACCTCTGAATCTTCTACGAACACATGAGTCGATACCTTTTTGTTTTCTCCAGTTTTCCTTAACTCTATCGTATCTGTCCGAGTGATGTCTCTTGAATTTTTTGGTGTATTTTTTCACAATCTTTGGGTGTGGAATTGAGGCAGCCACTAGAGAGAATATCGGTTAGTAAGGAAGGCCAGGATATTGGGTTATTGTGTTGGCAAACAGACTAGTACTCAATGGAGGTGACACTATCGAGCGAAGCGAGATACTGGAACACACTGACTAATGACATCGAGCAACACTCAGTAACTGCCAGATACTATCTCCACTATCGAGCGAAGCGAGATACTGGAACACACTGACTAATGACATCGAGCAACACTCAGTAACTGCCAAATACTATCTCCACTACTTTGCTCTGCTCGATAGTGTTATTATGTCACAGTAACTGCCAGATACTATCTCCACTACTTTGCTCTGCTCGATAGTGTTATTATGTCACAGTAACTGCCAGATACTATCTCCACTATCTCGCTCTGCTCGATAGTGTTGCTAGTGTCGGCTCTGCTCGATAGTGTCACTCTAGTTGCTCCTCCTTCTGTAATCTCCTAGTCCTGAGTTGTGCTAGTGATGTTTTCAACACTGATAATCCTATGGTATCATCTCAAACATACTCTTTTATATATCTGTTGTAGTAAAACCTAAAAGAGAAGGGAAAGACTGTAAAATATCAAACGTCTAATAATCAAGTACATCAATTCGAAAATTTTTCAAGCCAAAGTAACATATGGTAGCGAATAATACAAAAGAGTGCGAAATGTTTGAGTATAGGGCTGAGCCCTAAACGGAATTTTTTTTTTTTTTCTTTTCCCACTCGCGACATTGAAATGGAATAGAATTAGTTTATAAAAGTCGTGATTGAGTTTACAAAAGTCGTGATTCAAATTGAAAAAGCGACACTATCAAGCAGAGCGAGATAGTAGAGCACACTAGCTGTCACCTACACTAGCGAGCGAAGCGAGACAAGTATTGGATACCAACTTTATTGGCTTCCGGTTCCTCTGAAAAGGGGGGGCGATGATGTATCATTGGTGTAGTTTTTTGTATAAGCATCTCGCTCTGTTACCTACACTAGCGAGCAAAGCGAGACATCTCGCTCTGCTCGATAGTGAGCACTTTGTAGCTTGTTACAACACTAACGAGCGACACTATCGAGCGGAGCAAGATAGTGGAGTACCACTTTGTAGCTTGTTACAACACTATCGAGCAGAGCGAGATAGTGTCCCTCGCTCTGCTCGATAGTGAGCACTTTGTAGCTCGTTACAACACTAACGAGCGACACTATCGAGCGGAGCAAGATAGTGGAGTACCACTTTGTAGCTTGTTACAACACTGACGAGCGACACTATCGAGCGGAGCAAGATAGTGGAGCACCACTTTGTAGCTTGTTACAACACTATCTCGCTCTGCTCGATAGTGTCTTGATAGTGAGCACTTTGTAGCTTGTTACAACATTATCTCGCTCTGCTCGATAGTGTTGCTCGATAGTATTGCTCGATAGTGTTTTCAATTACACGATCGTAGCAAGTAAACAGTAAATTATAGCCATATAGGCAATAGCTGCAACAACTAATGCAATTGATAGTCTTTGCAGCTGATAGACTTTTAGCTTCTTTGCTAGTAATCGGAGATGAATCGTTTAGGACAAAAAACCAGAGAAAGCTTAGACTATTCAAAATACGAGTAATTCACCAAAATAGAGTAAAACAATTTGCACTTTGTAGCTTGTTACAACACTATCTCGCTCTGCTCAATTGTGTTTTACCATATTGAGTATCGACTTTATAATTTACAATTTAAACTTTATCAATTTTCTCATTTTGTTTTTCTCCTCTTTTTTTTTCCTCAATAGTATTGTTCAATGTTGTGGAGTCGGTTCGATAAGTCTCGGAATTTTTCCGATATTTGCCGCACTCAATTTTATTTTACTTGCATATAAATTACCGGACCTAATTTTACTTTACTTGCATATAAATTACCGAACCTAAATTTACTTTACTTGCATGAAAAATTACCAAATTGGGCCAAAAGCAAAAGCCAGCGTTATATAATAATCACGTGACCGAGCAATGAGGTGTATTATGGACCATTGCTATCAGTTGAGATGGGAATCATGAGAGGAGGAAGAAGAAGAACAACAAGAAAGAGATTGAGTAGCTTTTTCAGGAGTTCTTCACCCTTAGTTGCTGCCCCGCTTTGCGCGCTTTTCCTACTTGGTTTGCCTGTCTTTTTGCTGCTTCTGTTAACTGATACATGGCGCTTTGTTACTGGTAACAGCTATTCCCACTTTACTTTAGCCAACTTTTGCAGCTTGGATTTGCTCGCTTTTGTTGAATCTCTTTTCTTGGAGCAGGTTAATATGAGCATGCTATTTGATAGAGATATAACCACCAATGGGTTGCTATACTATCTAGCCTTGGGGATTCTTATCTGGCTATTAACTTGGTACATTGTCTATCTAATTTCCGGGTTCCACTTGAAAACAATCACCATAAACAATGGCATATCTTTCAATGGAGTATCGTTTCAAACCAAAAGATTCAATGTCAAGATACGATCTCTAAGATTCAGATTATGGGGGAACACCAAGATGACCATTGTTGATGACCTCACTATTAAACTATACACTAAATCTAAGGAATCCACCACACCACCACCATCACCATCATCGTCACAACCAAAACAACAATCAGAAACACCGGATTTCGACACCTCCCATATCTGTGTGTATTCCAGAAACAAACTTGTCAGAATAACCACCAGCTTCCTTATAAAGCACTTTCCAACACTAGACTTGGAACTAAGAAACACATCTATTACATCTGCATTTGGCTACGAGACAAAGATACACTATATCAAAACTAATATTACATCTAGAAACAGTAAAAGGCATCTCAACAAGGTAAAGTTTAAAACAGGGTTATTCGTCAATGAAGTAACTCATCAAATACAAGCAAAACAAGTTTTGCTTACCCCGTTTCAACTCCGTGCATTTAGAGTCGATATCGGGTTTTCCATCAACACCATAACAGGTTTTTTGGACTCGTTGATTGGGAAAGTAAACATATCAGATAGCAATGTACTGGTATTCAGCGGTATAAAGTATTATGTCTTGTACGACGAGTTGAAACACGAGCATAATACCAATCGAAACACAAACTGGCATGAGTCAGGGTCAGATTCAGACTCAGACTCGGAGTCAAAGTCAGAGTCGGTGCCGGAAACCGAAAACAATGAGCGTAAAGCTAAAGAACGTAACAAGAAAAGAAAACTACATACACTAGATAGGACCTTGAAGATATTATATCACCTTATTACCGATATCACAATTCACATTGAAGGTTCCAAGATTTCTGAAATACCTTTTGTTTTGATAGATGATAACTTGAGTATTTCCGATTATTACAATGAACCACGGCCAAGAACGTCATTGGAACTTTGTACTAAAGCAATTACATTCAATATCGCACGCATTGATGAAGACGCAGCTGGCTTCGAGGTCTTGTTTGACCCAACAACTGATTCTCCCTTCCACTGGACAAGTTCAATTCAATTGATAAAATTATTCTTTGTTCGAAGAGTAGAATTGTCTACGGGGCATTTCGGTCACGAATCTGATGAAGTGTTGAATGTACCCAACTTTTCGTTTACGCATAAAACAAACTTGCTAGGGCAATTGGTCAAGGCAAAAGGTTTCAAAAATTGCGTTATGGAAGTTTACTTTTCAGCAAGCACCCCGATTTTTGACATTGATGCTAAACAATTGAGTGCTATTCTCTATAATATCGTGCTACTCAAAAAATGGATGAAACTAAGAAAATTGAGAAGAGCTTTGAATAATCAACAGCAAGGTGATGTGGTTGAGAGTAGCGATACAACAAAGATAGATTCTGGCGAGGACGACGAGGACGACGACGAGGACGACGTTGTTGATGATGATGATAATGATTACGAAGGAGAAGATGCTAGAAATAGAAAAGGCGACACGGAAGTTGAACCATTGAAAGCAAAAATGTGGAGGTATTTAAACGAATACTATCCAAGATTGGACGTAAAGTTGGTTATTGAGCAACCTCGAATTGTTCTAAGACACTACGAACCAGGTAAGCACACTCAATTATTGAGCTTTTCTTACTCATTGTTGAATTTCAATTTGTCTACAACGGACTCTAGAGACTATTCTTCTACACTTGAGGTTCTTCACCCAAGTATCCTTTATCAAGAAAAGTCATCACTAGATGCAAAAGAATTTAACAATGAAATAATCAAGAAACGTATTGCTCACTTATCATATCTCAATATCAAATTGGACATCTTCAAGAATTTGACAATTAAGGCGGCAGTTGAATTGCATAAAATTTCCGTGAATTTGACAAGTTTAGATATATTCAGAGGTATTCATTGGTTGTTGCTGGACATTACCAAGTTAACCGAGACCGATCTTCAAATTGGAGTGATAAATAGGGCTTTTAACAAAGAAATAAACCTTATTAGAATAAACCTGAGGTATTCAGAATTGAGGAAGCAACATTTGTCCAATGTCGAACAAACTACATTGGAGGATAAATTATTCTGCTATTTGCCCTCTTGGTTAGCTCAATTAGATATCGCAATGGACTCTGTTGACATATTGATTGGAGCAAGATCAGTATTAATCCCAACAGATCAATTATTCCACTCCGACTCGCCAGCATTAGAATATGATACCGATGTTAATAAAGACTTGCGGAAGTTAAACTTGAAACTTGGCTTTTTATCCACCCGCATTCTTAATCACCAATTACTCAGTACCCCCACTAAGCAACTGTTTTATAGAACCAACTCACCGACTTCGCTGGAAACCTTGACTTCGGTACAAGATACGTCTTTCTGGTCAGTAACAACCAAAGTCGACATGTTGCAAGTACTTATGCCAGACGACAACAGTACAAAACACTCCAGCACCGATCCTTTTATTACGTTTCCTCAAATTGAGATGAGCATTGAGTCAATAAGGAAGTTCAGAGAGATTAATCAACTTTTGGTAAATACAAAAGTTGATAAAGTGCAGCTCAACTTTAATTTGTTTAAGCTATTCACAATAATTGGATCAATATACTTGATAAGGGAATTTATAATCTCGCCAATAAAGCTTATCAAAACAAAGGTTAGAAAGGACCTTCATCAGTTTCAAGACTCTGTTTCTTCAATACAACTGCTGCAGTTTCGTTCTCGTTCTTCTCCTCCAAAATCAACTATAGATTTCTTAACCTGCAAGTTTAAACTTGATACTGTGGACTTTGTTTTCAAATTACAGGATGAGTTTAAACTTAAATTGCAAGTCTCTGATATACAAATGGAGTTGCAAAATAGAACTGCAAAACTTTCGTTGTTTTTCATCCGGTTGCTTGCAAACTCGCCTACAGTGGAAAACAAATGGTGCAGACTTTTATGTTTGGATTCGTTGGAGTTGGGATCTCAAATACCCAACTCAATTAGTGATTTGAAAATCGATATTCATACCGATGCGATTCGATTAATCCAACCTCACAAGTTTGTGGTGTACAAACTATTTGACAACATCTCGCTCACTATTAAACTGGCCAAACATTTGATAAGACTCCTTAAAGCAGGCAACGACAAAGAAGGTGCTAGCGTTGTCCACCCCCATGAACAAAAACCTATCCTGTTACCAAAATTGAACATACATTCAAGGCATTTGAAGTTTGCGATGGAGGATGATCCGTTTGAAACTGAATTGAATATGATTTACCAGTTGGGTAAAGTGGAACAAAGGAAAAGGCTTGAACTTTATGACTTATTTGACGCAAAGGAAAAGCTGCTTCGTGATGATAAGCATTATTTTAGCAAATTGAATAGATTACACGAGACCATGGCAAATTCGTGGATTCGAAAAGTTCGTGTATACAAATTACAACTTCGACGAGAGGTTGTCGCTCATAAGATATATTTGTTTGGTAATGAGACAAGGTTCGACTCAGACTATAACAGCGATGTGGTTGCATACCCATTCCACGCTCCATTGTTGACTATTGGAATGGAAGATTTCAATTTGAAACTTAGAAGGCCAAAATTTGAGTTGGAGAAAGTATCCAGTTTTATCCATAACGTGGGGCAAGGTGTGCCTAAGGACACTCCTTACTCTTTACTAATTCCCACTTATTTAAAATTGAGGGTTGCGGAAATGAGAATGCAACTTCGAGATTACCCACTTCCCATTTTGCATTCTCCTAGGAATAAGAATCCAAATAACGCAAGTTTGATGATGTCTGGCCATTTGATTATAACCGAAGTATTGGTTACTGCACAGGAAAATATCAGACAATTATATGTACCATTGGTTCCGCCAAAAAATGGTGAATTGAACAAATTTGATGCTTTGACAATTGAAAAGACATTGTCAAGTGTGAAGATGTATACTAGTATGAAATGTGATTTCAACTCGGATTACCCAACTAGAATAGTTTGGGGAACCTCGTATGAATTTGGTATACAGCAATTTATGTTGAATTTTGATCAATTTTCAAAGCCACCTGTTGATCCTTCAATGAAATTGGGATTTTGGGATAAACTCAAGTATATTCTTCATGGATCGTGCACTATCAAAACCAGAACTAGTCTTGAAGTTGGATTCAAAGGATCTAGAGATCCGTATGAGTTGTTAGGTTCAGCAACAGGGTTTGTGCTTAGTTTCAAAAACAATGTGGTGTGGAAAATCAATAAGGATGATAATTCCAAAAACTTTTTTGACATTACTGCGGAGAAAGCATCATGGTACATTCCAAATTATTTGGGTGCACCGCTATTAGCTTGGACAAGAAACAGCGTTGACTCAATTTACTTGTCTGATTCAGATAAGTTTATAAGCTCTTGTTTTGCATACTATCTTGATGAGTCACTATCATCATCATCGCCATCGTCGTCCACGACAAAACCAGATTTGGACCGTCTAAATAACGTTTTCGCAAAGAATACGATTGGATTGAATGGAGGCATCAAGTTTAGGGTTGGTTTTTTACTTCAGCGTAAAGTAGATGGTAAAAGAGTCGATGATTTCAAGCCTCATTACAACGTTCAGCTCATGAATCCGAAATTTTGCGAGGAGGGACATGATTCTTATGCGGGTTTTCGAAGTGAATATATTCATATGGCTATTTCATTAACGGCAGACCGTGAGAACGCTTACAATGCCATACATTTGAGTCCTGGTGCATTCACTCAGTTTTTTGCATGGTGGAAATTGTTTGCAAGTAACATGATGTTACCTATTCGAAAGGGGCCGCTATTTGGAGAGAGCAAGAAAAAGGTTAAATTCTCACAGCACTTGTTTACAAACAAGTTTTCATTCTTTTTGAAGTCATTGTTTATTTCTCATATATACAGAGACGAAATTGTGGATGTGGAAGAGGATAGAATTGAATGTGTTGGTTTAAGAGCCAAAATGGATGAATTTTCCGTGGATTTGCACCAACGAAAGGAACCTGTAACATTGTATCACGAGGAACTCTCAAAAGAAACAAAGGTTATGAAGATGGTGTTTAACGTTGGAGAGGTTGTATTATCAAAAATCGATATGCGTGTTGTCCGTGCGTCTTTTACTCAAAACTTTTATTCCCAAAACACAAAGAATGTGGATAAGAATGATAAGGAGAAGAAGTCTAAATATAACATTTTTGGAAATGACCGTCAATGGTTTGATATCCAAGATTATGAAGAGCCATTTTTGCCTTCGGTGAAAAATTGTGGCCGTGTTATTGATATATATCCCTTGATGTTCTCGCATTGGTTTTCTTATGAAAGAGATACAGAAAAGGATGCTAGTAAAAACCAAGATGATGATGAATATGGAAATGAAGATATTCACGATTGTAGGTTAAAGAGTAAGGATCCAACGGATGTGCAAGTAGAGGATTTATCAAAGAGACTAAAAAATTTGGAAGAGCAAATTGCAAAAGTACGCAAAACAGGCAAGTCCACTTTTGACTTGGAAGAACGCATTAAGTTTATCAAAAAGGAAATTGGTAAAGTGTCAAACGGAGACCGAGTCAGTTATCAGCGTGCTTCAACGGCGAGCTCTTTATTAGAAAAAAATGAGCATTTTCATAATAAATTTACTTGGTTAAGCATGCTTCTCAAGTGGAACGTCACTTGTCGGAATCTTGTCATGAAATACATTCACTTTGTTCAATTGAGGGCTTCCTTACGCAAGTACTTATCCCACGAGTCCATCGCTATGTTGGATAAAATTATAGATCATACAAATGAGGCTTTGGAGAGTGATGATTTGTCGTCATGTGCCAAAACTTTAAAGCGTGTTATTGATGAAGGAAATGATGATGATACTTCCCTTGAAACTGATTCCAGAGCAAAACAAATGTCATCCAAGGAAAAGTTGGTTTCTTTTGATAAGATTTTGAAAAAGGTAAACAAGGGAGAAACTTTATCTGAAGACTATCTTATTTCAGTGATTGCGCCTCAGATACAATTGCAAAGCAACGAGTCGCCCGACTCAGTGGTACTAATTTCTGCTCCCGCAATCAATAGTAAAATTGTGTCAGTGTTGGATTTGAAAGATGCAGCAAGGGCTGAGACTCTTGAGACAAGGTACGGAAGTATTCTTAAAAACGCTAATGTTTTCATTTTAGATAAGCAAGACGTGCTTGAATCGAGCAGGTATATCACAGTTCGACACCCATATGGTGCCGATTCTTCTAACTGGCCACCATGGTTGGGTACAGAGGTTACCCAAAGGGGCGAATGGGCTGGTGAAAGTCATTTGCTTATTAAGAATATGTCCGTTGGTGTACTATTCTACAATACCGAAGTTTTGGGAGGCAATATATCCAGAATGAGTGGTGATACCTGTTCTGAAGCTAGGAGTGCCAAAAGTGAAATTGAATCAGCACAAGTGCAGGCACAAGCGGATAGAATGACACCAAAAAGATTGATAATTGATATGCCGTCTATTGTTTTGACTTCGACATCGTCCCAGTATTTCACACTATACGTGATTGTGATTGACTTGCTATTTTACAGTGAACCCATGACCAAGTACATTGAGGATAAGATTGAAAAGATGAAACTCTCTATAGACTTTGAAAGTTTAGGTGCAGTAGCGGAGAAAGTTAAACAAATGCAGGCATATTTCCACATGTTGAGATGGTTGACATCGAATTATAGTTTTCGAAATGGGCACCTAAGCAATGAAAAGTTGAATGAATACTTGCAAATTAATCTTACCAGTGGTGATGTTGCTAGTGACGTATATTTGTTGCTAAAAACATTATTTACTGGAGACTTCTTTGATGATGTGTCAAAAAATCCCCAAATAGCGTGGTTGATTAGAGCTGATGAGTTTATTTTACACATTTTAGAGGATGATAGAACACCAATTTTAGACTTGGCTTTAGCAAATGGTGAGTATGAAAGAAAAGAACTTGAAGGTGGATCGAACATAAACAAACTAAAAATTGGAATGATGCAAGGATTCAATTTGATCAAAAGTGCCAAATTCCCTGACTTTATAAGTCCGTTTAATATGCAAAAGGACAAAGATTTGGTTGATTTGGACTGGACTATGAATCGATCAGTTGGAGGGATAAGAATCTTGGAAAATATAAAGGTTAATTCATTACCGTTGAGTATCAAGATTGATGAGATTACAGGTGAGAAGCTTTTAAGGTTTATTTTCCAAACTGACTCTATCGATATAAAGAATAGCAAAGTGATGAAGGTGGCCAATAGTTTAGAATCAAAAAAGAAGAAAATGGAAGAAAACTTGTCGGATGATGGGGATGAGTTTGGATTAATCGATCAAACCGAAGGTATCAATAAAAGTGTTGATTTTGACAAGCTTGCAAGACAGGAGCAAAGTACTAATAGCTCGAAAAGTAATAACAAAAAGAAGAGTTTGACCAATGTTGGAACCCCGGACCGTTTAGGTCTCGATGACGAACAGAGTGATGAACAGGTGGAGCAAATGGTCAAAAGATCTAAAACTTATTTTTCTATTATTTCCTTACTAGTAAAACCAATCACTTTGCAAATTACGGTGAGGTTGAACAAAGGCTTGAAGAGAATCTTGAATGTTAGTGATTTTACATTGGATTTACCAGAACTTGTCATTCAAAACAGAATAATGTCGTTTAATGATTTAGTCAATTTGATGAAGAAAGTGATATACAAGACACTAATGGGTCATCTTGGAAGCCTACTTGCCAATAAATTAAAACCTCACACTGTTGGTTCAGGAGAATCTGAATTGGGGCCATTAAAGCAAGTCAAACATTACGGAAAGTTCATTCCTGTAAGGGAATTGGAAGCAACCAATTCAGCATCTACCTAGCACACTGTCATTGACACTATCGAGCGAAGCGAGATAGTGGAGCAACACTAGCTCTTGACACTAGCACTTGACACTAGCACACTGTCATTAACACTAGCTCTTGACACTAGCACACTGTCATTAACACTGTCATTAACACTAGCTCTTGACACTAGCACACTGTCATTAACACTGTCATTAACACTAGCTCTTGACACTAGCACACTGTCATTAACACTGTCATTAGCACTAGCTCTTGACACTAGCACACTATCGAGTACACTGTCATCAACAGTACAGTGTGCTAGTGTTACTCCACTATCTCGCTTCGCTCGATAGTGTGTTTACTCCTTACCCTTTACCCTTTACTCTTTATTCACGACATATAGCTATGCTTCTTCAATTCACCTCCAAGCTGTGTTTTCTTCTTCCTCTTGCGACTCTTTCCGTCTTCATCAATATCGTCACCCCCACCACCCATACCTGTTTGTTGATCATTAACGGCCAAATCAAGAGCATTGAAACCTGGTATACCAGAAATTGGCGTTCGATCAAAACGTAACGCTTTACCTAACAAATCTTGGTCGAATTCTCTAATAATATCTGGATGTCGTGGTATCAGTGGATCCATCAAACCAATAGCTATTGACTTCAGTGGAGGGATTTGATGTTTCCCTGGTAAATCTTGAATATGCGCTTTATAGGATTTTCTTAGCTTAACATTTTTGGAACCGTCAGGATTCGTTCTCGCCAACTGTTTAGCTATTGGCTCGAGGTTATATAATCGTACAAGGTTATCTAGAGGTGTTGGTCTAGATGGTTTATAAGTTTCTAAAAAAATACAATCATTAGTAATAGAAAAGGACGAAAAGAAACTAAAAGCTGGTATACATACTACCTGTATCCACCAAATAATACTCGTCTGGCCTCTTGGTCTGTTCATTCGTCATGGTTAAAGTACTTATCCTTATAGCTCCCCCTTCTTTGCTTCAAATTCAAAGTCATTGCAATATTTGTCGGATTTTGTGTCGCGTTTTGAAGTTGCGACAAATCACCGACACCATCCAACACCGTCGAGCGACACCGTCGACCAACACCATCGAGCGAAGCGAGATGGTGTTGCAACAGGCTAGTGAGTGTTGTAAGAGGCTAGTGAGTGTTATAACGAGCTAGTTAGTGTTATAACAAGCTAGTGAGTGTTATAACAAGCTAGTGAGTGTTGCAATAGGCTAGATAGTGTTGTAGTAGGCTGGTTAGTGTTCTAGCAAACAACTGAGTGTTGCTCCGCTATTGACACTATCGAGCGACACTAACGAGCAGAGCGAGATAGTGTTGTAACAGGCTAGTTAGTGTTGTAACAAGCTGCTTAGTGTTGTAACAGGATAGTGAGTGTTGTAACAAGCTGCTTAGTGTTGTAACAGGATAGTGAGTGTTGTAACAAGCTGCTTAGTGTTGTAACAGGATAGTGAGTGTTGTAACAAGCTGCTTAGTGTTGTAACAGGATAGTGAGTGTTATAAAAGGCTAGTTAGTGTTATAAAAGGCTAGTTAGTGTTGCTCCATTATCGAGCGACACCAACGAGCAGAGCGAAATAGTGTTGTAACAAAGAAATGCTACTCGCTATCTTGCTCTGCTTGATAGTGTTGTAACAAGATATCAAGTGTTTGGCTATCTCGCTCTGCTTGCCAGTGTTATAACAGGCTACTGAGTGTTGCTTCTATTATTATCTGCTGGTCTCCTGCTTTACTCTACTCTACTCCAATATCTACTAGATTCTACTAGATTCTACTTCACTACCCTCTTTCACTAGTTTCTACTAAATCTACTCCAATCTTTACTCAATTCTACTCTACTCTACTCAATTCTACTCTACTCTACTCCATTAGATTCTACTCTACTACTTAATGGTTTCTACTCTACTACTTAATGGTTTCTACTCTATTCTACTATAATCTACGATAATCTAACGTCTATTGTAATCTAGAGTCTACGATAATCTAAAGTCTACTATAATCTAGAGTCTACTATAATCTGCTCTACTGGTATCCTCCTCTACTCTCTTCGCCTATTTTACTTCAATTTGCACTATCAAGCGAAGCGCGATGATGTTGTAACAAGAGAGTTAGTGTTGTAACAAGCTGGTTAGTGTTGTAACAAGCTATTGAGTGCTGCTCCGCTATCTCGCTTCGCTCGATAGTGTCGCAGCTATAAAGTGTTGCTCCGCTATCTCGCTTTGCTCGATAGTGTCAGTCTGTACTTGGATGGTGTACATATATATGAACGATAAAAGCTATAAAAAAATACATTAATACAAATACTGCTTATCATGAGATCTCTTTACCTGTGAAAATGAATTAAAGAAGAAAGAAAGACTAAACACCCCCTATTACAACCACCACCAACTACCAGGGTTTGGGTTTGATAGATATGATACGACACTATCTGCCACCAATGAAAGTAAGTGACCTCTTGAAGAAAACTTGACTCAACTTTCCAACTAGTTTGTTCTATTTTAGTTTATCTTCAGCCACAGTTAGTTTAGCAGTATCTGATTCCAACTTTTCAATTTCTCCTTCATTAACGTCATGTTCTTCTTTTAGTTCTTCTTCTTCTTCTTCTTCTTCTTCTTCTTCATCATCATCATCGAGTGACAAGACAGAAAATTGTGATTTTTGAGGACCTTGCTTTTCCTCTGCTTTCTTTTTGTCGTCTTTATTACGTTTATTACTAATGTGCTGCTGTGATGATGATGGTTTTGTTGTACGCTGTGGTAAAGATTGTCCCCTTTTCCATTCTAGTCCAGAATCGGAACTTTGTTTTCCATTGGTATTATGGCTGTTGTTATGGCTAAAAGACCTATTTGGTCTTTCTCTAAGTGGCAAGTCTGCTTGTGTGCCTCTTGCTGAACTCCAATCCAAATCTTGTTTTTCTGTTCTGGAAGTACGAGTACGGTTGTGTTGTTCCCCGTTATTATTGTGGTGATTTTCACCATAGCTTGCTTTTCTATTAGATTTCTCCCGTGGTGGTAATTCCGCCTGTGTAGTTCTTGCTGAACTCCAATCCAAATCTGGCTCTTCTGATTTGGGAGTACGAGTATGGTTATGTTGTTCGCTACTGTTGTTGTTGTTGTTGTTGCTGTTAAAACTAGACTTTCTATTAGATCTTTCTCTTGGAGGCAATTCAACTTGTGAACCTCTAGCTGAACCCCAGTCCAAATCTGGCTCTTCTCTCTTTGGCTTAAATTCTCTATTGTGTCCCTCTCCTCTAAATGATCGTTCTCTAGGTGGCAATTCTGCTTGTGAACCCCTGACTGCTCCCCAATCCAAATCTGGCTCTTCTCTTCTTGGAGTACGTGCAAAATTAGATTCGCCGTCTTTATGGTGGTGGTGGCTATCACCAAAACTAGATGTTCTATTGAATCTTTCTCTTGGAGGCAATTCAACTTGTGAACCTCTAGCTGAACCCCAGTCCAAATCTGGCTCTTCTCTCTTTGGCTTAAATTCTCTATTGTGTCCCTCTCCTCTAAATGATCGTTCTCTAGGTGGCAATTCTGCTTGTGAACCCCTGACTGCTCCCCAATCCAAATCTGGCTCTTCTCTTCTTGGAGTACGTGCAAAATTAGATTCGCCGTCTTTATGGTGGTGGTGGCTATCACCAAAACTAGATGTTCTATTGAATCTTTCTCTTGGAGGCAATTCAACTTGTGAACCTCTAGCTGAACCCCAGTCCAAATCTGGCTCTTCTCTCTTTGGCTTAAATTCTCTATTGTGTCCCTCTCCTCTAAATGATCGTTCTCTAGGTGGCAATTCAACTCGAGAGCCTCTAGCTGCTCCCCAATCCAATTCGACTCCCATTTCTCCTCTGCGCTCGCCAAATCTATCATTTATAGGCTGGGCTACATTGACATACATTATCCTACCTAGAAAATCTGTTGCTGATAAATTTAAACTTTCCTCCAAGAAAGCACGCAGGGTAAATGTTAAAAATGCAGATCCTCGAATTTGACCAGTTTCTCTATCCACAGGTAACTTACACTCGGTAATGCAATCTTTTGCTTGCATTCTATCTTCAAAATGTCTAACAACTTTTTCCTCGGTGATTTCCCATGGCAAATTTGTAACATGAGCACGGAATGGAGGATGATCGGGAACTGGATACTTGATTCTTTCTCTTCTTTCTCCGCCCATTGCGCCTCTACCACCACCAACTCCAGAAAAGATTGGCGCACCTCCAATTGGTGCTTCGGTGCTAGCAGTTGGATTTTCAATACTGAACGCAATAGAGTTCATATCGACTTCTTCGTCGGCCCATGAGTTGCCCCCAAAAGTGTCATCTTTCAAAAAGGACCCCAAGTCCATCTTAATACTTTTCTTAGGTGCCATATCTAACTAACTAGTATATTTCTTATAAACCTTCAGAATTACAGTTGTAAAAGAATAAATAAAAAAAAATAACAACGACAGCACAATAAAACCCAGCTCTCTAAACTTGTTCTATCTACCTGCTCAAAAAGTTTGGTGACTTTTTACTTGAAAATTCACTCTTGTTTGAAAATTATTGCGAGATGATAAAGCTTGAAAAATTTTCGTTTCATTTTTCATTTCTTTTTTTCCTTCGTTTTTGTGATTTGTTTTTTTTTTCCTTCTCGTTTCAACCTTTGCAATTTATCAAGGTAGGTTAGTAGGAGCCAACGGGTCGGATGGCTCCTAGGGGGTAAGGTGCACAGGATCTTTGTAGAGATGTAAATGTTGGGATTGTAAATTGTATATGATATAGATGTCAGGATTGTAAATGGTATAATATTGTTGGGACACAGCTGTTAAAGTAGTGAAGCGAGACGAAATCGTATATTTTACTAGCTACGATAATTAAAACAAACTTACACACGCTGGAAAGAAGAAAAAAGGGATAAATTAATTGGAAAAAAATCACCCCTTTGAGTTTTAGACTCTCGATGATTTCTCCTGCTCTTGTTTCTCACATCTCGAATTTGAGACTCTCGATGATTTCTCCTGCCCTTCTGCCCTTGCCTCTCACCCCTCGAATTTGAGACTCTCGATGATTTCTGCTGCCGCCCTTGCTTCTCACCCCTCAAATTTGAGACTCTCGATAATTTCTGCTGCCCTTCTGCCCTTGCTTCTCGCCCCTCGAATTTGAGACTCTCGATAATTTCTGCTGCCCTTGCCTCTCACCCCTCGAATTTGAGACTTTCAATAATTTCTGCTGCTGCCCTTCTGCCCTTGCTTCTCACCCCTCGAATTTGAGACTCTCGATGATTTCTGCTGCCCTTGCCTCTCACCCCTCAAATTTGAGACTCTCGATAATTTCTGCTGCCCTTCTGCCCTTGCTTCTCACCCCTCGAATTTGAGACTCTCGATAATTTCTGCTGCTGCCCTTGCCTCTCACCCCTCGAATTTGAGACTCTCGATGATTTCTGCTGCCGCCCTTGCTTCTCACCCCTCAAATTTGAGACTCTCGATAATTTCTGCTGCCCTTCTGCCCTTGCTTCTCGCCCCTCGAATTTGAGACTCTCGATAATTTCTGCTGCCCTTGCCTCTCACCCCTCGAATTTGAGACTTTCAATAATTTCTGCTGCTGCCCTTCTGCCCTTGCTTCTCACCCCTCGAATTTGAGACTCTCGATGATTTCTGCTGCCCTTGCCTCTCACCCCTCAAATTTGAGACTCTCGATAATTTCTGCTGCCCTTCTGCCCTTGCTTCTCACCCCTCGAATTTCAGACTCTGTTCTCGATAATTTCTCTTGAGAAAGTAACGCTGTTGGATTGAATCCTTTCTTGAAGTCTCTCTTGTATATTTTCTGCGTTAGATGATACTGGCAGCGACAACAAAAGAACATCTATAGGATCTGGTCCTATTTCCTCGCTTGTATTAGGCATAATAGTGGTAGCATCAGCACTAGCTGCTGCTACCGCTGCCGCTGCTGCCGTTGCTGCCGCTGCTCTTGCTTCTTCTTCTCTATAAGATTTTGCAATGAACAAGACCGCCCAATTAAACAAATCGTTTTTGGTAATGCCCACTAATTTCCACCAAATAATTTTGAAAAACCTACCATACTTCTTGTTAGCCATATCATGGGCTCTTTCCTCTAAATTTAGATTCGCGTACCTTGGATCATTCAAGGTAATGCGAACTCTTTCTGAAATAGGCACTAGTTCTTGTAACATTGCTTGAAGTGAAGGATTGGTGCGAATTTCATCAAGGTCGATGCTATAGTTATCATCGTCGTCGTCTTCATTATTATCCTCTTCTTCTTCTCTTGCTCCTCTTCCTTCTCTTCTATTGTTGTTGTACGTTCCCGAAAGCGCAGAGACATCTCCATCATTGTTTGATTCACCATCCTGATGGTAATCTCTTTTAAATAAATAATCTCTCTTACACATGGGACAGCAAGCACGTCTTCTTGTAACCCATGGATCTATGCATGTTGCATGAAAAACATGGCCGCAAATCAATCCACGGACCATCTCATCCTCATCAATTGTTTCTAAACAAATGGCACAAGCACCAGAATCATAGTGTATACTGCGCGCCTCTTTTTCGTCATCATCATCATCATCATTATTATTATTGTTGTTGTTGTTGTTGTCGTAATTATCATGCTGTTGAGTTCCAGACCCGTTTTTAAATGATTTCCCAATTATGGTCGATTGTGCTGTTGTGCCTTCGTCTGCTAAATCATGCTCTATGTCAGTACAGGTAACAGTACCGCCTAGACTCTTCATTTCTATCTCTTTGTTCAGTTGCGCATCTGTTTCTTCTCTTGTAGTATATAAAGTATTTACTGACTCACCTTCATCAGTAACTCCAAGATTCACAACGAGATCTTCGTCTTTTTCGTCATAATCAGGTTCTTCCTTGATCTTGCCTTCTCTGTTCCTAACATCTCTTTCCTTCCCTCCATTTAACCAATCATAGTAGCTCTTTTTAGGAAATAATTTTTCAACTTCCTCCATGGTCAATTTCTTCATTTTGCTGAACCTTCTATTTCTTCGTCCTCTACCTCTTACCGTTCTTCTTCTCCGTCTCCTATATTCCGAACCTGTAATATTACCCAGTTGGGAAGGATTAGCTAACCTTTGTTCGATAATGTCAGCTCGTAGGTCACGATGATCTCGAATATAGTTTAATTGTTCTTCAATCTCGGTATTTGAGAAAACATGAGCAAATGTATCACCACCACCACCTCTTTGTTCTCCTTCTGACCTTCCAGTAAACAAAAAAGGCGCTCTTGGGTATCCATAAAATATTCCTAATCTTCCTCTGCGTGCTCCGCCGCCATTACCGCTACCACCACCACTTATGGGAACACCCACTATACCATATTTAGACCTAACAAAACACCTCAAGGTAAAATAAACAAATAGTAAAGCAATAAATACCCCTACAGCCAAGGCTAGGATAAAAAGAACTGTTGAAGGTGTACTTCCTATAAATGCAAATGTATGGTTTTCATTACTTGAATCAAAGCTATTTTCGCCATCTTCTGGAGATGGACCAGCCGTATAGAAAGAACCGGCCGAGGAGGAAGGATAAAGTAGTAGGGTAGGTGCTGATTGAAATCCATCATTTGGAACAACTGTTGTCTGTTGACTCATGGTGGAAACCCCTTTTTACTTGGAAATATATCTGTAAATAGTTTGCTGGTCAACAGTAAATAGTTTGTTGGTGTCAATTGCAAATAGTTTGTTGGTGTCAATTGGGTTTTTAAATGTGTTGATAGTATGGTGATGGTATTCAAACATGCATATACCAGTATATGTATGTAAATGCGTTATCCCTACAATAATGTGGGAAAAAAGGATATAAACCCCCTTATTGTCAGCAAGTTGACAACTATTGAGAAAACCGCACGGGTGGTTGAAAACTATTGAGAAAACCGCACGGGTGTGGTTGATTAGTTGGGGAGGACTGTTCCACTATCGAGCAGAGCGAGATAGTTTGTGTTTCTCAAAAGTGTAGCTTCAATGACGTTCCCACCCAATTATCTCTCGATTATGAGGGAATCTTAATTAAGGTTATTTCTCTGTAATATTGGTGCTATATTTGCCCCTTTTTATTGAACAGAAAAGGGGCCACACAAGAAGGTGAGAAAAGGGGCCACACAAGAAGGTGAGAAGTGGGGGAGAGGGAAGGGTGAGAAAAGGGGGGAGGCGGCAGAGTTGAAGAGAAAGTAGTCTCGACGTGACTTCGGTGTAGACTCGTTGTATCAACTGTCTCCTCAAAAGGTGGACTATAGAAACGTAGTGAATTTCAAAACGTAACCCGTGTGTGGATCGATAGCATCTGTGTGGTCAGTGCTGCTCCCAGTCGATAGTGTCGGGGGTTAGGTTCAAATGTGTCACTACAATCGAGTCGCACAAGTAACTACAATAGGTAGAGGGCCATCATAACTAATTCATTTTGATGTCACTACAGTCGATCGCATCGTTATAACATCAGGTCAATTCCTAGTCTCTAAAGTAAGTAGGTGTAGACTCCCTAAAGAAAAAAATCAAACTATCTTGACGCTGTCCCTAATTGAACATTCAGGGTGAAAAAAGTCCCCATACTCGAGGTGCTCTTTTAGACAAAGTGCTATTCGAGGTGCTCTTTTGGACAAAGTGCTATTCGAGGTGCTCTTCTGGACAAAGTGCTATTCTACACATTATTGTCTCAATAATGTCACTAGTCAATTTGCTCGATAGCGTCGCCATTATCAACAAACAAAAGACAAGGCTAATTCAAAATAGGGGCTTTAAAAAAGGACTAAAATAATTAAAAACACGAGAGAGACCCTATCAAGATTATCAGACTCTCAAAACCAACTAATTAAAATCACGAGAGAGACCCTATCAAGATTATTAGACTTTCAAAACCAACTAATGGTATATAGATCCATAAAGAGATAACAAGTATAGATATTTAACTAGTTAGTTTCTATTCTCATTAATAGTTTTTTTAAAATACATCAATCTAATTTTACCATAAACTAAGTTAAATACAGACGTGAAAAGAAAAAAAAAAAAAACTTTTCTTCTCCACGTCCAGTTCTCTCCTTCTTTATTGCTCTCTCGCGCTCTCTCTCTCCCTTTCTCTCTCTCTCTCTCTCTCTCTATTACTCTGTCATCAACTTATTGCTTTGGAGCATCTTTGTAAGAAATAGCAGCTTCTTCACCCATAGCGGAAATGATGGAGATAATCAAATCTTTACCTTCATCAAATTCACTTTGAATTTTCTCACCCAATTCACCCTCAGGAACTTTGACATCATCCTTGGTGTCACCTTCTGGGGTCATCAATGACAAGAAACCATCATCGATATCCAACAATTGAAACTCTTGTCTTCTGACATTAGGAACTTCCATATTGTGGGTAGATGGTGATAAATCTTCCAATTTCTTACCAGTGAATATATCAATTGCAACCAAGTGAACCTTGGCGTGACCGTGCTTACCGGTTTTGGAAGTTGACATATCAACAATCTTACATGGTCTTCCTTTAATGACAACGTGACCGTTTTTTCTCAATGCTGAACATTGCATTGGAAAGGTCAAAGCAGCACCAGCGTCAGCAGTTTCAAATGTGTGCTAAAAAAAGAAGAAAATGTTAGTATACTTAACCATCATAAGCGACACTATCGAGCAAACAACACTATCGAGCAAACAACACTATCGAGCAAAAAACACTATCGAGCAAGCAACACTATCGAGCAGAGCGAGATAGTGGAGCAACATTTTGGATCATCGAGCAAAACTATGTCTGCCGCAGCTAGTGTGCTCCACTATCTTGCTCTGCTCGATAGTGGAGTGTGGAAAGCTTGTGAATTCAGTGTAGTTGAAAAACTTGCGTTTTAACATATAAGGTGATGGAAAAAAAAAAAATAATAATAAAGAAAAATTTGTTTTCATCATTGCTAGAGAAAATCAAGCCTTATTCATCGATAAAAGACACTTTAGGGAATTCACCGATAGAAAGATACACTTGTAACGATGTTTGGTTGATGTTGTTTTTCTTTGGCGTCTTGTCCTCCCGCAATTATAGTTGTCTCACCTTCTGCTCCTCCTACTACTACTGTAACAAGCTATACAATACTGCTATTCAGTACTGCTCCACTAGCTCGCTTCGCTCCATGTGTCGCACCACACTGTAACATAATAAAGATTCATTACATTATTATCAATAAAAGGGTTACACATACGTCTTCTTCAGCCATGGTCGATGGAAATAGTGTTTAATAGTTACAGATACTATAGGTTGAAAATGTTGAAGAAAAGAAAAATTAAAAAAAATTTCTCAGAACCAAAAGAATTTGATGAGAAATGAAAAAAAAAAAAAAAAAAAAAAAAAAAAAAAGGGACGTGTACTTTGTAACAATTGAATAATCGCGGTTCCCTTATATTCGCACGACTTTTAATTAGCCTTTTCTATATTACACTATCGAGCAACAGAAACACTATCGAGCAACAGCAACACTATCGAGCAACAGCAACACTATCGAGCAGAGCGAGATAGTGTTTAACTTCTTCCTCTCAGTAGCTTGTTACAACACTATTGGGCAGAGAGAGATACTGAGAGGAAGAAGGTTGACACTATCTCGCTCTACTCGATAGTGTTGCTAAGAGGAAGAAGTTAAACACTAGCTCTGCTCGATATTGTTGTTCGATAGTGTTAGAGTGTTGAGAGGAAGTAGTTAAACACTATCGAGCAGAGCGAGATAGTGTTGCTAGTGTTGAGAGAAAGAAGTTAAACACTATCTCGCTCTGCTCGATAGTGTTAGAGTAGAGGAAGTAGTTAAACACTATCTCGCTCTGCTCGATAGTGTTAGAGTGTTGTAGTGTTGTAATGCTAGTTTTCCTCTCTTTCATTTGAAAATGGAAATAATAAAAACAATTATAATAATACAATAAGGTCAATCACAATGCTCAGTTTTCTCATCTCTAGTGAGTTATTGGCCCCCCCAAAAAAAAAGAAAAAAGAAAAAAGAAAAGCAAGTCAGTGATGCGCTTGGAATAATTTAGACCTAATTTTATAATTGAGAAATTGAAAATTGTTTGACGCTGTAATTAACACCAAATCAGTTGTCTGTAATACCAAATTAGTTGTCTGTAATACCAAATTAGTTGTCTGTAATACCAAATTAGTTGTCTGAGATTACAAATCAGTTGTCTGTAATCTAGTTGTTCACTGACTCCCCATTATTAAATTTTATGCTTGCACTTTTTCAGCAGGTTCCTCTTTTGAATCGCTACCAGATTCTTCTGCTGCTCGGTCACTATTGGGGAAAATCGTCCTTGCCCTTCTCCTTTTCTAATTTTACATCACTTTCAGTTTCTTTCTCTTCCTGCACCGCAATAGGAGCAATAGGTTCAGCCGTATTATCTAGTGAACCACTTTGTTTTTCCTCTTTTTCTTTTTCCTCTTTTTCTTTTTCCTCTTTTTCCTCTTTTTCCTCATTTTCCTCTTTTTCTTTTTCTTTTTCTGGTAAACCACTAGCTTCATCAACTTCATCACTCCTTCCCTCATTGGCATCACCGTTGGCTTTTTTCAGCTCTTTCTCCCCTTCACTGCTGTTTTCATTCTTCAAGTTAGTGCTTTGCTCGTCACCGCCTCGCTTCTCCTCTTCTTCATCCTCCTCTACCCTATGGTCTATTTCTGGAAAGCTTTGTTCAATCCCACTAACCTCAGATTCGTCATTTTGATTATTGTACACTCCATTCTTAGCTACTAAATGTGTACCACTACTCTGATTGCCATTTTTGGGTATCGATGCCGTCTTCTCAGACACCGCATGTTTCTCATTTTGGATTTCAGTAATAAAATCAGCCCATTTATCTAATAATTCAATACTTCTATCATGTAACTTGAAACTTTCAGGGTACTCCAATTTGGGGTCCCTTATAATACATTTAAGAACCTTGTGGATCTTGGTCTTGCGCAATAATTCTTTGGTCATGGGGAACTCAGATAATCGGTATAATATCAATCTAGCAACCAGTAGCTCATCTCGAGTCGGTTCATCCGCCTTTTTATCGCCATTTTTATCCCCCTCTTTTGACCCATTGGAGGATGTTCTTTGAATAAGCAGCCTCTGTAGCTTACATCTGCACAAGTATAACTGTTGATATTTTTCGTTTTCGCTCACTGATTGTTGTTGTTGTTGTTGTTTGTTGCCCTTGATCGATGATGATGAAATCTCGGCTCCTGCACCTGTTGCATTTGCTGCACTCGCCGTTGTACTCGTGGCCATCGTAGCACTCGTCGACTCTTCTTCGCTGCTACTTTCGGCTTTCATCTTTTTGACTGGTTTATCACTTAAAGTTGCAGCAATCTCATCATCGTCCCCAGCTCGTTTCTTACCATTAGTCGTTGTTGATCGAGACAAAGGTTCTGGAGCTGAAGAAGCAGACAGTTTCTTTTTCTCAGTCTTGGTAATGTTGTTCGACCTTGCGTCTCTTCTCGCTTGTCGTGATGCTGTTGCTGTAGCAGCCACCACCGCCGCCGCCGCCGCTGTTGAGTCGTAACCATCTTCAACATCTCCGTATTCACCTTCGTCTTCAATTTCCTTGGTAGCAAATGACAACGGTTTCTTGATTTTCATCTTGTTCTTTTTGAAAGTAGATGGCTGTTTGCCTTTTCCTTGAACATGTTCCACTTCATCTTCTTCTTGTTGTTGTTGTTGCTGTTGCTCTTCTTCACCCTCATCGCCATCATCTTCTTCATCTTCATCTTCTTCATCTCCACTATCCCTAAACACCTCGATAAAGCTATCGAAAACCAAACCATCAGCTGCAGCAAAAGCCTCTGCGGCCGAGGTTTGTGCTCTCCTCTTCATAAATCTTCGTTCTCTCAAGTGCTTCAAGCTTTTCATTCTCTCCTTTAACCCGGAATCCACTCCTTCCAATTCCTTCTTTACTTGCTGCTCGCTCAAACTCTTTATACTCTTATCGCTCATCCAATAAAAGTCTCCATCTGGTATGAAAATAACACAGTATGGTGTTGATTTCTTTTGGACGCGCAAGACATCTTCTGGAATATATTGAGTTGGTGTTATAAATGATGGCCACCAAGCATAGCCTGCCATTTTACTCTGGACCAATTGTTTTGGCTTGAATTTCGTCTCTGTGGGTCTTGCTGGCATCTTTCTTTCCTAATAATGAGAAAATAACTTAAACTAAAGGAACCAAAGGAACCAGCGACTTCAGCGACTTGGATGACTTCAGCGACTTGGACGACTTTTCTTCTTTTGATGTTGTAGGAGCCTCTTTTTTTTTTCTTTAGTAACTGGTCAATTCCTATGCCCACGACCGACTACTACCACACACCAACTCCAATATTTCCACCTGTGAACAAATACTAACGAGGTTTTTTTTTTTCACTATCTTTGCTCTCCGCAATCCAACCCAAAAATTGAAAAAAAAAACCAATCTAGCAGGGGGGGAGGAGGAGGGAAAAAAAAGGATGTGAATAAATAAATAATGTTGATATAAAAATCTTTCCTTTTTTCCTTAACCTTTTCGTGGTTGATAAGTGGTTTGGGGGGGGAGGTTACTATGAATTAATCTATTTTGTTTGTAGCAAAGAAAGAAGTTAAAGTAACATTTGAGATTTTCAAAAATAAAAAATGTGATTTTTTTTTTTTTCGGTTTTCCGCAAATGGCGCTTTTTTCTTGGGCAATTCCTTCAACTACTGAACCGTTTAGACTATCGAGCACAGCGAGATAGTCTAAATCTCTAAATCTATAGTCTATAGTCTATAGTCTATAGTCTCTAGCCTCTAGCCTCTAATCTCTAATCTTTTGGCTCTAGTCTTTTGGCTCTAATCTTTTGGCTCTAGGCTCTCCCATGTACATTATTATATAGACCTTGAGTTTTCTAACAAGTTTCTCATTAGTTTGTTGTTTGTTGTTTGTTATCCTCTCATACAGTTGCCATTTCTAGCTCATATATGATTTTCTATTGTTTAAAAGAGAATCGGGAAAATTTAACGGCAATCGGAATTTGCTTCTCTATCGAGCAGAGCGAGATAATGGAGCAACTCTTTGTAGCCACTATCGAGCAGCACTGACTACTATTACAATAGAGCTACTATCGAGCAGCACTGACTACTATTACAATAGAGCCACTATCGAGCAGCACTGACTACTATTACAATAGAGCCACTATCGAGCAGCACTGACTACTATTACAATAGAGCCACTATCGAGCAGCACTGACTACTATTACAATAGAGCCACTATCGAGCAGCACTGACTAGCTTTGCACTAGGTAGAGGACTAGCCTTGTTGTAGTCTTGCACTAGGTAGAGGACTAGCCGTGTAGTCCTGTAATAGGTACAGAGTTGGCCTGATTATTCCCATAGATAGAGCATCTGGCCTCATTCCTAGAGCATCTAGTCTCATAAGCTACTAAGCTACTAAGCTATTATGCTACTAGCTACTAGCTACTAAGCTACTAGCTTCTAAGCTACTAAGCTACTAGCTACTAAGCTACTAGCTACTAAGCTACTAAGTTATAAAGTGTTGCTCTACTATCTCGCTCTGCTCGATAGAACAGTTTGAGCCTAGCTAATGTCTCTTTTTAGTATATCCAACTTTGATGACTATCTACTCATTACGCTCTGACAGCTAGAGTGCTGCTCGATAGAGCAGTTTGAGCCTAGCTGATGTCTCTTTTTAGTATATCCAACTTTGATGACTATCTACTCATTACGCTCTGGCAGCTAGAGTGCTGCTCGATAGTGTCATTGTATGCTTTGTTTTCCTTTTTTTTTCTTTTATTAATGCATATCTTGAAAGAGAAAAACAACCTCTATCAAACGCCCTCTGCACTATTGACCAGAGCTGTCATTAACACTTGCTGTTATTAACACTTGCTCGCTGCGCTCTCTAGAAAAGTAATAGTAGCTCATGAGCTCTAGAAAAGTAATAGTAGCTCGCTGCGCTCTCTAGTGGAGAGGTCATAATAGTTCGCTGCGCTCGCTGAAGTAGTCTTTTGGAGGTATATAACCAAGCAACTTACTCTCTACTGTAGCTCGCTGCGCTCGCTGAAGTAAAACGCTTTACTCTTGACTCTAGCACCGTGTCAGCTAGTCTTGTAGAGGTATATAACCAAGCAACTTACTCTCTACTGTAGCTCGCTGCGCTCGCTCAAGTATTAGCTCGCTGCGCTCGCTTGTTTGATTGCGAAAAAACATTTTGTTAATCAAAATCTTTTTTCTTTTTTCGCAACCTTTAAAACTACATTACTCTTATTCAACCACCACTAGTATAAACACATTTACCCACAGTTCTCTCTTCAAGGTATCATAGCTTAGCTTATAAGGCTGATCAAAAATATCGCAAATCTCTTGGCTTGCCTCTTTTCAATTTCACTTTCAAATATAGTATCGGTGCGAGTAAACTACTCACGCAACAGCCAATGTAAAATTCCTTTTTTTTTTTAAACTCGTCTCCATGAGTTCTCTTAATTTAAACTTGCACATTCTTTACTTCAACTTCACAATCGTTACATTCTGTACCCACAGCTGCACCACAGTCCTACTCGCCAAAACTACTTCTCCTGATAGCCTTCTGTTCTATTCTCTACCCTCCATCCCAAGACCAATTTTAACAATCAATTCAAAGATTCTACAAGCATAAAAACCACCAGCTTTTATTCTCAATTTTTTTTTTTTTTTTTTTTTTGCAATAATACTTCAAAGAGGGAAGGAACCTAATCACTTCTTTAACAAGGTGAGGTTTTCTTCTTTAACAAGGTGAGGTTTTCTTACATCTTGTGAGAAGATTTGAATAGAATCTGTACTTGTTATAGAGCCAGATACTAATTCAGCTGAGATAAGGAGTAATTCACACACCGAGAGGGACTTGGAGATTGATATTTTTTTTTTTACCAAGAAATGGATCATTCATATATACGAACTTTTAAGAGGCCAGTAAGAATACCAACTAAAGAAGAACTAGCCGCTATATTTAACCCGCCACCTCTTAAGAAGCAAAAGACAAGCTTATCCAACTCGACCAAAAAACCATCAAAAAATTTACGGGAGCATGGTGATAACACTAATAGGTTCCAATCTCCTCAACCGAATAAATATTTAGATGCAAAAGTTGACCATTTGAATAAGCGACAACAAGCACTTTCTAATGCACCACTTTTGAACTCTGTACCAGTGAATATTATTCCTATAATCCACCCACCTTCCATTACTACGGACTTTTTCACCGATGTTACTACTGATTTAAGTGATTTGAATTTGTTGAAGCAGGTTCATGGGATAATCGAGAAATTCCCACCCCCTATCCCACCTCCTATACCTAAAAGTAGGACGCCGCCAACGACAAAAGTAACAGGAAAAGATCCCGTTTCGAGGCGAAAACCGCTACTACCACCACCACCACCATTATCCTCTACATCTGCAAATAATTTTGATGATGCAAATGATGAGGACGGTGGGAATGGTAAAGGTGAAGGTCAAGAAGAAGGAGAAGGAGAAGGAGAAGCTGAGGAAGCTGACATAGAGGTAGAGGCTGACGTAGACGTAGACGAAGAAGAACAAGAAGAAGACGATGACGAAGACGAACTAAGTGAATTTGAAAAGGGAGGTATCATGGTGCCTTTTATATACCCGCCACCTCCAGTGGTTGATTTTGATACCTTGCCCTATTCCCTAGCTTCGTTTAAAAAGAGATTCAAGGAACAATTACTGAAGCAATTTCCCAAAAATGGTGAAGTAGGGGAAAAGGACTCTACTAGTAATGATAAAAACTCGCCGTTGACGTCTACTCCAACAATGACTCCAACTCCAACTCCTACTCCAGCTACTGTACCCGAGCCCGAAGTTGCGCCTGTTCGAAGAAGAGGAAGAAAACCCAAGATGGCGCAACAACCATTTACAACAACTCCCGTGAAAAAGGAAACAAATACAACTTCTAAGCAAAGAGGGTCAAAGGATGTAACCAAATCAAAATTGCCAGTTCAAAATGAAGCCTCATCATCACAACCACCACCACCACCACCACCTACCCCACCTTCTTCAGACAAGGAACGGATACAAGTACAACAGCTGAGCTCGCAACCACCATTGCCGGCCCAACCATCAAACAAGGTGTGGATACAAGCGCCGCCTTTACCTTTTCCTCCGCCTAACTTCATGGCATACCCTTTATCTGCACAATACTCTTCTTTGACACCTGAAGAAGTATTCGAATCTTTTATTGAGGCTAATCAAAATCTACCCCGTACAGACATGGTGGTTGCTAGTGCTGCGGGATCGATTGCGGACATGAGATTACAGGCTAAAGAAGAAGGGTTTTGCTTCAAAGAGCATGAAAAGTTGTTTAAATTGAATAAAGATGAGAATGGGATTGATGCAGGTCAATTGGAAACGAAAGAAAAGGTGAGTGATGAAGAAAGTGCAATGAATGAAGGAGAGCTAGAAATGAAAAAGTATTACGAAAATATTAGTAACGAAACGTACAAAGATCAATATGAAGAAGAGTGGAAGACCGAGGATATATTTGACCAAAAGTACATGGACCCAATTTTCACTAAAGTTGACCCTAGATATAGCAATATGAGGAAATCGGCAGGGAAAGTAAAGTTCGCCAAGAGAATGGTTGAGAATGAGTATAGCTATCCAAATGAAGCTATGAAAGGATTAGAGAGAATCAATAGGACAGAAGTATTTCCCACCCATTACCGAGAGATTACTTTAACCACGGGAAGCAATAAACAAAGACGGAGAAAGAATTTGAAAAAATCATTAGAGAATTATATTGATTTTGAAAAAAGCAACGGAGAAGATATATACCATTCCAAAAAGTATCATCTTCTACGCCGGTTGAAGAATTTGCAAAATTGTAATATTGGATATACTACGAGCCCGATTAGTGTGGGGGATTCCGAATTGAGCAATTTCATGGAACACTTTCAAGTTGAAAGAGATTATTCATTAGTCAAGTTAAAACTTTTTGAAAAATATGAACTTTTAAAAAACTCGCTTGGTTTTTATCACGATTCAAATTATGTTTATAAACATTTAAATTTGATCCTTATTAATAAATTGGAAAAATTGAAAAATTTCTTTGAGTACCAGCGTGATTTGTTTCAGGAGTGTTTAGACCAGGATGACAAGAAAAGGGATATCTTTAATATCGAGAGCAAGGAATCATCTAAATTGTTTGGTGGAATAACTAATGTTATTTTGCAGGAACAACAACAACAACAACAGCTACTATTTCTACTACAACAACAGCAGCAGCAGCAGCAGCAACAACAATCAACCGAAGGTAAACATGGTGGCGGTATATCCAAATTAAACCAACTGTCATCAAAAACACATACTAATAATAAAATACCAATAGTGCATGACTTCATGCCCCTCATAACGCAAAGGGAATTCTCGATAATAACAAGCGATCTTCCCCGCAAACAAAAATCCGATGTGAAAGCATCTTCGTCGGCAATGAAGCATAAGATCTTCAATAATCCGTTATACGATCGAGTCATGATTACTTCTGGATCAGACACAAATGCAAGTGATAGTAATACCATCACCTCTGCTTCTGGGTCAAGTCCCAATCATCCATTAAAAAGAAGAGGAAGAAGAGCTGCCACGTCGACATCAGCTGCAAATGGAGCAGCCGCTGCCTCAGCAACAACAATACAAACATCATCATCATTAAGTGCTGCAGCTGCGGCAGCTGCATCATTGAGTGGATCAGACAGGAATGGCCCACTCAATAGTATGCCGTTTCCTTATGATCTTGACTCTGGAAGTATTGGCATCAAAGGAGATAAATTTGTAGACGGAAACTTGGAACAGAAATATTCCGAGACTGGATTATTGACAAAGATTACTAAACACTTTTGTGGGCCAATGGGCGCCAAGTCTGATGAATTGATCAATGATTTGAAATCAATGGGTATTGAAACAAGATGGCCTATAGGCAAGTAAAAAAAAAAGGAGACTACTGTGTAAGTTACTATTGTAAAAAAGAAACTACTGTGTAAATTACTGTTATCGAATGGAGAGGAGAGGGGAGTGGTAGGATATTTGAGGAATTCAACGATTTCCTTTAATTTGTCAAACGATGCTAATTGCATTGATGTCCTATACTGTACCAGAAGAAAAAAACTCATTGCAACATAAAGAGGCCAATACCACACACTTTTCTCTACAATAATCGGTGTTCTGTCCTTGATATCAGTACAGATTATAACTTGTTATATTTTGTTTTATTTTGCCTTTATTTGGTGTAGTCTATGAAAATTAAAAAGGGTGGTTACAGTTGCAAAAAAAAAAAGATGACATCCTTAGGGGGCTGCTCATTTTACAGCCCCCTAAGGATGTCAATCAGGTTTTAGTTACATCAACTTCAAAAGATGATGGTCATCATGTATCATAAAAAGATCTAGTTTTGGTTTCAATTGCGCTTTTAGATCCCTAATACATTTTTTCTTCTAGTGGAGTTTAAGAAATCTTCATGAGTAGTCTATGTGCTACTATTGACACTATCTGACTTTGCTCGATAGTGGAGCACATAAGCTCCTATTGACACTATCTCGCTTCGCTCGATAGTGTCTCATATCACTTATTTTATTCAATAGTTTAAGCAATATCAAACATTATTCATAGACTCTTGTGGTATTTCTCTTTGACGTGTATTGCTAGAGGACTTGATCTTCCTTTTTTTCTTTCTGTGATCCATAAACTATTTTGCAGCCTTTTGCAGCCTCTGTGTGGTAGCGAAAATTGAATGACGTAGCATTCACGATATACAACTTGTCTAGATACGTTTTCTTCTTTTCCGCATCTCCTTTACGTAGACGAGTTTTATCGCGAGTGTGTCATTATCACCAGAATGATTGTGCTACATGATTAGATATAGGGCATAAAAAAATACGACAAAACTATAAAACTAAACTACTATAAAAATGTAAAAACTGTAAAACTGTAAAACTGTAAAACTGTAAAACTGTAAAACTGTAAAACGATAAAGCGATAAAACAATCGGCTAAAACAAAAGCATTTAATCAATTGTTGAAAAAAAGCACCCCGTTTGATTCTCTCTCTTGTCTCTCCATTTCTTGTGATTTCCCAATTCAACAGTCAATTTGATTGTGTTTGTTTCTTCTTCTTCTTCTTCTTCTTCTTCTTCTTTTCTATTTGTTGCTCCCTGGCCTAGTTGTCATGAAATTATAAAGAATAACACAATTCAAGTGAAGTGAAAGTATATATAAAAAAAGGAGCAACAACAACAGCAACAAGATACAACAAAAGTCCTCTAAAGGAAGAGACTTTGTTGAAAAGCTTCATTCCTCAAAAACCATATCAACTTTATCAATATAGGGAGAGAAAAGCAACCCCTGATATATATATATCAAGATGAACCCTACTTTTCCTAGTATTCTTCAAACTGGGAGTACAAGGCAATCAAAACATTGACACCACCCAAGATGTAAGGTAAAGTACCCAACGTTGAAGCAAAAGTATGGTACAATCCCAAATGGATCAAGGATTTATTCCATAAGCTGCTTAATAAACACTCACTAGTAGCAAATTGCAAAATAGTGCTTTGACCAACGAAATAATAAACCAATAATTTAGCAAGGGCAAAGATGAATGGATCAAATGAATAAACTCTAAATAAATATTCATCGTCTTCGATTTCAATCACCCTTGATGTGAAATTAACAAAATAAGATATGATCGAAGGTAACAAGACAGCCAAAATTGTCCAAGTAATACCGGTGACAATTGCTTTATAATCGAATAAACCTGTGATTTCCAATGATGGAATTGTCGAGGTAGCTAAATATGGTATGTTATCATGTAATAATTGATGGAATAGTTTATTCTTATTGAGTGGAACGATTTTGGTAAAGTTATATAAAAAGACGATAAATTCCAATCCAATTTCAAGATAGTTTAATGTTACTGTTGAAGATAACTGGTCTCTTAACTTTTCGGATGTTTCCAATGATGTTATTCCTACACAATCGGTAAATTGGTAGAATTTATCAATTGCATCTTCGCTTCGGGCGAGTATTGGGTCAATAATTGTCTCTTTTAAATTTAAGGGGGGAGGTGCGTTATAATCCTTGTCTTGCTCCTCATCGTCATCCTTATCTTCCTCTTCCTCCTCGTCCTCCCCATCCTCATCCTCATCCTCGTCCTCGTCCTCGTCCTCATCCTCATCCTCTGCCTTGTCGTTCTCTTCTTCTTCTTCTTCTTCCTCTTCTTCTTCTTCTTCCTCTTCAGCTACGACTCCTTCTTCAACAATAGTGATTTCCTCCTCATCTACTTCGTTTGCACCGGATTCTTCCAAAATCTTCTCCACCAAAGCAATATCCTTGGAATTTTTAGCCAAATAATTGTCCAACTTCTCGACCAAGACTTTTTTGTTATCCTTTGTTACCGTATGAACACCAATCTTTTTCAAGAGGTCTCTCAAATCGGCTTTTTTGTACTTGGAAAACCTCGACATTTTATCTTTAACCTTTGGAGTTTGCTTCCTTGACTTTTTCTCTTTTTTCGCTGCGACTCTTGCTGAATTGAAACAGTAATAGATAGATACAATTACCTACTGTTACTGTTACTACCTGCTGTTACCTGTTGTTACCTTCTATTACCGATGGTTGGCAATTGAAATTTGGGTTTGAATATCAAAACTCTCTGTGTTGATGGTTTGACTAAATTTTTTTTTTTTTTTTTTTTTTTGTTTTGGTTTCGTTTTTTTGCGCTGGGCTTCAGTTGCGGCGGGGGCGGGGGGCCGTTAAAACGCGGCGGAACCGCTCGACACTATCGAGCGGAGAGAGACTAGACGAGTGAAACGAGTCTAGTCGATAGTAGATAGGTCAATACTATCGACACTATCGACACTATCGAGCGAAGCGAGATAGTGGAGCACTCTGACTGACACTAAAGTAGAGATATCATCACACTATCGAGCAGAACGAGATAGTGTCAGTCAGAGTGTGTCAGTCAGAGTTGCTCGATAGTGTCAGTCAGAGTGTGTCAGTCAGAGTTGCTCGATAGTGTCAGTCAGAGTGTGTCAGTCAGAGTTGCTCGATAGTGTCGATAGTGTCGATAGTGTCAGTCAGAGTGCTCCACTATCTCGCTTCGCTCGATAGTGTCGATAGTGTCGATAGTATTGACCTATCTACTATCGACTAGACTCGTTTCACTCATCTAGTCTCTCTCCACTATCTCGCTTCGCTCGATAGTGTCGAGTCGATCTTGCAATAAATATAATAGAAATAATAGGGAGATCTTGATATTACCTCGAGAATATTGAGAATATTGAAAATATTGGAGAGGGTTATAATTTTATTTACTTTGAATTGGGAATATATGGTAGTGCCAATTAAAAGAGAAGCTTGATATTAGAATCTATTATAATACTTTTATTGTTAATACATAGACAATTTAACCTTTTATCCTTGTTACTTGTTACTTGTTACTTGTTACTTGTTACTTGTTACTTGTTACTTGTTACTTGTTACTTGTTACTTGTTACTTGTTACTTGTCTATTCCCACCACCTACACTGGCATGTCTATTTTCTCGTTTCTATTATTTCTGTTACTTTATTCTGTTATTTCTTTACCTATACTGTTTTACTATTATTGTTTTATTATTTTTTTGCTGTTATATTATTACTGTTCTACTGTGTCTCACTATTACCGTTTTTACGGTTTTACTATTACTATTGTTTTTTATTAATCACTGTAAGACTAAGACTGTAAGACTAAGACTGTAAGACTGTAGGACTAAGACTGTAGGACTAAGACTGTAAGACTAAGACTGTGAGACTGTTTTACTATTTTACTATCACTATAAGACTATAAGACTGTTTTACTATTTTACTGTTATTTTACTGTGTTTTACTATTATTGTTTTTTTTGCTGTTTTTTTACTATTATTGTTTTTTTACTGTTACTGTTTACTGTTGAACTGTTGAACAGTTTTGCTGTGTTTCACTATTACTGTCTTGCTCTTTTTAACCATTACTGTATTTTTACCATTACTGTATTTTTACCGTTTTTTACTCTTACCGTTCTAAAACAACTTTGAGTTTAGTAATTCAACTTATTCCATATATAGTCATTAGCTTCGAAGAGTAGTTACTGTTCTACTGTTTTACTGTTTTGTTATTTTATTGTTTTTATTATTACTGTCTTACTGGTTTTTACTACTACCGTTTTACTGTTTATTGTTACTGTTTTTTTTGTTGTTATTTTACTGTGTTTTACTATTACTATTTTTTTACTGTTACTGTTTATTGCTATTACTGGCTTACTCTGTTTTACTATTACTGGCTTACTCTGTTTTACTATTACTGGCTTACTCTGTTTTACTATTACTGGCTTACTCTGTTTTACTATTACTGGCTTACTCTGTTTCACTATTACTGGCTTACTCTGTTTCACTATTACTGGCTTACTCTGTTTTACTATTACTGGCTTACTCTGTTTCACTATTACTGTGTTTCTTTTGTTGTTTTTAGTATTATTGCTTTTTACTATTACTTTTTCCACTGGTGTTTTTTGTTACTATTTTTTCTACTGTTATTGTTTTACTCTCTTGCTCTTTTTTACACTATCGAGCGACACGATCGACACTATCGAGCAGAGCGAGATAGTGTCGATAGTGTAATTTACCACTACTGTTTTATATTTTACCTCACTGTTTTATTTTACTTCACTGTTCTATTTTACCATACTGTTTCTATATTTCACAACTGTTCTTTTATTACCACTACTATTCTTTTACCACTGCTGTTTTTTTGCTGTTACTGTTTTACTGGTTTTATCACTACTTTTATTACGACTACTATTCTTTTTTCACTACTAATCTTTCTTTACTGTATTTTTACCTCACTCTACTGTGAGTCGACACTATCGAGCGAAGCGAGATAGTGTCGATAGTAATCTGTGTGCTCCACTATCGAGCGAAGCGAGATGCTGTCGATTGAAGCACATAGACTACTATCGACAATGTCGGTGTATTGGTGTAATCTATGTGCTCCACTATCTCGCTTCGCTCGATAGTGTCGAAAGTGTCGATAGTGTCGATAGTCGCACACAGACTACTATCGACACTGTCGGTGTATTGGTGTAATCTATGTGCTCCACTATCTCGCTTCGCTCGATAGTGTCGAAAGTGTCGATAGTGATGTTTATTCCTTTTTTGCACCAAATTTTTTATTTTCATTTTGTCTTGATTTGGAATTAACCAAGGCCATCAACTAGATGGTTAGAATCTGTTGGGAAACTAGGTTAAACTCAAAAATAACATCAAACAAGATCATCTTAATCTAGATATGGTAATTGGTAAATAAAATTTAAATACTCTTTGTCTATCTACTCCACTAAAGAGCGAGCTGATACTCTATTCCACTAGTTCGCTTCGCTCCCTAGTGGAGTGCCCAGGTCTATTGATCTACTCTTCATCTATATACTGATTTATCTACATATACTCTTGTACTCTGGTATTCCTCTATTAGACTAAATATATAATATAGAGTATAGTTAATTACTGACGTACCTTGTACTCTTCGACACTGTTTGTGTATTGGTGTAGTCTGTGTGCTCCACTATTGAGCAAAGCGAGATAGTGTCGATAGTATTGACCTATCTACTATCGACTAGACTCGTTTCACTCGTCTAGTCTCTCTCCGCTCGATAGTGTCGCTCCTGATGTCGCTCGATAGTTAATTTTTCTCCTTACACCCTGAACCCTTTAACGTTTGTTTAATCATCACTGTTTACTCTATGAAGAAACTTTGAGAAAATATTCCATACTCTTGAGAAGTAACTAAATATTAGCCAAAGCTACTATGGCTATACGACCGATACTACTACTACGAATTCGTCCGCGACTCTTAATTTATAAACCTTGGATCCGCAACTTGGCTTCAACCTCATCGCAGGCATCTTGTATAAAAAACTACACCAATGATACATCGCCCCCCTTTTCAGAGGAACCACAGGCATCTTGTACAACAGACTACACCAATGATACATCGCCACCCTTTTCAGAGGAACCACAGGCATCTTGTACAACAGACTACACCAATGATACATCGCCACCCTTTTCAGAGGAACCACAGGCATCTTGTACAACAGACTACACCAATGATACATCGCCACCCCCCTTTTCAGAGGAACCGCGAGTCAATCAAGTTGGTATCCAATACTTGTCAAATCAACTACACTCAAAAGTATTCCCAACAACGAAAAATGACGATTACAAAACTCCAAGACTTCCACAGCTACTACAAGCAGCAAAGAACCACTTGAGAGAAAACGATCTACTAGGTAAAAAGACTCAACTTAGTGAACCAATCACTATAAAGGGATTCCCCGATTTGGTTGGCAAAACCCTAGACGAACATTTTTATAAATTAGGTCAAAAATTCGCTGACCCATACTTATCAATGGCACAAGACTTTTTGCTGCCAAATAGCCTGCTTCCAAAGAGACCATCCTTAGAATCTTGGATCTTGCAACCGGGCTGGACACGGTATACAATGGGTGCAGATCCAGAACAAGTACCACACCCAATGGAAGATAGTTTGGTATTCGATGTTGAAGTCTTGTACAAAGTTTCAAAGTACCCTGTTTTGGCAACTTGCGCCTCTTCAAAAGCTTGGTATGGCTGGGTCTCTCCAGCACTTGTACAACTTGCTCAGAACCCAAAGGCTCAGCTCGATTTCAATCACTTGATTCCTATGGATTGTGCTAAGCGCCACAAGTTAATTATTGGCTACAACGTTAGTTACGATAGAGCTAGGATATTGGAGGAGTACAATATAAAACGGTCCAAAGCATTATACTTGGATGGCATGGCACTACATGTTGCCACTAGCGGTATATGTTCGCGTCAGCGTTTCAAATGGCAAAAATACAATGCAAACAGAAATAAAAAATCTCTTAAAGAAGATGATGAAGACGATGATATTGATAATGATAATGATAACTTAGTTTTGAAAAATGATTTGGATGCATTTACAGCATCCCCCGAGCTGTTTATTGAAGAAGATCCTTGGTTATTACAAGGCACACCAAACTCCTTAGCTAATGTCGCTGAATTTCATTGCAATATTATTATGGAGAAACAAATTCGTGATCATTTCTCTTCCCTAAATCCTATGGAGATTATCGAAAATTTCCCAAAGTTGATGGACTATTGCGCTAATGATGTCGATGTCACGTTCCAAGTGACCAAAAAACTATTTTCAACTTTTTTCCAAAAAATACCTCATCCCGTATCATTTGCTGCTTTGAAACATTTGGGCACCTTGATCCTACCAACAACAACAAAATGGCAGAAATATATAGATTCGGCTGAAGCTTGTTACGAAAAAAATAGAGTAGAGGTGATCAATACACTAGAAGGGTTAGCTAACGAGTTGGTTAGATATATTACTGAAAACAAACCTGAATTAGAGCCAGATCATGAAAAGGACCCATGGCTAAGCCAATTAGACTGGACTTTGAAAAAAGAAAGATTAAAGAAGGATGGTACGCCATATAAGAACAATGCCTTTATGACTGGGTTTCCTGAATGGTATAGAGATTTATTCAGGGCTAAAAAGGGGGTTGAAATGAATTTAACTTTGAGAACTAGAATCACTCCATTATTGTTGAGGTTAAAATGGGAAGGGTATCCTTTATTCTGGACTAATTCTAATGGATGGTGCTTCAAAGTGCCATTTGATGCGGAAATACATGATCAACTAAAGGAAAGAAACTATACAAAAGCCAAGCTCAGTGAGGAAGAAATGGAACAATTTCACGATGCGTTACAAGAAGATGGTCAATCGTTTGTCTTGTTCAAACTTCCGCATCCAGATGGCCCCACACAGAGATGTACCACAGTCTTATCCAAGGGGTATGTTCGATACTTTGAAGATGGCACATTAACATCTCCTTATGATTACGCAGCAAAGATTGTTAAACTCAATAATGAGGCATCGTACTGGGCCAGCAACAGAAACCGTATAATGGACCAGTTTGTTGTTTTTAACGAAGAAGGCAAAAACAAGTTTTTTGACACCAAAAAGGAAAGTAGAGAATATAAAGATGTGGGATTAATTATTCCTCAATTGGCTTCAATGGGGACTGTTACCCGTCGTGCTACTGAGAATACCTGGCTAACTGCATCTAATTCTAAAAGGAATCGTATAGGGTCAGAACTTAAATCTTTGGTTGAAGCACCCGAGGGGTATTGTTTTATTGGAGCTGACGTTGATTCTGAAGAGCTATGGATAGCGTCACTAGTAGGGGATTCGATGTTTGAAATACACGGAGGTTCTGCATTGGGGTGGATGACTTTGGAAGGTGAGAAATCGCAAAAGACTGATTTACACTCCAAAACGGCACAAATTTTAGGTATTTCTCGTAATGATGCTAAAGTTTTTAATTATGGTAGAATTTATGGTGCTGGGGTTAAATTTGCAATTAGGTTGTTAAAGCAATTCAATTCGAAAATCAGTGATGCAGAAGCTGAATCTACCGCACGCAAATTATATGCCAGTACCAAGGGAAAAATTGGAGTTTGTTCTGCTACAAAGCAACAATTGTACCACGGCGGTAGCGAATCTGTAATGTTTAATGCTTTAGAGGCTATTGCCAAGTTACCCGAACCAAAAACACCAGTTTTGGGTGCGAGAATCACCGATGCTTTAAAGGCAAGTAATTTAAACAAGAATACCTACATGACATCAAGAGTCAATTGGACCATTCAAAGTTCTGGTGTTGATTATTTACACTTGTTGATTGTTTCCATGGAGTATTTAATTGAGAAATACAATATTGAAGCAAGGTTAGCAATAACTGTTCATGATGAATTGAGATATTTGGTTAGAGAGAAGGATAAATACGTGGCGGCGTTATTGCTACAAATTAGTAATTTATGGACTAGAGCCATGTTTTGTGAGCAATTGGGCATCAAGGAAGTACCTCAATCGTGTGCATTTTTTTCCGAAGTTGATATTGACCATGTTTTACGTAAGGAAGTTAAGATGGACTGTGTAACGCCATCGCAACCTAATGCAATTCCAGCTGGTGAGTCATTGAGTATCACTGAGTTATTGGAAAAGACGAATGGTGGAGAGATACTAAGTCAGTGTAATCCAAAACCATTAACTTTGAGGACTACCAAGTATCAAGCGAGGTCCCCAATAATTTACGAATTAAACAATAATTTATCTTCAAGGTCTAAAATTGATTTGATCAGATTACAAACATCAGTAGACAAGCAAGAATGGAAGAAAAATGTGCGTACATTTTCCAAACACTTGAGACTTGATTTGACAGAGAATGTAAAGAATTCCGAGAGTAAAAGAGAAGAAGACCATATATTGTTTCCCAAGGAGAATGCTATTACGAAAAAGAAGCCAGCTTTTGCTAAAGAAAATGGACCAACTAGAAAAAAAAGACTTGTTGAGTTTGATTTGGAGGAACCGAAACCCGAGGAAATGAAGGAAGAGAGGAAGTACAAGAAATCTTCAAGACCAAGTCAAAAGGTGCAGGAGAAAGACAGGATAAACAATAAGAAGAAAGCAAGCTCAAGCAAGAAACAAAAGATTTTAAAAGTAGAGGAGGACCAAGTCAAATTAGAGAAAGGAACCTCTAATGCGAGAAGAACAGCTGCTATTGACAAATCTGCTGAAGAAGAAGTTAGCACGACTTGTTTAGAGCGTACTCAATATGCGCTGCCACCACTACCACCACCACCACCATCATCATCATCATCATCACAACTACAACAACAACAACGAGAAGAAGAAGATTATTTTCAACATAGCCTACCTACAACCAAAACAAAAGACATCCAATATCTACCGAAAAGTGTTCCAAGTACAAATAGTTTTAGAACCCCGTTTATTTCACAAAGGAACCTACATTTGTGGAGTAAAGTATCGCCGTGTTTTGAAACTACGCAATCCCTTGTTGCTGATAATAAATATAAGTTAGATAAATTCATGGTTTCATCTAATGTTAGAAGCACATCTTTTGAAGAAAAAGAAAAAGACGGATTTGGAGATAATCGAACACGACGACGAGGTGGAAAAGAAACACGACTAACAAAACTAGTTACAGAAGTTACCAAAACGCAAGTTGGAGAAGCACCAATTTGTTTCTCTCGATACGTATTGAATGCTCGAGTCGGAATGAAATATTATCATGCCCCATTCCGAGATACAAGAATAAAATGCTGGTGATTCGTTGTTTTGGTAATGATGATGATGATGATGATGATGATAAAACGTGATTCAGATTCTGGAATGATGAAACACGAATTCAAGCACAGTGAGAAGAGTTGAGTGGTAATGTAAAATGGCAAATAAACTATAATAGTTTGTTTTGTTTTTTTGATTTTTCTGTATTAATATTAGGGGGAAAAAAAACGGTGTTTGTTGTTTTTTTCAGTTTATTTATTATTTTGATTTATGCATTTAGGGTGTTTTGCAAAGGGGTTCATTACTGTGATGGCTGCTATAATAGCTAGTTTAAAACAGATATATGATATTTTCATAATGGATCCAAATCGTGATGGAGGAAACTAGATGCAATTTCTCATTTTTATTCAAACATTTTCGAGCAATTGATTGAATCAAATCACTGGATCACTTGACAGGGTGGTGCCAATAAGTAGTGCTATTTGTCAGTCATTGGAAAAATGAATATAATGGGAACTGGGTTCTATCTGGTTTTAGAAAAATGCAGGTTTTTTCAAACCCATTGAGTAATAATGTGGTGAGAAATATTTGTAGAAGGCGTGTTTTTTTATTTATTTATATGTCGTATTAGAGTAATTTATATATTAAGAGACTGTGTGAGAAGGTGTGAAAGAGAAGTGTGAAAGAGTCTTTCTCTTGTATCTACTACATCGCTAAAAAAAAAACTGTCATCAAGCTACTGCACAATTAGATTGCAAACTAGTGCTGTTATATATATGTAGAATATATCGTACGTCACGTGACCGCGAGTAGGTTTTTGTGTTGGTTGCATTCCAGGTGTGTATATGTATTGTAGTGTATTATACTATATTGTAATTTTTAAAGCCGAGAGAATAAGATACCTCAATGAATTAACCCCGGTTGTATTATGCTGGATTGATTGAACAACAATTATAAAATATAATCTGGTGTAGGAAATTGATTATAGTTGAAAAATTAAGTTGTTCATTTCTGCTTTACACATGGCGGCTCCTGGGATATGGTACGGGTACTGCAATGCCGCGCGGTTCACTTTGGATCGTCGTTATTATTTTCCTAATTTATCACCGATGAAAATTTTCAACCGATGGTCAAATGGAAAAAAAAAAAAAAAAAAATAGAAGAGGATGATGATAATATTGAGTAGGGCGAGATCGTGGAGCATCTCTCATTATACCGGCACTGACTAGCTCCGCTATCTTGCTATTCCGACTGATTAGCTTCGCTATCTTGCTATTCTGACTGACTAGCTTCGCTATCTTGCTATTCCGACTGACTAGTTCCGCTATCTCACTATTCCGACTGACTAGTTCCGCTATCTCACTATCCCGACTGACTAGCTCCACTATCTCACTATCCCGACTGACTAGCTCCGCTATCTCGCTTTGCTCGATAGTGAAGGAGTCAAATCGACTTCTCTGCTGTATTTACAAATTCAGCTTCTGATTGTGAACGCGGCTTCCATAGGTATAAACAACTAACAATTAATACAGCTCATAAGTAGGGCCAGCTCTAGAAAACTGCGAAAACGCATTAGACTTATTGTGGTATCAATTTAAATGTAGTACAATTAGCTGTGCACATGTAAAGACTACTATTATTGCTATTAGATATTTTTTTTTTTTTTCTCGGTACAGTAATAGCAAATATGACATAATTGAAAAATAATAAGAAATGGTTCAATTTGTATGGAGAGTGGAGCCGAGAAAAGCGGATCACAGTGGCGGTGGTGGTGGTGGTGGTGGTGAATGTTAATGGTATTGGTGAGTGTTAATAGTATTGAGTATTATTGGGCCAAGAGTGGACCAATAGTCAATGAGTAAAAAAAATCCTTCCAAAGCCAGTTTGACAACTTAGTTTTAATGGCTTTTTTTTTCAGTCATTTTTATTGTACAAAATCGTCCTTTTCTTTGATACCTTTCGAGCAACTAAAAAATGTGCCTCCCCCCCCCATCCCCCCCTCCTTGTCTTTTGTGGATACATCACCGTCAACCAATTACAATGCCGTTAGAGCTGACAGTTGGCTAACCAACGTTTATAGCCTTACCCTAATAGTCAATATTATTTTTCCCAAGTCTCATTATAAATGAAAATCGTTATCTTGTAAGTATTAAGTTTACCCACCTCTCATCTTCTTCACCTCTCCCATCTTGCATAAGACTCATGCCTTGTAGGAGGTACATCCTACTTAGATGCTATAACCGATGGTTTGTATTCCATGATATCACATGGTAGCGTATTGTTATTTTTGTTTTTTGTTGATAAAGAAAAAAAAAAATTACCTCAATAGAAAGAAAAAGAAATAATGAAAACTTTATGGCTAATTGCACTAATTTTCCTTCGCATCGGCCAGCAGATCCAAACAAGCACACTTTATTACATGAACGACTACCTCTTACTAAAAAAGCTTCGTTTCTAATAAAAAAGAAAAAAAAAAATCGCTCATTTGGGCGCTTTAGAAAAAGCCAAAACAAAATTTCTAAAAACTTTTGATGATGAAAAACCTTTTTATAAAACCTCCTCTTCTTCTTCTTCTTCTTCAACTCAGGTACTGAAATTCTTTCTTTTTGGTTCTTTTTTTTGGCTAGAATATCTTTTATTTTAGAGAGAAGAACCGTGTCGTTTATTCTTTTTCCCGTCCCCATTGACTTCCCCCCTCACCCATCCCCCCCTCAATTCATCACTAACCACCTTTCGGCTTAGTTATTCTTTTTTTTTTTCCACCCAGCAACGGTCAAATTTTTACTTGAAAAAAAAAATTCTTATATAAAAAGATGTTTCCAGCAGGTGTTATTCTTGTCTTTTGCTTGATCTTCGTTGCGTTCTTGATTATCAGTGCAGTGTATATTCACAAATCAATTCAAAGCAAAAAGAAGAAATCCAACCAAAGATTTTAATTGCAATTTGTGACGAGACCTACCTTTTTTTTTACGCAAGTAGAGGGAGGACAATGTTTTTTTATTTTTTTATATCTATATCACCAACTTTCGGTTTTTATCCAATTGGCTCAATTTGAAAGAAACAATACTATTTCAGGATAAGAGAGTCTATAAAGAGAGGATTTTATTCCTTTTTTTTGTGTTTTTTTTTACTTTATCAACACTTACTATCATCAATTATCAAAAATTTTTTTTATATCATCTATAATCTGATTGGGGAATCAGAAAAGATGTTACTGGGGAAAAAGAAAAATATATTTGTTTTGGGGAAAACAATTAAATACGGGAATTAAGGGGAGATGACAGTTTTAATTGCAGATTATTAACAGCTACAATGGGACAATATGTTGGTACTTTGATTTTGATGAAAGTTGAAGAATTGGGGAATTCGGATACTTTTTTGTTGTTGTACCACCATCACCACCACTACTACTACTTCTCCTTGTTATACAGTCCCATTTGCTTTTCTTTTGGCATTGTTTTTATTTATTTTTTTTTCCAACGATACTGGGATTTTTTAATAATTTTTTTTTTTTCTTACTGTTGAATGATTGGGGAATCATGATTCAGAGGAAGCGTTTGAATATCCAGTATCGAATAGAAGCTTTGCCTAGTTAGCTTTTGGCGTTTCAGTAAGTGAGAATGTTGTATTCAATAAGTATGCTGTTTTAACTGTAATTGTTTTCAAACTTTTTTATATATATCAATCTTTACATAATTTTAATATTAGTTTATATACAAAAAGCTTAAAAAGAGTGAGTGGCACTATGGAGCAGACCGAGTGACACTATCGAGCAGAGCGAGATAGTGTCAATAGTCAGTATCACTATTCAGTCAATAGTCAGTCACTAGTCAGTCACTAGTCAGTGTGCTCCACTATCTCGCTCTGCTCGATAGTGTCACTCTCCTCGATAGTGTTATAATTCGTTAGGGATGGTCGTGCAAAAAGAGTAAAACTCAAATCGCTTCAAATAAATTTTTCAACAGATGCTCTCTGTCTTGATGCATTTTATTGGTCAAAAATTAACGAGTTTGATAAATCAGGTTTGGCATTGTTTACTTCACCATATGTGTAAAAAATTACAATTGCATTTTTCTCTTGTCTCTATCAAGTAAAGTTTTTCCCCTTTTCAGACTTTTCTTGGAGTCAATCAAAAGTAACTCAACTCGATATTATGGGGTGATTTAGATGTAACACTTTTGTTTCTCCAAATGCAACCAAACCCGTGTGTGACTATATAAGTTTTAACAAGTTGTCTTGAGAAAAGTATTGTTTACCAATCAAATAATTTAGTTAAATGCTTGTGGTAAGGTCAATTAATTTTTTTTTTCGCAGCCACACTATCGTGATACTATGGAGCAGAGCGAATGACACTATCGAGCAGAGCGAGATAGTGGAGCACACTGACTACTGACTGACTACTGACTAACTACTGACTAACTACTGACTGACTACTGACTGACTACTGACTGACTACTGACTGACTACTGACTGACTACTGACTGACTACTGACTGACTACTGACTGACTACTGACTGACTACTGACACTATCTCGCTCTGCTCGATAGTATCATTCGCTCTGCTCGATAGTATCACTCGCTCTGCTCGATAGTGTCTAAAGGCCATCCCCCCCCCATTTTTCACCTCTTACCTTGGTCCTTTAATTGAACGATTGTATCCCTCTATCACACACCTGCGAAGCTCTCGATGTGTTGTTTATAATAAATCTCTTCTGCCTTGAAAGAGCAATTGGTCAATTTCCGAGATCATCTCTCATCGCGCTTGCAAAAAAAAAAAATAATGAAACCCTTTGAATAAAAATGGGGGTTACATGAGAGAATTATTTGTTAAAGATAACTAAGTAAAGAGGGTGTTGGGGGGGTTGTAAGCTAGAGAAAGAAAGTTATACACTTCACAACTAGCCGCGAGTTTTAGCTTTACGGATCAGATGATACGACGGTCCAAAAGTCAAGAAACATTAAGCACATTAATTGATGAATTAGTCGCACGAGATCAAGATCGTGAGAATGAAAATAATAATGATGACAATAGACAAGGGTTAACACCCTCTTCAGATGCGGAATCGTTAATTTCTCAAGAAACATTAGTCCAGTCTCCCAAATGTCAAATCTTTGGTCAAGCGTCTCTGGATTTTCGGTACTATAGAGAACTTCCCCTTGTGTCGACATATTTGCATACGGGAATACACTTGTACCCTAGTTGGTCACTGATAGGCGTTGGCAGCAGAACAGCAGCAGCAGCAACAACAACAACAGCATCATCATCACCACCACCACCACCACCATCATCAGTTACTACAATGCGTCCGCTTCTTTCACGTAACTCGAAATTGTTCAACAATTTGTTCTCTATCAACTCACCATTCCTCATTATTGAAAACTATAACCAAGAAGGGAAGAGACAGACATTTTGTCGAGTTGATTTCAAAATTCACAGTAATCAAATTACATACTATATACTTCATTTTCCAACATTGGCCCACCGGGATGTTTACTTATTGAATAATAATAGTTATTCCCCTTCTGTTGATTTCGAACTTCTGGGAACTCACATGAGATGTGTTGGCGGGGTTAGTGGTACATCTACAGCATTTGCATCGCGGAACAGCACAATTAAAATATATGTTATGCAAAGCTCTTTAGGATTACTTACTAATAACATGAAACTCCATGACCCTAAGAAAAAGACTATTGATTTGAGTGAGAACAAATTAGCAGGATTGATACAAAAACAAGATAGGAAAGGAATAGATGGAGAGATGAGATTAGCATGGAGCAAGAGACTAATTAACTCTCCCTTGGCATGTTCTGTTGATTTGGGTGATGTAAAAATGAAATTGGATAATGAGGACAAACATGGCAGTTTCATTAAACGCGGTGTTATCAAATCGTGGGACTATATAAATAGTGATCAAGGAACTGGTATAGTGAGTGAAGAAATTAGCATTATTGCTTGTATCCTAATGGTTTTAAGAGAACAAGAATCAAGGAAATATAAAGGCGATAAAAAGGAGATGGTTAGGTGAAGAATGGAAAAGGAAACAAATAGAGAGAGAGAGAGAGGCCAGACGAGTGAAACAAGTCTGGTTGATAGAAAAAGACTACAGGTAATGCTATTAAGTGTTGCTCCACTATCGAGCCAAGCGAGATAGTTTTAGCTTACAATGCATGCAATGCCAACTAGTAAAATTTTAGATTTTCATTTATAAACTTGATAAATAGAGTTAGATCTAGCGAGCATAGCAAGTTAGATCTAGCGAGCATAGCGAGCTAGAGAGGAAAAGGGAAAATGGCTTCAAAGAGGAAGAGAGGAAATGGCTCTATAGAGGAAGGGGGAAATGGGAGATGACTTGATGATGAGCAAAAATTGAGAGCTCATTTTTGGTGAGATCGTAGAGTGAGGGAATGAAGAGTCAATAAACATATATTAGGCACGGGTTTGATGGCATCTTTACGCAAACATTTTTACACAACTAGTCCATGCTGCTCCACTATCTCGCTCTGCTCGATAGTGATAGACACTCAATACAAGTTTTTCCAATCGACACTAGTTTTCTCATTTTGGACTTTGTTTTTCGCAGCTATAGATTATTACTTGAATTGGGTAAAAGTTTTAATAGGCGTTTGATACCCCCCCCCAAAAAAAAACAAAAAAAACAAAAAAAAAAACGCAGCCACTAGGGAAATACTTTGAAATCTATTACCTTTAGTTACAAACCGTTAATGAAAGGGGAGAAAGAACAAGGAGAGGGGGAGGGGGAGAAAAGAAGTTTGGGTAATTTATTTTTATTTTTCTAGAAGTTTAGATTTTGCAAAATGATTTAAATAGAACAATTTGAAGGCGTTTCTATCTTGTTGGAGATATTCATCGATAAAGAAGAGCAAGAGGTGGTAAATGCCACATCAGTAATGAAATAAGGAGGATAAACTCTAAACTTTTATTTAAAATTTGGATATGGCATAGAATGGCGATGAGGGGGATAACTTTTTATAGAAATTCTCTAATAGTGACACTCAAAAATGGGGTGTTATCAAAAAGTAGTAGACTAGGTCACAATTGATTGAGTAAAAGAATAAACTATTTCACAAGAGAAAATAAAGATGAGTGGGGAGAGTTGTCACCAAGTGGGCCATCACTTGGGGGAGGGGGAGGGGAAACGAGTTGAGAAGGAATTGAGGGGGGGGGAAATTGAGGGGGGGGAACGAGTTGAGAAGAAATTAAGGGGGGGAACGAGTTGAGAGGGAATTGAGGGGGGTTGAAGAGTGAAGTACTGACCTTTTGCTCAATATGACTTTGTTAAACAAAGACTCGGCTTAATGTGAAATGTTGATACTTGATGGTGTGGGAGTTGATAATTTGAAGTTATGTTTGAAAGTTTGATGTAATGTAATGCTCTCCTCAACAATTACGCAATTGGGAAAATGAGCAGGAATGTGAGATAGAGTGAGAACTACCAAAGAAAAAAAATAAATAAAAAATAAAAAAATAAAAAATAAATAAAAAATAAAATAAAAAATAAAATAAAAAAAATAAAAAAAATAAAAAAATATATAAAATAAAAAAATTTCAAAACTTTTTAGTAATTAAAATTTAGTTTTTGCAGTTTGGCGTTTGTGTATTTGATCTCGGAGTTTTAGTTTGCTAAAAAAGGAGGATTGTTTGTCCAATTACAAAGGGAGGGAAAATAGCACCATTGGGGGTAAAGCGTAATATCAGGCAGGATAGAGCATTGAAATCAGTTTGAAACTTTATGTACAAATTTTTGCTACAAATTTGACTTGGAGGAACAATATATAATTATAAATTGCATTTTTTTCTTAACCCATCACGTGACTAAAACCGAGAAAATTTGCAAGAAAATAAGAGCAACACTAGCAACACTATCGACCAGAGCGAGATAGTGGGGCACAACACTTTATAGCTTAATTCATATACTAGCAACACCAGCAACACTTTATAGCTTAATTCACACAAGTTGTCCCTACTGCTCGATAGTGTTGAGTGGGGCATAATACACACAACTTGTTTCTACTGCTCCACTATCTTGCTCTGCTTAATAGTGTCGAGTGGGGCACAACACTTTATAGCTTAATTCATCTACTCTCACTAATCAACTAAGCGACACTATCGAGCGGAGCGAGATAGTGTGATTAATCAACTTAGCGACACTATCTCGCTCCGCTCAATAGTGTGACTAATCAACTTAGCGCTCGATAGTGTCACTAATATTTCCCGTTTTTGTCAACACCTCTAACCAGTAGATCCCTATTACCTATTACGCGGTAAAACCTACAGAAAACCAACACAATTATTATCAAACACTTTGAGGCAAAAAATGTACTTGTACCAAAACAAGTAAAAAATGCGGAGTACTAAATCTAACAGCACTTGGTAGCCAGGAGAAAATAACTACAATTGAGTTAAGTTACAAATAGCTCTCTCCCTCTTCCCTTGGTTACGAAGAAGAAAAAAACTAGCAGCAGTCGAGATATAATACACTTGTATCCTTACACAAATGCTTTCTTGTATCCTTACACAAATGCTTTCTTGTGTTGTAAACGTGTGGGTTACTACTATTGTTGCCATCTCTTTGACTCTATCTATCTATCTATATATATATACTCCCAAAGTGAGTTCATTTATGCCTCCTCTTTTTTTCTCTCCTCTTACTTCCCCTTAAAACTTTTAAAGTGTCCTTCTATACATACTCACTAAATTTTTGCAACAGAAATTAATTTAAAGTATAGCAGGAATAGTATGGGTGAATTTTAACACTAGGTGGCGACTCTTTTATATACAAGATATCCTCGTTATTGACTTGCTCAGTTAGCTCTCGGTTTATTGCCCAAATTGAAATTCGCCAACACTTTGGGCTAACTGTGTGCCTTTGAGCTAGTGCCTTCAATTCACTGTGCCCTTCCATATAGGCCAACCCCGTGTGTCTTCAACCCAGTGCCTTCTACCCAGTGCCTTCAACCCAGTGCCTTCAACCCAGTGCCTTCAACCCAGTGCCCTCAACCCAGTGTGCCCTTCCATATAGGCCAACCCCGTGTGCCTTCAACCCAGTGTGCCCTTAACCCAGTGTGCCCTTCCATATAGGCCAACCCCGTGTGCCCTTAACCCAGTGTGCCCTTCCATATTGGCCAAACCCGTGTGCCTTCAACCCAGTGCCTTCAACCCAGTGCCTTCTACCCAGTGCCTTCTACCCAGTGCCCTCAACCCAGTGTGTCCTTCCATATTGGCCAAACCCGTGTGCCTTCAACCCAGTGCCTTCTACCCAGTGCCTTCAACCCAGTGTGCCCTTCCATCCCTTCCATATAGGCCAACCCTGTGTGCCCTTAACCCAGTGTGTCCTTCCATATAGGCCAACCCCGCTTACCAAGCCATCTCGCTCTGCTCGATAGTGGAGCAGCACTGACCATCTCGCTTTCCTCGATAGTGGAGCAGCACTGACCATCTCGCTTTCCTCGATAGTGGAGCAGCACTGACCATCTCGCTTTCCTCGATAGTGGAGCAGCACTGACTACACCGACACCATCTCGCTTTCCTCGATAGTGTCTAAACATTTGTTTTACACACAAAAATTCCCCACCCCTACATGCTAGTACAAATTATTAAACAACCGTTCTCATTTGATTTTATAGAGAGAACAGACAACAGACCCTCAGGCTGAATGGCACCTCAAAAGAAGTACATATGTGGCTTCTGTGCTAAAGCATTTTCACGATCGGAACACAAACAGCGACATGAGAGGTCACATACTAATGAAAAACCTTTCCACTGTCTACACTGCACAAGTTCCTTTGTTCGAAGAGACTTGTTACAACGACATTGTAGAACAGTGCATCAGAATCAAGAACCACCAAAAATCAAGAACCAACTGGAAAATCAAGAATCACCAAAAATCAAGAACCAGAACCAACTGGAAAATCAAGAACCGCTTAGAATACTGAACCAGCAGGAAAATACTCACAATAATAATGTTACACCCCTTACAAGTAACCACAGCAGTAATAATAGCAGCACGTGCATACCACCGTCCTTGCCACCACCGCTACCGCCGCCGCCAGCAGCCACAGAAGCAGAAGCAGCAGAAGCAGCAGAAGCAGCAGAAGCAGAAGCAGCAGCAGCAGCAGAAGCAGCAGCAGCAGCAGCAACAGCTCAACAATCTTTGCTACACACAAAAATGCAACATCTGCAAAGTACACCACTATATTACCACCACCACCACAACAACAACCACAACAACCACAACAACCACAACAATGTTAGTCCTCATTCCAATAACAATGCTTTACATCATAGCTCAATGCCGTTCTCATTTGATCAGGATATATTGTCCAATACAGCAGCAACGATGACTCCAGCCAATAGTATTGGCGAAGCAAAGTCATTTAAAAAGGTTAGAAAACCAGAAAGTTTTGCATCTCCAAGAAGGAAAAGGAGAAGGAGCTCTTCAACTGGCAGTAGCAGCTACAAGGATAAGGAATTGATTGGTTTACTATCAATTACAAAAAAATTAGACTACATCTTGACCTTGCTAGAGGAAGTTGATGGTGTACCGGTACAACCACTAGAACAAAAAAACAGTTTACTTTGCGAGTTGTTTCTCGTGGGGTACATACACATTCAAGAACATGCTTTGGAATTCCCCGTTTTTGACCAAATTTTGAGAGATTTGATGTATTATTTGAATACGTATCATCATGTTAATATGAGTACCCCCTCCAGTAGTGATGACCAACAACAACAACAACAACAACCAGTTACAACAACATCTACAAACTTTTTCAAGATAGGCGTGATATATTCCATAATATCGCTAGGATGCATAATCAATAAGAATCCAGTCAAATCATTGGAGTATTTCAAGAAAGCATGGATATTACTTATCAAAAAACTAATTCCCCTGTATAACAACAACAATGTATCAATGGATCAAATTGAAATATCAAGTAATTTGTTTCTTTTAACTTTTATATACATTCAATACGATTTCGAAAATTACAAAATCGATGAACAAGATGAACAAGGAGAACATAAAGTTTACCTCAATAACAAGGTTATTTTGGACTATCTTGATCAAATCAGTTTTATCATCATTTCAAATTTGACTGATTTTAGTAATCCACAGGAGAAATTGATCGACAAGAATATGAAATTGTTTTGGAGTATATACATGTTATTATCCACTTATTTGTACGATGAGAAAATACCCAAGATTCATTCTATTTTTATTAATAAGGCATTGTCTATTGAGGGAGAATACCACGAAACAACATTAATTCAGTTGATGCAGAAATTTGAAAAACTGGATTGTTCAATTGATGATAAATTGATCAAAATGATAGTCATCAGTTGTTTGACCAATGAGCTAAAGATCTATCATCTACAAAAATTGGACTTGAATGAAGTTCCAACAACAACAACAACAACAATTTATGACTGTAAAAATATATTACACAATTCAGTGATTTTAATTAACAAATCTATAAATAATTTTCATACAGGTATGAAAGAAGATGGAGTTGAGATGAAGTTATTTGAATTGTTTCGTAAAAATTTAATAATCAATAGCCCCATGAAATTTCATGAATTGTTGAGCAATTATATTTTCATCCCCGAGAATTGCTACAACTGGCAATTGATTTACCTTACATTGAGAGAAACTACATTGAATCATTCACTTGATCAAGCTATACGGTTAGCAGCTAAGGATCCGTCTTTGAATGCAAATTTCAACAATTTGGCTAATTCAATGAGATTATTTTTAAACTACAAAAATGTCCCCTTGGACATAAATAATAACATATCAATTGTATCCATTCCTATAATATTCTTCTCGCACTATTTGAATTTGGGTATTATTAAAAATTTGGATCGGTTTAATTTACTTCAGTTACAAGAATTGTATTATTTAATTACAAATTGGTTTATTATGATGAATAAAGTGTTGGTGATGATATGGTGTGACGAGTTTGTTCAATTTGAAGAGAATTACATCTTGCAAACATTAATATTTGTTTTGTTGGATGATAAGGCTCCACTTTTTGAGAAGCTTAAAATTGACCACCCAGGTATCTTTAGTCGTGGATCGGCAACACCAAATGTGGTGGAAGAGTTGAAGTTTAACAAGAAATGGTTATGGCATGTAAAAATAAAATTGGATTCCGTGTTTGAATGTTGGATGGAACATCTCAGAATCAAGTTCATTAACAAGTATTGGAATGGGGTTGAATTGCTGAATTTAATAGTGTTGAAGATTTCCATTATGAAGTGGATGCATGAGTATATCGCACTAGAGGAAGATTTAGTAGTTAAAGCAGATGACGAGAATGGAATTGGAAATGCTGGTGGTGGTGGCGGTGATGCTAGTGGTGGTCTACCCCATGCAGGTTCACGATCATTATCAATTGCATCTGCAAATATGAATTTAATGTCACAAATGAACTTTACAATTCCTGTCCTATCACACCGAGCACCAGCACCAGCACCAGCACCAGCACCAGCACCAGCACCAGCACCAGCAGCGTCGGCATCAGTACACCGGCAACAGAGACAGCTGAGTATTGGCAGTTTTTTCAACTATTACGGCTTAACACCATCATCATCTTCCTTTCCGGAGTTTCAACCATCATTACCACCACCACCACCTCCGCTCCCGCCGCCGCCGCCACCGCCAACAGCAATAACTGCGCCAACAGCAACAACGACGTCAACATCATCGTCGACATCAACACATCAGCAGCAATATGGGAAAAGATCTGATTCATTAACTATGAGTGTTGCATCTAATGATTCTAGTTTTGCAACGGCAATGAGACACAGTGTTTCGCAAGTGAGTAGTGGCAGCGCTCCGGGACAACAGAATCAGTATTTTAACTACTCAACTTATCCACCGCCACCGGTAATGGTTGCTCAACATCAGCAACAGTTACAGCATCAGTTACAGCAGCAGCAATTACAACTACAACAGCAACAGTTACAGCTACAACAACAGCAATTAGCGGCTCCTCCGTCTCCACCACCTGCTCCACCACCCTTATTTCCTACTAGAGACGTCGTTCTACCGCCGTTAGGCCCTGAGCGAAGAAAAGAAAAGAATAGTATTACATATTGACCATGATGACTCCACACACACACACACACACACACACACACACACCACACATATATATATATGTATATATATAATGAGAAATGATAATGAATATTGCATGTCTAGCTTTTTTTTTTTTTTTTTTTGGGAATTTTCTTTCTATAGTTTAGCTGGCTCAATGAGGATATCTTTATGGAATTTCTTCAATTTCCACAAATTGGCAAAGCGTGGATCTATTTCTACTTTTTCACCATTGACAATACAATTGTAACAATAATCTATCAATTGCACGGGTAATACAAATGTAAAATCCGTGATTTTTTCCACCTTTTCTTCTTCTTCTTCTTGTTGATGTTCAGCATCAAAAACTACTGGTTTGTAAACTTCTGCATTACAGCATATAATTCCTACTAGTTGATGATTAATATTAAACAATGCTCCACCTGAACATCCATTATACGAGGATGCCGAGGACACAATTAGTCCTGGAATGCAGCGTAGATTGTTAGTTGTTTTGATTGAATAAATACAATTGATTATTCCATACGATATAAGTGGCATTGTCTGATTATGATGGAGAAAGAGACCAAACGATTGTGTATATACTTCCTCTTCTACCTTAAACTCCAGACTAGGACTGATTGCAGTATGGAATGGTGATTGGGCAAGGAAGATAAAAGAAAGGTCAAGGTCGAGTGATGGAATAATTATCTTGTCTTTTAAAGTGAGTGCAATTACCTTGTTGTTATAGTGTATTTCTGCTGATTTATAGCGATGGGTCGAGTTGGTATAAGGCAATATGACGTGGCTGTTTGTTATTAGTATATTAGGCTTATAGGTTATACAAGAGCCCCAAGTATAGTCTTTCCCATTGGAGACTGTTAAAGGTAGTACTAATTGGTTGTGGGCATATGTTGGAGTAGGTGGTGGCGGCGGTGTTGGGGTGTAAGTTGGTATTGATTTTTCAATAGTGACAAGTTGGTTGATTCTGAACCACGGAAGAATCATAGTGAGCTCACCTTCACCATTTCGTTTTCTCAAGTTCCCTAATATCAAGCCAATGAGTTGGTTCTTGTGGTCGGTTACTATACCGCCACACATATTGTCGAGATACCTCAAATCGGACAAAAAACAGCAATTTTCGAAATTGTAGATTATCGAACCATGACTTATGAATCTATGGAATACCAACAGATTTGTTATTGAGAATGGTGAAGAAACAACTTTGATTTTTGTCTCGACTATTGCATTGGTAAACTTTAGCGGGAATATATGCGGGGAACCCACCCCTATGTTATTTACCGGTGATGCTAATGCAGAAGCAGAAGCAGAAGCAGATGCTAAAGATAGTTTCAAAATAGAAATTGTGTTTCCAAAAGAGTCCCTTGGGAAGATATTGAACTCACGTCGTGTTAATATTTGGAAATTGTCCATTTCGATAACAGCCTCAACCAAGATCTTAGCTCTATGCCAAAATACATCTTCTAGATCTTTCTTATCTGAGCGATGAATGTAGATTCGAAAAGTGTAAATATCGGGAAGATGGCTTATTGTAAGAACAAAATCCTCCTCGTGAGAGGAGATAAATATACCTGAAGACGCGTAAACCAAGTCATCTTTAATGAACTGGACCGCCACAGGTGAGTAGAACGACATTACTACGACTTAATAGCTTGTTATAACACTATCGAGCAGAGCGAGATAGTGAAGCAATACTTCTTGGCTTGTTACAACATTGACTATCCAATGATTTTCCTCTTTATCGTTTCTTTACATGTTTAACCTGAATCAGTAACAATATAACAAACTTTTTCTTTTGTGCTATCGAGCGACACTATCGAGCGACACTATCGAGCGAAGCGAGATAGTGGAGCACACTAACTCTTGACACTATCGTCACTATCGTCACTATCGAGCGAAGCGAGATAGTGGATCACACTAGCTGTCACCGGCACTAGCTGTCACCGGCACTAGCTGTCACCAACACTAGCTGCCACCAACACTATCTGCCCCCGACACCAGTTGTCACCGAAGCTATCTCGCTCTGCTTAATAGCAACACTTTGTAGCTTGTTACAACACTATCTCGCTCTGATTGAGAGTGTCGCTCGATAGTGGAGCAACACTTTGTAGCTTGTTACAACACTATCTCGCTCTGCTCGATAGTGTTGCTCGATAGTGTTGCTCGATAGTGTTGCTCGATAGTGTTGCTCGATAGTGGAGCAACATTTTGTAGCTTGTATAATCATTCGAACTTAATGTTACTTGTGACACTAGAACAATCTCCATTTAACGATTTTCACGTGACCTTGATCTCGATCTCATGATGTATAACATTTGTAAACACTCTGCTGATTTCAGAGTAAGATTAAAGTAATAAGCTCACCATTTCAAGTAATAGTCACGTGACTATATATTAAGCACGTGATTCTTTATTCATGTTCTAGAACAAATTGCTTTGCTTGATAGTGCTCTGACTTGCTAGAATGAAGAATGCGCTGAATTTGAATTGTAGTTGAGAAGAGGTATAGAAGTATTAGGTGGTGAGGTGTAGATGTTAGAATGTAGAGATGCAAAGCGAAACACTATCGAGAAGAGCGAGATAGTGTCAATAGTATCAATAGTATAGCTACAAAGTGTTGTTCGATGGTGTCACTCAGTGTCGTGTACATGGTAGCATCAAGGAGATATGAAAGATTTGTTGACGTGTAAAAAAAACTCTAACAGTGAAAAAAAAATACAAGAAAGACCCTGCTGCGAAAAGAATTCAACATAAGAAAGATAATTTAGGCCCAATTTGTGCGGTTTGGTATTGCTTTCTTTCCCCTCCCCCTCTCCTTCCTGAGCTTAGTGAGTCATTTAACTCCTTGTTTTGTTCAAGTGAAGTAAGTGTGTAAGCAAAAAAAGAAAATGCAAGTAATATTTCTACTATCAACGATATTTCTATCCTTTGCCTCATTTGTCCTTTCTGGTAAAAATTATTATCAGATATTGGGAGTCGATAAAGCAGCACTGGATAAAGAGATCAAGCAAGCTTATAGACAATTAACGTTGAAGTATCACCCGGATAAGAACCCCGGGGATGAAGAGGCACACGATAAGTTTATCGAGATTGGTGAGGCATACGAGGCATTGAGTGATGAGACCAAGAGAAAGAATTATGACATGTATGGCGATGTCAATGGGCCAAACCAGCAGCATCAAGGCGGATTTGATTTTGGCGATATTTTCGGACAGTTCTTTGGTGGTGGTGGTGGTGGTGGTGGTGACGGTGGCCACCGTGCAAGGGGTGGAAACGGCGGACAGCAGATGAAAAGGGGAAGCAATACCAATCTCGATTTGAATTTAAGTTTAAGAGATTTTTACCGAGGGAAATTGGTTGATTTTGACGTGGAAATGCTGAATGATTGTGAAAAATGTCGTGGTACGGGATCACTGGATGGCAAGAGACACACGTGTGAGAAATGTCGTGGGTCGGGACAAATTACTGTGCACCATCAATTAGCTCCTGGTTTCACACAGCAGATAAGAATGGTATGTGATGAATGTGGTGGTGTTGGGAAAACCATTTCACAGCCATGTGGCGATTGTAATGGTGCCGGTGCTGTGCGTGGCCCAAGACACTATCAAGTATATTTGCATCGAGGACAATCTAGAGATGGCACTGTTGTTAAGGAGGGTGAAGGAGACCGCAATCCTCAATGGGTTCCAGGGGATTTGGTTGTACGATTTAGGGAAAAACTTGAGGAGAGTTGGGGATATAGACGTATTCAGGATAATTTGTATAGGACGGAAGTGATTCTGTTGAATGAGTCGTTGAATGGTGGATGGGAAAGGAAAATTGCTTTTTTTGGTTTTGAGGAAGATGATTTGAATGAAATTGTGTTGAAGAGGGAACCAGGTGTAAGTATTTTGGATGGTGAGGTTGAAGTGATCAAAGGTAAAGGTATGCCTGTTATGAGTGATCACGATGAAGACGAAAAGTACGGTGATTTATTTATTGAGTATAAAGTTATTATACCTGGTGATGGTGGTAACAAGAATAGGAAAAAGAAAGGGGTCAAGAAGGACGAATTATAGAGATAAAACGGTAGCGACATTATCGGGCGACACTATCGAGCGAAGCGAGATAGTGGAGCAACATTGTTTAGCAATACTGTTTAGCAATACTGTTTAGCAACATTGTTTAGCAATACTGTTTGGCAATAATGTTTAGCAATACTGTTTAGCAACATTGTTTAGCAATACTGTTTAGCAATACTGTTTAGCAACATTGTTTAGCAACATTACTAACTACAGCAGTGGGAAAAAATTGACAGTAGGAAAGAGTAGTAGTATCGAAGGAATAATATGATTGTAGAAAGAGAGAGAAAAAGATGTGGCGACGCTATCGAGCGACACTATTGAGCAAAGCGAGATGGCGGAGCAACACTGTTTGGCAGTACTGACTAGTGGAGCAACACTGTTTCGCAACACTGTTTGGCAGCACTGACTAGTGGCACTATCGAGCGACACCATCTCGCTTCGCTCATTAGTGTCGGTGGCAGCTAATGTGCTCCACTACCGACCAGTGTTGACTAGTGCGCTCTACTCTTGAGCAGTGTTGACTAGTGCGCTCTAGTGTCTATCTCGCTTTGCTCGATAGTGTCTATCTCGCTTTGCTCGATAGTGTCTATCTCGCTTTGCTCGATAGTGTCTATCTCGCTTTGCTCGATAGTGTCTTTGTATCACATTTTAGAAACAACACTCTAGTTACTTTTCCGAGTGCAGTATCAAATATTAAAGAACAATAGTCTAGATGCAATCCCCAGTATGATGTAAATCGAACAATCTCTACTAATATACTAAGCAACCTTAACGGGTTTTCAAAGCCATTCCTTTGTTTTACTTTTAAGCAATGCAAAAAAATACAAAGATTTGCAGATTTTGTGCTATTTCGAATGATCTAGACTCTTGGTATTGAAAAAAAGAAAGAAAAAAATTTAAAGTAGTTGTTAAAAGGTCATTAACCATTTAAGCAAAGAAGAAGTGAGGGAGGGGGTGAACCTTTGTTGAACAGTAAATCCTTTACCTCATGATCAAGGAGTTCGTAAGAGAGGGAGGGGGTGAACCGTAGTTGAACCGGAAATCCTTTACCTCATGATCAAGGAGTACGTGACTTAGTTAAACAGTAAATCCTTTACCTCATGATCAAGGAGTACGTGACTTAGTTAAACAGTAAATCCTTTACCTCATGATCAAGGAGTACGTGACTTAGTTAAACAGTAAATCCTTTACCTCATGATCAAGGAGTACGTGACTTAGTTAAACAGTAAATCCTTTACCTCATGATCAAGGAGTACGTGACTTAGTTAAACAGTAAATCCTTTACCTAGTCAAGGAGTACGTAACTTAGTCAAACCGAAATCCTTTACCTAGTCAAGGAGTACGTAACTTAGTTAAACCGGAAATCCTTTACCTCATAATCAAGGAATACGTGAGAGACCTAGTTGAACCGGAAATCCTTTACCTTAAGCTCTTGATCAGCGAGTACGTTTCTTTTATACATCTCTTTTTTTTTTTTTTTTTTCGGAGTAAATATCGCAACAAATATCGCAGCGATTTATTGGTTCTCCACCATCTCGCGTCTGAAGCCTCCCCCCACGTCCAGTGTTACTAACCATGTGTCACTTATTAGATACTTATGGCTCGTGGTACAATAACCAAAAAAAAAAAAAAAAACAATGCTAGAATTGACAGCAATAGAGTGTGTATTGGTCCCTATATGGGGTGAAGTTGCTTTCTCGCTAAAGCAACTTCACCCCATGTCCACCACTATCTTGCTCTGCTCGATAGTGTCGACTCGGCTATGGAGAAAAGTTACCTTTTGTTTGTTTGGGAGAAGAAAAAAAAGTTGGGGTTAAAATTTTTCACTTTGGCTTTTTAACTTTTGTTGCATTGAGGTAAAGGCGGGCCCACATACATAAGAAAAAAAAGACACAGTCGACTAACTAACATACAAAACTTTGTATTAATAAGTTACTCCATGCCATTGCTATTGGGATAACTGGATTAAGACCCCACCCCACGAAGTTTGACCTCGTTTTTTTCCCTTCTCCTCTTGTCTTTTCCTTTCTCTTCTCTTTATTTTTTATTTCATCGTTTAATCACCTTATTTTTTCAACTTTCCCCTATATAGTTTAGTCAGTGCTGTTCCACTATCTCGCTCTGGTTGATAGTGTTATGTCAGTACTAGCTTCAGCTTCAGCAGCGGCACATAGCCATGCTATAGGAAAAAGTTCTATTGCTATAGAACCAACACTGAAACTTCAAAGTAAATTACCATCTACCTCATTAGAGGAAATACCAGGTTTGCTAACGCCTATATCTTCGGCAATGAATTCGTCGTCAACGACAGCAGACACAACTGCAGCAAGTGCATTGCCTGCAGCACAAGCACAAGCACCGGCATACATGTCATTGCCAGTATCACCTCAACCGTCTAAAGTGCTAGCGGCGGCAAGTAATTCAATAAATCGGTATTCACCAAGACCACTTTTTGGTGTAATTAATACAGGTTCCAAATTAGACGACTCCGAAGAAGAAGAGGAAGAAGAAGACGACTATGAGGATGAGGAGGAGGAGGAGGAGGAAGACGAGTCACAGAGTATAATATCCGAAGTATACAGTTTACTTACTCCAGACTTGGCGCGAGAGAAAATAGCCTCCCATTATCCTAACAATTTTTATGACAGACAGCAAATTTCAAACAGTGATTTGATTGCCACTGCAGCATTCATAAGTGATGTGAAACAAACGTTACCATCAATAACTAACCCATTACAAACACCAACCCAGATTCTTGAATCCTATTTTTCAAATCAAATCTTTTATGCTAATAATTTAATCAACCTACCGCAGCATTTCTTAAACCAGGAATTTGACAGTTTTAGCCTGGACCTAATACTCAATCCCAATATACCACTGTCTTTGGAACACCACGATGAAATTATACAGAAACTAGACCAATTGTACATTTCATCCGTGGAATTAGTTTCCGTTATTACGATGTTCAATTGTTTTATTTCAAGAGTCAATTATCACGACGTTACTTTAACCAATTTGAAGGCTATGAAATCTCAATTTGACTACCTTTTGGAAAACCATTTATCGCAGCTTGTGCATGGAATACTAGATACTATAATCGATGGTTTGTATGAGTACAACTTATTGATTGAGGAAATGACAAATAAGAACAAAAAAGTGGGTAATAGCGTTGAAGAAAAGTCGAATGACTTGGGAGAAACTTATGAGGAGATCAAGGGATACTATTATGAGATTGAGACTACTTTAACCTTGAACAATACTAAATTGAAAAAGACTGATGTTGAGAAATTTTACTGTTTATTAATGAAAGAAATTGTTAATAATAAAGCCTGGACTGACTATATTGATTATTTGAAAACCATTGTATGAAAAGGAGCTAGTGAGACACTATTGATACACTATCGAGCAGAGCAAGACACTATCGAGCAGAGCAAGACACTATCGAGCAGAGCAAGACACTATCGAGCAGAGCAAGACACTATCGAGCAGAGCAAGACACTATCGAGCAGAGCAAGACACTATCGAGCAGAGCGAGCACAGTGAGATAGTATAGCTACAAAGTGCTGCTCACTAGCGAGCAGAGTGAGATAGTATAGCTACAAAGTGTTGCTCACTAGCGAGCAGAGTGAGATAGTATAGCTACAAAGTGTTGCTCACTATCTCGCTTTGCTTGATGTTATATCGCTTTGCGCGATAGTGTTAGTGTGCAAAAAATTCAAGAGAAACGGATTATTAAAGAGCTGTTATGGAACCAATTTTTATTTTTCAATTTTCAATTTTTCCGAGAGCAAATTTTTTTCAACGGTTGGGTAAAATTTTATTGATTTTGATTGCGCAATATAATATAGCGAGCAGTGACAATAGTGAGCAGTGACACTATCTCGCTTTACTCGATAGTGGAGCAGCATTTTGTAGCTTGTTACGACACTATCTCGCTCTGCTCGATAGTGGAGCAGCATTTTGTAGCTTGTTACGACACTATCTCGCTCTGCTCGATAGTGGAGCAGCATTTTGTAGCTTGTTACGACACTATCTCGCTCTGCCCGATAGTGTTATTGCTCGATAGTTACTGCATATGTCGCAGAAACTTATGAATAAATGATATAAACCTTAAAATAGCAACCATTCCTTTCTACTTTAAAACAAGATATGAAAGCAATTAATAAAAGAAAAAGAAATCTTGTTGTAAAAAGAAGCGACTTTCCTCTTTCCTCTTTCAACTCGGTTCCGAGCTTTTATTATACAGTTTTGTTACACTATTGATTTAATTTTGTGCTTCTAACGTCTTTCTTTATTCTGTGCTTACAAATTATAATGACACAAGAATAGCTTTCCTTCCTTCTAGCAAAGGAGTCATGATGTGGTCTGAGGATAAACTAAAACTAACATGACATATTATTGCCATTCTCTACATCTCTCTCTTAAATAGGCTGCGAAAGAACCTTATTTACAGACTCTTTTATAAACTGCTTCACCTCATTTACAGACTCTCTTTTATTTCTTTTTCAAAGATTAATTGGTTCAAGGTCCATTTTAAACATGTCACAGGAGAACACCACCGCTATTCGTGCTTTAGGCGATACTAAATTATTCCAACCGATTAAAGTTGGCGAGAATGTAATAAACCAAAGAATTGCATATGTCCCAACAACTAGAAGAAGAGCAACTAAGGACAATATTCCTACTGATTTGCAATTAGAATATTACAAAGCTAGAGCGCAAGCACCGGGAACTTTGCTCATCACTGAAGCTACTTTTGCTTCACTCGAAGGAACCGGTTTTGCTAATGTTCCCGGTATTTTTAACGAGAAACAAGTCGCCGCTTGGAAAAAGATCACTGATACTATAAGAGCTGCGAAATCATATTCTTGTGTTCAGTTATGGCATTTGGGAAGAACTGCAGATCCTCAGGAGTTGAAAGAAAGGGGGTTACCTTTTGCTGCTCCTTCTGCTGAGTATTTTTCAAAGGAGTCGGAAGAACAGGCCAAGAAGGCAGGCAATGAGTTACGAGCATACACCCAAGAGGAGATTGAGGATCTAATTGAAAGACAATACCCTCAAGCCGCTAAGAACGCAATAGCAGCTGGCTTTGATTATGTGGAATTACACTCGGCACACGGATACACTTTGGACCAGTTTTTGAACCCAGTGAGTAACAAAAGAACCGACAAGTATGGTGGTTCCGTGGAAAACAGAGCAAGAGTGCTTTTGGCCATTATTGATAAACTCATCCCCATCGTTGGTGCAAGCCGTTTAGCTTTGAGATTATCACCATGGGCAACTTTTCAAGTAAGTGCACCCGATGGAGCAGAAATTCACACATACATTCTTCAGCAACTTCAAGAGAGAGCAGACAAAGGTCATGAATTGGCATATGTTTCACTTGTAGAGCCTAGAGTGTCGGGTATTATTGATGTTGCAGAAAAGGACCAGCAAGGACAGAGTAACGAATTTGCTTTGCAGGTTTGGAAGGGGAACTTCATTCGTGCGGGAAATTACACCTATGACGCGCCAGAGTTCAAGACAATCTTGCATGATTTAGATAATGATCGCACCTTAATTGGATTTTCTAGATTTTTTACATCGAATCCTGATTTGGTTTACAAGTTGAAGAATGGTATTCCATTGACCAAGTATGATAGATCTACATTCTACACTCACGATAATTGGGGGTACAATACTTGGAACGGACATGAAAATCCAAATAAACAGTATAACGAAGAGGAGGAAAAGAAGGTTATTGGTAAACCATTGGCCTAAAAAGTTAGAAGCCATGTTGTTTGTTTATACATTTCAAAAACTAGAAGCCATATTGTTTGTTTATACATTTTAAAAACTAGAAGCCATATTGTTTGTTTATACATTTTTTTAGATAAGTAGTAGTTGTAGTAGTAATATCTTGCATAAACTTGCCTACAGGGTTGTTCTGCAAGATTGCCGCAAAATCTCGGAGATTAATACAAAGGACTCGATAGTGTCAGTCAGAGTGTGTCATTCAGAGTGTGTCATTCAGAGTGTGTCATTCAGAGTGTGTCAGTCAGAGTGTGTCAGTCAGAGTGCTCCACTATCTCACTTCGCTCGATAGTGTATCTCATCTCATCGCACTGAAAAATATATACCGGAAAATGATTCAGTTTGAGAATCACGGTTTTCAAATCCTTTTCACACATAAACAGACAAGACTAACAATAATGTACTGATAATATACAAGTAAAAGAGCCACCTCTCTCACTCGGGCTAACATTGTTATGTCTATAGCAGCTTGGTTGGTGGTTCCAATTACCAACTTGTGCCCATTGAAAGAAGCATGCTTTTTCCGCATATCCGCAAAAAACAAAAATGAAAAAAAGAATTACCCCATATTGTTTCAAGTTGGTCTTGAGCAAGTATAAATAGATAATGATAATCCAAGACGGAGACGGTTTCTCTTTTCTTCTCTTCTTTGTAGATCTACAACTTACTTGGCTTTTATGACCAGCCCATTAAAAGATACCTTGGTGTTTGAGCCCATCAAAGTTGGAGAGGTTACGCTATCGAATAGAATAGTTTATTGTCCAACAACTAGATTCAGAGCAGCTGCAACTCCAAATGAAAAGTCTCATCATTTGCCTTCCGACTTGATGTTGGAGTATTATTCTCAAAGAGCACAATATCCGGGCACGTTACTAGTAACGGAAGCGACTTTTGTCAGTCGTGGTGCTGGTGGGTATGATGGATGCCCTGCTATATGTACCAGTGAGGAAACTCAAGCTTGGAAAAAGATAGTTTCCGCAGTACATGCCAAGAAAAGTTTCATTAGCTGTCAAGCATGGTTTTTGGGAAGAGTTGCCGACGCAAGAGTTTTGAAAAATGAAGGACAGAGGTATGTTGGAGCTAGTGCAATCTATCCCGATGGGAGAGCTGAACATTTGGCGAAAAAAGCAGGTTTGCCATTGGAAGCATTGACTGCAGATGAGATTCAAGATATAATTAAAAAGGATTTCACGGTTGCTGCCAAAAATGCTATGGAGGCAGGGTTTGATTTCTTTGAGCTTCACAATGCTCATGGGTACTTGTTGGATACATTTTTGCACGAAAACTCAAATCAAAGAACTGACCAATATGGCGGCTCGATTGAAAACAGAGCTCGTTTTACATTGGAGTTGATTGATCATTTATGTACTGTTATTCCACCTGCCAAATTAGCAATTAGATTATCCCCCTGGGCTGAAGTTCAAGGGATTTATGATGAAACTAGCCCCATTCCTCAATTTGCATACTTGTTAGATCAATTACAAAGGAGAGCTAACAACGGCAAAGAGTTGGGTTACGTATCTGTTGTTGAGCCAAGGGTTCAAGGTGTTGTTACAGCGGATCTTGATTCAATGAAGGGGACCAATCAATTTGTAGAGGAAGTTTGGAAAGGAGTGACGTTGAGAGCAGGCAATTACACATATGATGCCCCAGAATTCAAGCAGATCAAGGACGATGTATCAAACGGAAGAACATTGGTTGGATTCTCAAGGTTTTTTACATCAAACCCTGATTTGGTGTATAAACTAAGAGATGATCCCTACAAATTGGTTAAATATAATCGAGAATTGTTTTATCAACCTTTTAACTGGGGGTATAATACTTACGATGGTGATAAGTATGACGAAGAAGTTGAAAGAAAACGTTATGCTAAACCGATTAAACATGGAGATTCCTATTTATAGAGAAGGAGAGCATATTTTTTTTATCATCTTTTCTTGTCTCTTCTTTTATTTAGTTGTAACAAGCTAATAAGTGTAGCTCCACACTATCGACCGACACTATCTCGCTCTGCTCGATATTGTCGGCGATAGTGTTGCTTTATTACTTTACTTTTGGGATTTCCATTTCTTTACACCAAGTATCTTTTTCAATTTCCCCAATTTTTCATCGATTTGAGATTGGAAGGAGAAGGACTTGATGCACTCATCGAGATCTTCAATCAAAGCTGAACATCCATCATTTGAGGAATTTAAATTTTTGTTATCGTTATCGATGACAGATTCTGCTACTTGATTTTTTTTCTTTTGTCTCTTTGGCTGGATAAGCTCTTGTATAGAGCTAGTTCTTAAAGGTGCCATTGTAAATGCTTTTTCTTCTTCCAATTCTTTACCACTCAAACACATTTGCCGCACATTATCGCTATCACTATTATTGAGTTCAGAATCAATTGATGCTGAGTAACTTACAATTGTTCCTGCATTCAAGTTCTGTTTGATAATTGCATTCTTGACAAACTTGCAAGTTGGGCGATCGCAACAAGGGTTCATAATAAAATCATAATTTTCGTCTTCCATCATCATATTCTTCAATTTAATTTCACAACTATTTTCGTTTCGATAATTGACATAAAGCAGCGAAAATGGCAAACGAGATGAGTTTATGGATTCGGAAATTTGCAAAAGATTCTCCTTGTTGAAGGAATCACTTGCAATAGAAATATTCGATGAACCTGAGAAAGTAGCTAGCTTAGGAAGGTGGGTTTGAGAATTGCTATTATTGAATGGAACAAGACTCATAGGTGTAAATCTACCTTTAGCATTTTCGTCAAACAGATTAACTGAAATGAGTGATACTTTTCTAGACATTTCCTTTCGTTTGTTTTTTTTTGCAACTAGCAAAGAATAAAGTATACAACCATTTACCACCACCAACAACAACAATAACAACAACCACGAGTCGAGTTCCTACCTAAAAGGAAAAAGATTGATTCTGATATGATTAAAGATAGAAAATGGCTGCGAAAAAGGTACACAGAAAAAAAAGAAATAAAAAAAAAATAATAATAATTAATTTGGAACATTTAACCTTTCCATCTTGATTCGCTCCACTATCGAGCAGAGCGAGATAGTGTCGGTCAATAGTGTCGGTCAGAGCTGCTCCACTATCGAGCAGAGCGAGATAGTGTCTACCAAGTATTGGTCTGCTCGATAGTGTCTACCAAGTATTGGTCTGCTCGATAGTGTCTACCAAGTATTGGTCTGCTCGATAGTGTCTACCAAGTATTGGTCTGCTCGATAGTGTCTACCAAGTATTGGTCTGCTCGATAGTGTCTACCAAGTATTGGTCTGCTCGATAGTGTCTACCAAGTATTGCTCGATAGTGTGCCATTGCTGCTCCACTATCTCGCTTCGCTCGATAGTGTTTCTCGATAGTGTTTCTCGATAGTGTCGGCTAAACACTTTTCCAGATTTTTGCAGCATAATGTTTAACAAATGCTAAATGATTGTCATTCTTTCCATCTTTAGGTATTTCCTCATCACTAGCAAACGAGCTCATTGGTAATACTAAAACGTCGCTAACCAATTTTGGTGTATTCAACTCATGGAAATCTTTCCATGTAACTTTTCGAAATACCGAGGACAATATATAATCATTGAAATATTTCAAAATAACATTTGTCCATATTCCAGAGCCAGTCCATTGGCTTATTTTCATTGATTTTTGATTTGTGTCGCCGGTTACTTTCAAAGCTGTTCCGCCGGTTGACGATAAACTATCAAGCTGCTTAAGTTTAGTCAATTCAACAATTTCGGCAATCGCTTCTCTTAAAATCGGATGACCTGGTTTGGCTTGAATGACAAACTGTCCAAATTGTAACCTATGCACCGAATTTTCTCTCCAATTTTGGGAAGATGAATCGGTTTCCACAGCAACAATTATTCCGATATCTAAGGGGCTCACGTTTTCTGGAGTCCAATTTGGTATTGGCTGAAGCGGATAAGTGTCAATATCGGCATAAACGCCTCCTTTTGCAAATAACACCAAGTACTTGAAAAAATCCATCTTCAATATAACTTCAGGTAAAAGTTCATAAGTTTCAATAATTTCCGGTATTTGATTGTAGAGATACTTTATCATTGTATGTGCCGTATCATCGTTGAACAACTCGTGAACAAAACCAGGGTTGATAATAGCCCACTGTGACTCACCTTTCCTATACTTTTCTTCGAATCTATCATCATTCAAGCCATGTTTCCAAGTTTGCCAAATATATGCGGGGAACTTCAGTTCTGGATTATAGCTGTAAATAAAAGTCAACTTTTCTCGTAACGAAGCATGGCTCGGAGGAGTCTTCAACAGTTTCAATTCCTTTAGTATCAAATCATATTGCTCTTCAAGCTTACTAATTTTTTCTTCTTGAGATTGAAAGAATTTTTTATTCATCTTTTGAATCTTGTTGAATAGTTCATCTTGAGTTTTACTATTTTCCGAGGATAAGAATTTACCAAGCCCGGTTATCTTGTCATTTGGTAGACTCGTGATAACGTCATGGATATCACTGGCTGAATTTATCGATGAGAAATTAAGCAAGGCTAAACTTATCAATATTATCGATAAGATAGTAAACAGTATTAGAAATTTCCGCCCATTGCCATTAGGGCTCTTGTATTTAGACATCTTGAAGTCAAGTACCAGCTACAAAAACAAAAACAAAAACAAGAAAGGGATCCAAGTTCAAGATCCTACCAAGTCAATGTTCAAAGTCCAAAGTCCAAAGTCCAAAGTCCAAAGTCCAAAGTCCAATATTCAAGTCCAATATTCAATTTAATGTTCATAGGTGAATATTAACGATGCCGATTTTTTTTTTTCCATATTGGGCCATTGCTAACCGCGCTCCCTATCATTTTATTTTATAGGAATTATAAACCTGGTTTAAGGTCATCGCTTGGAGACTAGTGAGTTACAAAGACTCAGAAGATAGCTTTCAGGAGATAGTTTTCAGGAGATAGTTTTCAGGAGATAGCTTTCAGGAGATAGTTTTCAGGAGATAGGTTTAGTGAGTTATAAGGACTCAGTTGAGATAGGAACATGACTACTTTGCTATATGGGGGTGCAATTACCATTCCCAAACTACCAAGGAATTTCATAGACGTATCGGAAATACGTCAAGTTCCCGATACACAAGAGGTTTTCATTAATGAAATTCCTTCTGATTCTGGGCATAGTAAAGAGAAGCAGTTGTTTTATGACCAGTCTTTGATTATTGATTTGTTGGAACAGGTTTCTTCGCTGGAATACAAACTGGCTATAGCTGAACATATGCAAGATATCGCACCATCCAGTGCTGAAAATATTCCATTGGAACAAATGGAAGATGCAAGCGATAATGAGATTATGAGATATTTTAGCTATCTTGTTTTCAAGCCTGAATATAAAAGACAAGAAAAAAATCAAGCGACAAAGATTGTATTGCTTGTTTGTTTGATCCGTTTGAATAAAGTTGAAACTGATGTTATTATACAGTATGTTATACCTTTGAAAAGTGGTGATGAAGTTGGGGAAACAATTAATTTCACAAATCCCAAGAGTGATGTCGACTCACTAGTCGCTGAGAAGTACAAGTTTTTCAAAGAAATTTGTACAAAGTTCAAGGTTGATGATTGGAATTTATTTGCATAGACAATATCGAGGAGAGCGTGACACTATCGAGCAGAGCGAGATAGTGTCAATAGTATGGCTACAAAGTGTTGCTCACTATCGAGCTAGTCAATACTGCTCCACTATCTCGCTTCGCTCGATAGTATGGCTACAAAGTGTTGCTCACTATCGAGCTAGTCAATATTGCTCCACTATCTCGCTTCGCTCGACAGTGTTGCTCGACAGTGTTGCTCGACAGTGTTGCTCGACAGTGTTGCTCGACAGTGTTGCTCGACAGTGTTGCTCGACAGTGTTGCTCGACAGTGTTGCTCGATAGTGTTGCTCGATAGTGTTACTCGATAGTGTTGCTCGATAGTGTTTAATTTTATTCATCTTTTTTGGCTTGCAATGTGGCAGCGTGGCTCGCAAAGGAGAATAGCTTCTTGAAAACAGCTGCAAGGATGATGATAATTCCAAATAGCAATGTAATGAACGTTAATGAATTTATCCTGTCAAACGTAGTTATTCCATGCGGCACATCTACCATCAAATGTCCTTCGTTACTCTTACCCAAAACTTGGTTGAAATGATAAAATACAGTCTCGTTTGAAAAGTAAGTTTCATAATTGCCACCAATCCTACAAAGCTTCTTACTATCAAAAGGCAGTTTCTCTAATAAGCTCGCTTCTTTTACAGCACAAGCATAGAAGATTTGCGGACTAGGATTGATTACTTTGGTAAACAAGGATTGATTGTTTCCTGGTAATTGGTATCTTGAATGAAGTGTTAGGTTGAAACTCTCGGGAAAATGTACCGCACTACTATCATTGGCATCATCGTGATCATCATTTTGGCCCAATTCAAACATAACCTCACTACCCCATTGATCTAGTTTGTATTCTGGTAATTCTAGATTCTGTATACCGTTATCAACTCGCAATTTTGCATTTGCCGGAATGTCTTGATACTTGTCAAAGATCAACGATTTGTTCAAGTTGATGTAATAATATAGTTGGCATTTTCTGATATCCTCATCTGCTAAAATTGGCTGGGGTCCAATAAATTGGGTGGCTAGCACTGGATGGAGCCCCGAGGGCACTATTGACGAACTCACCGAATTTGCCAAATATCGATGTCTAGGTTTGACATGAAACAAGGTCTTGTGTTTATTTTCCAGCTCTCTATCACCACCCACAGTACCATCCAATATTACTCTCATTCCACTCAAGACTATATCGTCCTTGCTTGTTGAAATTTTCTCGTCTTTAGCAAATAACCCTATTTCCTTGTATATGTTGGTCTCCAACTCATATCCTACTTGATCGGCTTTGCTCTCCAACAGACGAATGATGATTTGATTAGGGATGTTATCGACATATACCAAATCAAAGGTTTCGTCATCAAATAGTTGTTGTTGTTGTTGTTGTTGTTGAAAAAAAGTGCAGTTTAATCTACCTGGCTTAGTGTCATAGTAATACAACGAGTTGAAGTTTGTTGTCCACTTGTTCTCGTCAATTTCAATTCCCAACAAGTGCCACAATACGTCTTGGACCTCTTGAAAAAACTCAACATTGTCATCATTGTTAATGGTGTTTTTGGGCAATATGTAGATATTCAACCCGGTAGAAAACTCAAATGGGAACACTTCATTGGTCACAGCATCATTGGCCTTGGACTGAATACGCAATTGACAGATATATCTCCATGGATTGGTTAAAGGGACTGTATATTTATTTTCCACAATGAACGAATCATTGGGCGGGGCTTTTACTTGTAAGTTTGTGTTATTGACAAACTGTATGAGGTTTGTTTCACTTAGCTTTGGGTAGTAAATTGTTACCCTTTGCCTCATTTGTTGATTTACCAGACCAGATAGATCTGCCTTGTTACAAGAAAAGAAAACCAATAAGAAAAGGAACCAATAGGAAAAGGGAACCAATAAGAAAAGAGAACCAAGAAGTAAAAGAGAACCAAGAAGTAAAAGAAAACCACCAAGTAAAAGAGGTGTGTGTGTGTTGTAGAAGAGATTGCGCCGCACGAAAACAAGGTGTTGTTATACTATTGAGCGTACCGAGAGAGTCAACTATTAAGCGTAGCGAGATAGTTGAGGAAGTCGAGTACTTGAGTATAGTTTTCTACTATCGAGCATAGCGAGGTAGTAGAGAAAGTCGAGTACTAAAGTACAGTAGAGATGTTGTTCAACCAAAGTACAGTTTTCTATTATCTCGCTATGCTCGATGGTAGGTAGAGGTAAGACGTTACAGGTTATTCAACTTGTCTACATTACTATATAATCTGTAGGTTAAAGTGTCTAGAAACAATTACATGTTGAAGAAAATGTCCAACGATTAGTAAATTATCAAAAGTCAAGACGAGGTCAAGGTCTGTGGTTAATATAGACACTATCGAGCGACACTATCGAGCGACACTATCGAGCGAAGCGAGATAGTGGAGCAACATGTAGTAGCTTGTTAGACACTATCGAGCAATACCTAGTAGCTTGTTAGACACTATCGAGCAATACCTAGTAGCTTGTTAGACACTATCGAGCAATACCTAGTAGCTTGTTAGACACTATCGAGCAATACCTAGTAGCTTGTTAGACACTATCGAGCAATACCTAGTAGCTTGTTAGACACTATCGAGCAATACCTAGTAGCTTGTTAGACACTATCGAGCAATACCTAGTAGCTTGTTACGACACTATCTCGCTCTGCTCAATAGATAACGTTTCTAAGCAAAAAGGCTTGGTTATATAGAGTGTCGGTGTAGTCAGTGCTGCTCTACTATGGAGCAAAGCGAAATAGTGTTGTAATAAGCTGCTACATGTTGCTCAACAGTGTTGCTCGATAGTCTCTAACAAGCTACTACATGTTGCTCCACTATCTCGCTTTGCTCGATAGTGTTGCTCTACAGTGTTGCTCTACAGTGTTGCTCTACAGTGTTGCTAGGAATATGCCAAAATTGTATTAAAGCCGAGTCAATATGAATATTAATAAATCTCTATCTAGTAGAAGGAAATGAAGGTTGAAATTTGTACATACATAATTCTTTAGTCAAGGATATCCAACCCTATATTGAAAAAACAACAATGCAATCTAATCCGGGTGTATGCGCAACGATGCGATGCGCATAAAAAAAACACTATTATGCGCATAAAAAAACGGGATTATTTGTATACAAAGAACAGTATTATGTTTAACCGTATTATGCTAAACAGTATTATGCTTAACAATATTATGCTTAACAGTATTATGCTTATACAATAAATGGTACTGCTCGATAGTGTCGGTGGCAGCTTCACACGAGGTGATAGAGCGAGACGAGCTATCACTCGATAGTGTCGATAGTGTCGATAGTGTCGGTGGCAGCTAGTGTGCTCCACTATCTCGCTCTGCTCGATAGTGTCGATAGTGTCGATAGTGTCGATAGTGTCGGTGGCAGCTAGTGTGCTCCACTATCTCGCTCTGCTCGATAGTGTCGATAGTGTCGATAGTGTCGATAGTGTCGATAGTGGTTCAGTTTATCCGTTTCGGTATTTCCGAGATTGAAAGCAAAATCGGGTTTGTGCCATTACCTCTATTACTCTTTGCAAATACTGAATTAATTAATCCCAATACATTGAAACTCATTCTGTGACCAGTTAAATAGTAGTATATTTTTTCGCTAGATCTTAGTACAGCAATTGGCAATACCCAAATGACATAATAACTAGCCAACAAGAAAAGCGATATAGTGATTGCATAATAAAAACACATTTCTCCATTACTGAGAATCGTAATCAATGAGCCATAATGATAATGATGGTAAAACTGGTATGGTTTATACATCATATAAGGTTTTGCTTTCATTTTCCTCTGTTGCTCCAATTTTCGGAAAGTTTCGGTTTTCGACGATTCCTCTAACAAAATTAATTCCGTGGGGTTCAGTATCTTTGGTTTTGCTGAATACACCATAGTGGAAAAAAAAAATAAAAAAAAAAAGAAATTGAGAACTGTAATAAGCTATCAAGTGTTAAAAAGAAATTGAGAATTGTACAAGCTTGATAAGGGAAGAGTGAAATTAAGAGTAACGGCTACAATAAGAGGGGATTCCTCTACTTTATATAGCTCTGTCAAAACACCCAGCATAAATGATGTGTATGGTTGTCATGACTTGAGTTTTTGTATTCTATCTACATGCGCGCTTCAATATAAGCTATCCTGTAAATTTTTTATTTTTTTTCAAACATACAAAACAATGCTAACTTGTTATATGTAATGTCTAAATGTCGATCAATTGAAAAAAAAAGAGTTAAACAAACAGTATGAGCTTAGAAGTCAGTCGTCTTCTTCTATGCATCCGACTTTTATTTTGTTCTAGCTTTCAATTTAACTACTAACCACTATTTGACAATAAAGTAATAGGTGTACTATATTGACACAAACCTGCGCAACATAACCATTTAAAATAAGCCTTGCATTAAAAACAGGATCTTAAGGCATTTTTAGCTGGCAAAGAAAAAAAAAATGATTGATAGTTGGGGGTGGAAAGCCTTTAAATGCCGGTTTTGTTCCATAGTTTTGTTCCACAGTTTTGTTTTATCTTTGCGCTGTATACAGAATAAGATGTATACAGCTTGTTCTGTACATTTGTTCTGTACACTCGTTCTGTACACTTGTTCTGTACACAGCTATTCTGTACACAGCTTATTCTGTACACAGCTTATTCTGCTTAAATTCGTAAATATCCAAGAGACAAATTAGTCAAAAAAGAAGCATCAATAAATAAATGATAGCTTAATTGGGAAAAAGAGTAATATTGCTTTTTCAACGAGTCCCATCATTACAGGAGACAATCGAGCTATTTTTCTTTCCTTTTGCATCAAAAGAAGCAGGAATCTATTAGACGCTAAAACTTATTGTAAATTAAATCCTAATTCCGCGATTTTGCACTCTCTTTTTTTCTTGCCGAACAGACCGATATTTGAGGTTTTTTTTTTAAAGAAAAGCAATTATTACTTAAACATGCAACACTATCGAGCAAAGCAAGTATCTGGAGCTCACTGACTACACCGACACTCTATGTAACCAAGGCCCTCATCTTATTCAGAATACTAAGTTAAACTAGTTACTCTATCGTCTATATTACTCTTGACTCTAAGCCTATAGTAGAAGTATATGAAATATACCCCTAATAGACAGAGCAAAGAAGATTATTGGTTCATTATATATATATTCAGCCGCACCACTAAGGTCCAGGAACTTCCCTCTTCTTGCCAAAGTCCAGAAACTCCTCTTCTTGCCAAAGTCCAGAAACTCCTCTTCTTGTCAAAGTCCAGAAACTCCTCTTCTTGTCAAAGTCCAGAAACTCCTCTTCTTGTCAAAGTCCAGAAATTCCTCTTCTTGCCAAACTCCAATACTCTCGAGCTACATCAGACGAAATCTATAATAAATAATTGTCTCTTAACTTCAATCAAAAAGCGTTACTAAATAATAATCTATCTTGTTTCTTCTTCATCTTTAGTTTCCTCTTATCAAGAATCTCAATCCCACTTTCATTTGCTTCAGAGGAGGCAGCACTAAAAGAGTTACTCTGCAGTTGCAGTTGCAGCAGCTGTCTCCATGAATTGGGATCAATAGTCTTGACTTCATTTACGCGAGGTATTACCTTCTTATTAGTCTTCTTCTGCAATACAGGAAATTTGGCATCATTGACACACGGGTTTGTCTTTGATGCAGTCAATGATCCGTTTTTCCCCAAGCTTGGTGTTGAAGATGTTTCTGACTTGGTATTGTCGAGATAATTTGGTATATACGGGCTCAGGTAAACTGTTGCTGCTGCTGATGATGATGCCTTTTTCTTGGGTTGTTGGGATTTCTTAACAACTGTGCTGTACCGAATTGGCTGCTCATTAGGGTTAAGATAGTTTACCTTAGTTGGTTTCTTCAATGGTGGGAAATTATCAACTGGTGATGCTGTTCCGCTGCGGCCACCACCACCACCACCACCACCAATCCATCCATTTGTACTGAATGAATTTGCAACTGGTCTCCCACCTAGTACAGGGAACTGTTCAGTTGGTGCTTCTTCATTCTTTTCAACTAAAATCGAAAGTAGATCTTTTTGCAAATCACCTCCTTGAGGGAAAAACTCCAAAAACTCCTTCACTAAAAGATTCAACTCTTCTATTGTTTGATGAATAAACAAGTTTTGCTTGTATATCTGTAAAAGCTCCTTTGCATTTATTTTTTTGCTCTTGAATGCTCTATTCAATTGTTCAAACTCGTTATACTTTTCTTGATTGTAGTTTAAGTAGTGTTTGGCTCTTTCCTCGAATCTTTTCTTTTTAATTTCCGGAGACTGTTGGTCTTCATCTTGATCACTGTTTGCACTTAACCACCTTGAGTTGTTGAATGTTGATAATTGACTGAAATGACGCGGGGAATTGCTATAATGCAAGGAGTTAGACCCAATTACAATTCTATTGCCATTGCTCAATCCGCCATGTTCCTTTAACATATGAGCAGTTAAATCCAAGTCGTTTCCAAAAACAACAAATCGCTTCTCAACACATGAAGCAACAGTACAAACATAATGCGCTTGCGAGAAATGCTGGTACAAAGATTCATAATTTTTATAATAATCCGCAGTCTTTGGCGTTGTCTGATCACAAATGTGGCACCTTTCATGTCGGTCTCGAACGTGCACATTCAACTCGTCTTCGGAATAAAACCGTTTGCCACGACAGTGTTTACACTCAGGATGGCCCATGAATCCCGACTCGTCACCTTGACTTTGGTGTTTTTGCAAACTTTTGTAATGGTACAATGGCAACTCAATCTTGAACGCCATTTTGTATTTAGAGCATATGAGACAGTAATATTTCCCGTGTACTTCCTTGGCATGATCACCCAATTCCTTGAATGTTGCAACTATCTCATGGCAAATCCCACACTCATTCTCCAATAACCGCAACGTTTCATCTCTTACATAGTTTTGTGTGAAATCAATTTTATACTTGTCTTCTTGGCTACTAACAAAATCCAGCAAGCCAAAATCGCTATAGTTTTTGCCAACTTGCTCTGAAATCACAATGCGATCATTTTCACTACGACACACTAAACAATTCTTCTTTTCATACAAGGCTCGTTGTCGAAATGCACATACATGACACGTGGTGTGGTTGCACGGACGTAAAGCAGCATATTGGATCTTTTCAGCACATATGATACACAAATCTCCCTCAAAAGAGTCCTCTACTTTTTCTCCCCTTGTTTGCTTACTTTTATCCTGTTTATTTCGTGCAATGCCACTTCTCTTGTACCTTGAAGAGCCTCCTTGTACTTTGCCTTCTCTTCCCACTCGCAGTTGACTGCTGCTACCAAGATCGCTCGAAGCTAGCATCAATAGTCTTAAATACCAATATTATATCCTCTCGTCTAGCCCCAAAAGACTCACACCCCCTATATGAACAACCCTTGTCCAGTTTCAAGTGAGTCATCCACTTCATCAACTCATCCATTTTTCATTTCTCATTTTTCATTTGGTTGTTTTTTTTTTTTCCGCTCCTTCGGCCCGATGGAAATTTTTCGCCGCCAGCGATGCGATGCGATGCGATGGGATGCGATGGGATGCGATGAGATGAGTCAAGTGCCACGAGTCGACCTGCCAGTAGAGCACCAGCACTACCACTAACGGGCAAGAGGCAAGAGGCAAGAGCGTAGAGAGTAGAGCGTAAAAATGCCTCAGATATTCAATTTGAGTGCCACTTTAAATGCATCAAGGATATTGTATAATCCAGCTATATGCCTTCCTCATTTTACTGTAAAATCCTTTGACCAATTGACAATACCATTGCAGATTCCTAATTATCCAAATGTGAGGATCAAAGGTATTGTGTTGGACAAGGATAATTGTTTTGCAAAAGACCATGATGATAAGGTTTGGCCCGAGTATGAAGTATGTATTAATGTTGATTTTTAACCCTCAACGTCAACCGTTATTCAATTTGAAGGGCTACAAGGGCTCTTTCCATTTACTGACTCTTTAAATTGTAGGAAACATGGAAAAAGTTGGCAAAGACGTATACGACAGAAAACCTACTCATTGTTAGTAATTCTGCTGGAACCGATGACGATATAGACAGCAAACAGGCACAGATTTTGGAGTGCAAAACTGGGGTAAATGTGTTGAGACATTCAGTGAAGAAACCGGGTTGTATTGATGAGATTAAACTGTATTTCGCTAAACTTGGTATCAAGCCAAGCGAAATTGTGGTAATTGGGGATAGATTATTTACAGATATGCTTATGGCTAATATGATGGGAAGCTGGGGATGCTGGATTAGTACTGGTGTTGAATTGAGTAACAAAGTGTTTCCAACGTTAGAAAGAGGTTTGTATAACAAATTGGTTACTAATAAACCAGGAAATCCATGGACCCCACCAACGCCGCCATCTAGCTAGAAATAAGAAAAATTGTTATCAAACCAAAAAGGAAACTTTTTATTTTACAATAGAGGTTCTACCTGATGTTATTCTTTGAATTTTGGGCTCTACCTGATGTTATTCTTTCACTTTTGGGTTCTGATGTTATTCTTTCACTTTTGGGTTCTGATGTTATTCTTTCACTTTTGGGTTCTGATGTTATTCTTTCACTTTTGGGTTCTGATGTTATTCTTTCACTTTTGGGTTCTGATGTTATTCTTTCACTTTTGGGTTCTACCTGATGTTATTCTTTCACTTTTATTGGGCCCTTTGTGTGATGGTGATGTAATTTTGGTGATATTTTGGTGGTATTTTGGTGTATTCTGGTGTATTTGGTGTATTCTGGTATATTTTGGTGATATTTTTCATGTTTTTTTGTTATGCCATCAAGTTTTCACCCAACAGCATATTAAGAAGTTTTAAAGAAAAAGATCAAAAGTCATGAGAAACAAACCAAGTGGATCACCAAGTTGCAAAATCTTTTTCGCAACCTTGTTTCAAGCTGTAGTCTTTTTTTTCCCAACTTATGTAGCTTGGGGGAAAAACTAGATAAATGATTCCAAAGTATGGTTCACAATGTGTTATTTGACCTTCCCATACCTGAGGGACAACGAATAAATGTGGGAAACAACACGGTTATCGAAAACATTGAAAGTATATATAATTTACAGCTTTTTAAAAGGACGTTTATGGTATATCTTGCTTTCTTGTTGGTACAGTACATTTTGATATATGCATGTGTACCATTGGAAGAAATTGAAAATAGACCAGCAATGTGTGTTATCACAACTATTTATACTTTGATTATGGTATGACTAATGATTCAAAAGAAAAGAAGAACAAAAGAAGGAGGAGGAGGAGGAGGAGGAGGAGGAGGAGGAGGAGGAGGAGGAGAGTTCTTTTGCCAAGTTTACTAACTTTACTTGTTCTAGTTTGCAATCAATGCGTCTATTCTCCCACTTTGTTCAAGTACAATCCCCACTTTACTTTCACTAAGATGTTTGTTTTGTTCATTTGTGTTGGAAGCAGTTGGGTTGATGTTGAATATCACTGCAGTAATCCAGAGTTTGAAAGCTGGTCAAATGTTCCAAATTGAGAAACAAAGAGGCAAAACGACAATTATCAAGACTAATGTAGAGACGTACATTAATGTTTTCAATATTATTGCTATGGTGTTTTCCATATTAGCAACTTGCTCATGTCTTTGCCTTGTCATTATTTGCGAAAGAGCACTAGAGTATATTGCAAATAAAGCAGACCGAAGAGCTGTTAAAAATACGCAAAAGAAACAAACTTTGATTAGTACAGCTTCATTAGAAAGGTTTAATTGCTTGCAAGATAAATACTTTTCAGTGTGATGACGACTTTGATCAAAAAATAAAAACTATAATACAAATTTATTACATATTTATGCTATCAATAATGCTTTTTAATATTATACACGGGGTGGGGGGAAGGGGGGAAGGGGGGACTGCTTCTCACAGTGCCATTACCATCCTCCCTAAAAATAGGCCATCCATAAGGTATCAGCGGCTGCTAAATTACGAGGATTAACAGCTTGTGATATTAATTCTAACACATTTTGTGTGGTTACACCGCCATTCGATGCAATGTGGCCCATATTCATTACTCTCTTTGTTATACTCTCAACATTCAACTTTACAATTTCACGAAGTTGTTTGTCCTGTTGTGCAATTGAAGCATTCTTGTACTCACTACTCTGAGACAACCAAGAAATCACTTCATCTCTAACGTATATTGTCAAATATTGCTCCAAGTCTGACCCTGGCTCTAATAAAGCTCTTGCAATACACAACACACTCACGGCCAATACTCCTTCCAATCCATTTTCCCCAATCAACTTCTGGATATTAGGCGTTAATCTGAAAGGTACTTGTTCTGCATTTACAAAGATCGATGTTGGTTTAACTTGCAGATTATTGGGGTCCATTAAGTTGCGGTTTGGTATCTTGGATGGTAACATGTCTGAGGTCCACACATTTCCTGTATTCTTACCCACATGTATTTTTTGTGGTTGCCTAGCATTGACACACATCATATATGTAATGAATATAAATGAAGCATATTGTAAAGTAAATTGTTTTCTAAACAACCAAAAATCATCAAATCGCGGATAAAGCTCCAAGAAGAATTTCTTCAACACAGTTGATGGAACTAATAATGTTTGAATGGCACTTAAAATCTCTACCCGAATACTGGCCAAATCTGGTTTAGGCAATCTTTGGTCAAATGCAGCTCTCAACTTTTCAACAGTATAAATAAATGGTTCATCTCTACTCTTTCCATTTTTTTTGCAGTAACCTTCATAAATTTTCTGTAATGAGATATCACAAACATTATCATTAACAATACGAATATGTGGTGATAATGGAACAGCAATCGGCAAAGTGAACTGCAAATTCCTTTTTCTTGTTTCCACTTTTCTTGAAATGCTATCATTAAAGATTCTAAACAATTGAAATACTGATTCTTCCCGACGACAGTGTCTTGCTGCTGGGAACTGCACGGCAAAAGTGTGCAAGCTACCGTCGTGGCCACGAATTCTCAATCTTTTATAACATGCGTTTGTTCCACGAGCCAAATCAATAGTAGAAAGAAATCGCTCAATCTTGATGAAATGACTATTGTTGTCCTTGTTCAACAAATACTGTCCAGGAATCTCAATCTCCTCGAATTTCTGATGATGAAATTCACTCAAATGTGGACACAAGTTTTCCAAGTTGACTTTTGTAGTTCTCCTATCCAATTTATCTTCTAATCGATCTCTCCACTTCCTCAATTTCGTGATATAAGTTTGCAAATTTGGCTCAGAAAGCACCAAATCTTTTTCAAATTCTGCTCTAATTTGTTTGGGCAATACGGTCTCAGCAAATCTAGTGATATTTGCTTCAGTCACAGGAGGTAATTTAGCATCATCTCTTGGGTTTCCCAACCTATTTAAGTACTGAACACCATCATTAAGCAATGCAACACCCAATCTGTACGCATCTTCATCCGGTGTACATTTAAACCTTTGATTAATTTGATCCACCAATGATTCCAATGATAATGCTAATAATGGGTAAGCTGTTTTCAAAATAGCCATTATTTCTTCAACATGTTCTAGTGGTTGGCGAATAGATAATGGAATAGGTGGGGGTGAGGACTGAGGTTGTGGTTGTTGTGGTTGTTGTGGTTGTTGTGGTTGTTGTGGTTGTTGTTGTTGTTGTTGTGGTGGTGGTGGTGGTACCGCTGCTGCTGTCGTCGCTTGTGAAAAAGGAAGAGCTTGAGCACTAGTGGTTTGTGTAGGCGACTGTGATTGCGCTGATCTTGGTGATTGATGACCATTTGGAGCATCCACTTTCTCACCATTCTGACCGGTTTCTTCTTTATCGTTCCCGCTTAGATTGGTGGAACCAGGGGCAGCGGTGGTAGCAGGCACAGAAGCTGGGGCAACAGGAGTAGAGGCAGCAGCGGCAGCAGCTTGTTGACGTGCTATTTCAATCGCTTGTCGTTGCTGAGCTGCAAAATCTTCTCTTGTAGTTCTCAACTGAAAGTGTAATGCTTGTGGGTAACTTTTAGCGATTCTGACCAAAATCTGTTTGGCTAGTTTTGCTTCTCTATGAGATAGAGAAGTTAACAATTGCGGAATAAACGTAATCCAATACCATACAGGAACTTCTCCTCTAAAGTTTTCAAACGCTTGTGCCAATGTGCCCGAAGCATCATCCAAACTGATCAACCACAATATTCTAGCCAAAAGTTTTCTAGTTTTGCCATTCTTGTATAATCCAGCAGCTTGCAAATAACAACTAATTGCATTATTAGCGTAAACCATATCATCGGGATGTTCTTTAAATCTGCGATCATTAAATATACCCCATTCCGCCCAAGCTTTTGGTAAGTTGAGATCAATTTGAACTGATGTGGCAAAAGCTTTGTTAGCTTCGTCCTTCTGGTTTAATTTGTTCAAAAACATACCCTTGAGTGTGAAAAATTCGGCCTTTTGTTGAGTGGCAAAGTAGACCAAATTTGTGTTGCTGATAACATCAAGACCAGTATTGAGCTCATTTGGATTTTGGTAATGACATTTGACTTGTTCCTTTAATTTCAAAAATGCTTCTTGAATTTCGATATTTGGTAATTGGTAGATTCTTGTTAACTCTTTAATACAAACTTCAGGCATGTTGTGTTTTCTTGCCACATGTGCAAATCTATTGATAACCCATGCAATTTCGTGAAAACCTCTGTAAGCATACGAATTAGCATTACTTCCAGAACTAGACTGTTGTAACCCTGGAATAAAGGGCATATAGACCTTGTTGATAACTTGGAAAGCATGTTGACGCCAAGTCACTAGGTCGTTCCAAATATTTATATCATCCCACATATTAGGCAATCTCTCACGCCAAACTTGCAATACCCGTTTTAGTTCTTGGGATTTTACGTCCAAGTTTTGCGCATTCGTGCTGACCAAGCTAGCATACACTTGACTTGCTTCCATAAACTCAACGTATTGTTGGAATGTGTGCAACAAGGGGATATGGGCATTGGTGAATCTTGTTGGCAAGCCATGCCATTTTCTCAAAGCAAGTTGAATGCCTTCATCACACAAACGAGATAAATCTTGCAAAGATTCCTTTTCTTGACCAAAACCTTGTAGACATAAAAAGGTCTCGAATACTTGTCGACGAGGAGTAGGAATATCCATAACATTCTTTACAGTATGATCTAATGTTTCTCTATCGTTGTACCAATCCGCTACTCTCCACCCACATTCCAATAATAAATCAGAAAATCCTTCGTGTCTAGCTAGATCCGTTAAGATGTCCCAATGTTGTAGTTTTTCAGAGCACAAGATCCAGTGGTCCTCCCATAAAGCATATTCAGACTCGCCATATGGTAATGCGCCGCTTCTAGCTTTGATCTGTGCTGTCTCGTATAACTGTTGGGCTTTATCCCAAAGTCCGATTTGTTCGTATGACAAGGCACATATTGTTTCTGTATACTTTGCTCTTCTTCGCCAAATACCGTAAAACATATCTTCTTCCTTTAACGTTGCGTATAGCTTAGTCAAGGCATCCTGAATAACGTCACGAACATCTGCATTGGCATTGACAGACTCCTCATTCATGCTTTCAAGAATATGAAGACCTTGAGACCAAGCGTCATAGTTTGTTGCCAAACATTCAACAGCAAATGGCGGTAGTTGCAAGTTCCAGCAACGTGAGATACCCTCTAACAACGATTGGATGACATTTGGACGCATGTCTATTTGACGTGTGTGATAATCTTTTGATAATAAAATAACCAAGTATCTTGTAAAATCTAGATGTTCTGATCTTGAAATGGATTGGAAAGCAACTGGAAATATGGATGCCCAAGTCCGGTGAACAGATTCACTGCTTTGATAAAACATATCCATAAGTGGCTCGAAAACATCAGAAGCTTTCAATTCAGCAACTTCATTCAAAAACTGTGAATGTATTTTCAACAACTCACTCAATTTCTCATTGGAGTCAACTTCCATTTTATCGCTTGTGGGGAAATTCAATGTCTCAATAGGAGCAAGTTTGTTTTCATCAGCAACAAAGGCTATCTTTGCATCCAAATTGAACGAGCCAAACAAAAGTTGTAATGCTTGATTCAACCAAGGATAGTCTGCTAAATACTCCCAATTTTGTTCTCGAATGACATAGTACAACCTTTTGGTGATGTCCTTTTCAAGACTATTGTTTAAAATTGACATCAACTTACGCCTGATTGAAACATCAAGCGCTCTAGTGCCAACCATGAATGGCTGTTCCATGCGAACGGTTAACTCAGAACAACTAAAGGAGTCATCTTCAAAAATATCAACAATAATTTGGTAGAACTCTTTAGACAAAGTCGGTTCACCTCTTACTTCAAATACCATCATCTTTGACAAAATAGCAGCTTTCTCTTTTGTAGTAGGAAACAAGTTAGTCCTTGAAAACACCCAACCCTTGACCATTTTAATAATTTTTTCCAAAGTATCTTTATCCAAACTTCTTTCAATCAATTGAGCCAACAATGATAAAAATATTCTTCTTTGATCTCCGAGATTCGATATTCTCATTGAGCACAAGTTCAAGATTTTCTCAAGCAACTTTGTAGTCATCTTTGCTTCATATTCTTGACTTGTATTGTCCTTGGACGACGAAGCTTGAGACCCTTGGTGAGTAATTGTTATATGGTCTTTACAAAGTTTGCTAAATGTCTTCATTATGGTAGGAAGTAAAGGATCCAAAGTTGTTGGCTTATACTGGGCCAAGGTCCAAGCCAAGGTAACACCCGCAGCAACAGAGGGCATATCACCCAAATCTTCTGAAACTGAAGAAGTCAACAAGTTGATAAACTCTTTTATATCATCGTCTTCTTTTTCATCCTCATCACTTCCCTGTTGCTGATTAATAGCTTCAAGTATTGTGCATAAGACTCTCTGTAAAATTTCCTGGATATCATGATTATCCGACTTGATACACTTCTCAAGCAATTTTTGCAAATATGAAATATTCGAAGTTATCCATTCCGGTTTTTCCCACTCTAAAACTACACCAAGCACTTCCAAAGCATTCAAGCAGTATCCAAGTAAATTGGTTGAGTTCAAATCGTTTGAAAGTAAGAATTTTTCAAAAAACCTCAACTTGATTGTCACTTCTGGCCAATGTTGTGGGCTAAGCAAGTCGTACAATATTCCCAATGCCTTTTGACCCAATTCGCTTTCTGAAGCTCTTTGAGGACTAATACAAACGTATCTAATCAAAAAGGTAACGCACGCTTCTCTTTGGCCAAAGGGAACCGAGTAGGTTGAAGATGTTCCAAAGGTTTTGTCTTTAAATGTTTCGGGCTCCGCCTTGATCTCGTTTCTCTTCTTCTCTTCTTTCTCCTCCTCCTTTCCCTCTTTATCCTCCTCCTCCTTCTCCTCCTTCTCATCTGCCATCTCTTGATCTTCTTCGATCCTATCTATTTCATCGTTTTCCTTTTCATCCTTTTTCTCCCGTTCTTCTTCGTTGATGCAAACTTCTGCATTGTCTTCAAGCTGGTTTTTCTTTGCCTTAGCTTCAGCAATAGCCTTCCTTTCCCAATACAATATCAATTCGGCCAATTCAATAGCCAATACTTGATTTTCAATCGCAGGGTTTGCCAAGATTGTTAATTTGCCCATCGCAGTGATAATATTCGAAATGAAATGTTCTCTAGCAACAAAGAATAAATCAGGATGCTGAACAATAAACTGATACACATTGAGCACTTGTGTAACATTGAAACCGTCTTCAGAAATAATACGCCGTGGCCATTTCAACCAACTGTCGGGTGACCCGACATCTCTCATTCGCTCAGGCATCACGGGCGCAAGTATATCCAACGCTTGTCTTACCAAATGTCTTGAATCTGTTTGATGAGTTCTTAATAATGCCACAAACACTTGTGTTGCTAATTTTCCCGGTGTGTCGTAAGCAGATATGAAATAGCATGTTGTGATATATGCAACTTGTTTGGTGATACTGTCTGCAAGCTTAATATAATTCCAACTAAATTTGATGATATCTTTGCGCAATTCACTGACATAAGTAGGGGCTAACTTCAAAAGTATTGCAGTTACTTCCAACAACGCATACCTGTAACTATCCAACTTACCTGAAGTATGGCCAATAATCAAGTCGTTGCTCAGTCTCCATATGTTATCATTGAGAGCAGCCAACCATTGTGGAGCCGATGAATTATTATTATTACTGGTACTTTCTTCTTCTTCTTCTTCTTCTATTTCTCTTCCTTCTTCTTTTTCGGTAACAAAGAATGCATCCACATTGCCTCTCTTCATTGATTCATAAACAAATATTGGATTGAAAATCCTCTTTAAAAAGTAAATCTTGGATTTCAAACATGACTCGTTGCTACTTATGAAATCAATGGTCTTGTTCAAATAAGTCTTTCTAAACTCAATATCTTCGCAAGCAACAATATTGTTAAATATGTAATCCTCCACCTCATGAGACACTTTATGTTTCAATTTACAATGGCGATTGACAACAGTGAAAAGTAGATCAATTTGGTTTTTGTTTCTCTTCAAAAATTCAACAACAAGATGTTGCAATTTGGTAATTGCTTGGTCACTTTGCGAATGAGCAGAAGATAATACGGGTGCCTTTACCATGCCGCTAATATCCTCAACAACTTGAGATAACGTAATCAACAATTCCTCTTGTCCATCAAACCATTCTTTATCATGCTTGGCAATGGCATCTACAAGGTCAACAATATTTGCAAATTTAACAACCTTTGTTTCGGGATCAGTATCATTTTTAACGTCATCAATAAAAAATTGCATTTTTTCCTCAGCAACTTTGCGAAGGTTTTCACATCCATCCATACCTGTTATAAACGCAAGCATATTGCCTAGTTTTCTATTTTTGAAATTTTTCATCAAGTATTCAATACAATTTTCGGCAAACCTGTTGAGAAATTTTGAAACTGGTTTTCTAAACGGCGAATCTTGATGACGATCCAAGTGACCTTCCAAGTATTGTAAAGTATTAATTATCTCTTCCATAAACGTATATGCTTTTGCTGGTAGTAAATGGAAAATGTTCAAAATAGCCATAACAATTTGCACTGTATGATTATTGTCAAGATTTTGTCCAGCAATTTGCCGGAGCGTATTAATCTGTGCCCAAGCCATCAAATGATCTAGTAGTTTCCTTCCAATCTCAACTCTAAAGTAAGAAATTAACAACTCCAACAACCTAGCGAGTGCTTCCAAACCGGATACGGTCAATTTTTTGTGGTCAGACAAATTCATTAACATTGGTCTTAATCCATTTTGTAACAACTCCTTGGGCAATTTTGCATTTTCCTGTAAGCTAGATGCCAATCCTTGATGCGCCGCATTGATAATCTCGGTAGATTTGTTACATAAGGCCTTAAAAAACACACCCAAGATTCTGATTCTTGCTTCTGCTAATGATCCAATTGAAAAATCGGGTTTGGATAGTGCCAAGGATAACAATTTTATGCAAACAACTCTCAACTCAATCAATTGTTTTGATGTTCGGTACTCGCTCAATCTATGTACATTAGCCAATGATTCATCTTCTGCATCTACCAAGGCTAATGCTTCCAAGAGTAACCTGTTTAGTTCCTCATTAAATGTTAGAAAAGTGTCTGGCAAGCCTAAACAAAATGTGATTGCGTCAATATTTCCAATTTGCATGGGAAAAGGTAATGCTCTCAACGGCTTACCAAAGATGGGTGTCAACAATAAATGTTTACATGGTCCAATAATTGAGGCGATTGGTGTTGATGTAACTTGCGATAGAACTTGCAAGCATTCTTGAGCCACTTCTCTCACCATTGGCGTTGGACTAGCTAGGTCATAGACTAATGCACCTACTAGTGTTTGAAATGGCTTTTCCATAACTGTTTCCTTTGTAAGCTCTTTGTTGCATGTTCTTAACAAATCAACCACCAATTCCTTTGCAGATTCCCGAACCTCTAAAGGGGCAGTGTCAGGAGTATCTCGAAGTATAAAAAACAACGAGCGTACCACTTCAAATTGTCTTTTGTAGAACCATGAATGGGGAATCTTCAATTTACAAAATAACAACTTGAGACCACTCACTCCAGCTAGTTTTACATTATAGTACTCATTATAACAGCAATGAGTGAATCGGTAGAATAACGATCGAAATATTGGTGAGTATAATGCATTTTCTTCTGATCCAAAAGTAACTACTGTTGTATCATGTATCTTCTTGATTGCATCGGCACCTTTTTCACGAACATCTTTATCCCAAAAACTTAAAGCATATGTAATACCGCTAAGAAATGCCGCTTCACTAATGTAAGCTTTTCCTTCGTTATCCTGTACAGAAAATTTCCGTTCTTTCTTTATCTTATCGATTACTGAACTCGAAAGGTGAAGTAAAGTAAAGTGTGTAGTTAAACCATCAAGTAACTCACTTGCTTCCTGTCTCAACTCGGGAATAGATACTGAGAAAAATAGCATTTCCAACAATTTTGCGAATAATTGTTGTTGTCTATCCAATTTCTCCGAATCCTTGATATCCAGCGTTTCCAATTTCATATCAACATCTTCTACTCTATCCTTACTTAAGAATTCAACACTTTCATGAACATATTGAATAAAATTCTCCGGGATAGGAGTAGTGTTGATAAACAATTTAAGTATACTAGTCAAGTACCTAAATGCGCTGATTCTATAATGTAATTTCAATCGTTGATCTTCTAACAATTTAATTGCAGATTCAACACCGGGAGTAACTGACACTGGGACCTTATCATCAAACCCATAAACTTGAACCAAGGCCTTCATTTCTTGATCAACATCAGTCACGGGGTGCAAATTCTCTGCGAGTTTCAACTTCTTATGATTTCGGCCTCCTAACTTACCTAAAATTCGAATTGCAGTATGACTGTGTTGATGATGATACGGCACAGGTTGCAAATGCTTCCATAACGCAGCCATTATCTCATCTATTACCGGTTCAATCATGGGATCAAAATACTCTGCCGTAAGATTATCGACACACAATTCAAATGTACGTAATCCTTGATTTATTAACTCCTGTGATCCATTTAATGCGTATACTAACGGTCTTGTCAAATAGCTGAGATGAGGAACTAACACAGATAACCGAACAGGAACAGTTAGACACAACTCAACATAAATATCTCTTTCGTAAGGACGTCTTGCATTTGCAATCATTTTATTGAGCTTTTCCAAAAGAATAGGCAATATGGGCATAATTTCCTTGTATAAATTTTCAAATCTTCCCCCGCTTATGCTTCGGAATAAAAGACGTACCAAATATGAATAAACTATAGGCTCTTCAGTTTTTGTACTCAACTCCAATGATTTCAAAATGAGATGATTCAAATGTGGTAGCAACACACTCTCATTTGTAACGGGGAAGAGATTTACCGACATGAAACATAGTTTGAACAATCTAGTCAAAATACTGGTTCTGATGATATCGCCTTGTCCTAACTGATCAAGTTTGTCCTTGAGGAAAGAAATCAAGATGCTCAAAAAGTTAGCCAGTGTTACCTCGCTAGCTAGAAAGAACTGTGGCAAGTGTAACAACGCAGCATTCTCCAACATGGAGTCAAACATAAAAGGTAATTCAGAACTGACAATCTCATTAAATGAAGCGGGATCAATATTGATAAATATAGTGGCAAATATCTCCATCAAATCCTTTTCTTCTTTCGATGAGGTAATGGGTAAATTGGTACCACCAGTAGAAAAGTCAAACGGTTTCTGAGGTATGGTTTGTTTGGGCTTGGATGCAGCAAAGAATTGAAGACAACTAACTCCACCGCGAAATAATGCACGTAAGATATTGACTTCCTCAACTGAAATTAGTTTAGCAGAATCATTCCATTTATCGTAATTGACCTGAGATTGCTGTTGCTGTTGCTGCTGTTGTTGTTGTTGTTGCAGCGATGGTTGCTGTTGTTGCTTGGTGGGATCTATTGAGGTTGGTTGTGGTGGGACTGGTGGGTTACAATTTTTCAACCCAAACACCACAGATTTTAAAAAGGTCATTAGTGTCTTAAATAAATAACGTGCATCTTTGAGTAAATCTGAGCTGCTCATAGATGGCGATGCTACAATTGGAGAATATGCTTCAATGTTGAATATATTAAGACCAAGCTCTTCATCGATCTCTGGATTAGCATCTTTCTCAGCATTTTCTTTATCCACATCCATTTCGTTGTTCTCCTTGTCCGACCTTTCTTCATCTTCCACCTTATTCCGTTTTGACGAGTATCTCTCTATAGCCCGCTTTGTATCCTTCTCTTTTAAAGATTTCTTTTTTTCGTGTTTATGATGCTTTGCAATGATGTAATCATGCTTCCGATTCAAACTTTCAAATCTTTTTGCATATGAGTCAATAATTATCAAAAACAATTGTCTACCCTCGAGTTTATTTGGAAGCTTCATTATTTTTTCAACCAAGTTCAACAATAGTTTGGCACTCATAATCTGTACTGTCAAGGCCAATGAGTCATCTTTCAACAACCCACAATAAATATTAACAGTTGACCATATCTGAACTGGCGTCAACTCGTTCCGTACATTATGTATGAAATCTGCAACCGTTGAATAAGCCAATGGTCTAAGTGTCTCATAAGAGGTTAACCCATCGCCGATCAAGATTTTTTCGTCAAACAACAATTCCAATTTGGGTATAAATTGAGTTCTGAAAGGAGTAGACAATATGTGTCTAGTGGCATGCAACAATTCCTTTCTTGCCACAGACAATTCCGCAGGACAATCCTGTAATAGCCTAAGAATCACATCGGGCACACATTTACTCTCCTCTGGCTTCAAGTATTGTCCGGCATAGCCTCTAATAAACACATAAGCCAAGAATGATGCGGCTTTTACTTGACCTAAGATAAAGTCGCTGTATGCTTGTCTATTATTAATTTCTGGTGATATAGAAGTTACCACTTCATTTTCCGATTTTTCACGAAATTGTTTTTGTTGTTCAACTTGCAATTGCAAGATGTGGATTATCTTGGGCAAAAATTGTTGCAAAGAAGTTGAAACAAGCTGCTTATATGAGGAGTAAAGTGACACCATTGTGATTGGACATTCTGCAAGGGTCTTGAAGGAATACATTGCCCTTTTTAGCAACTTGGTTGGCGTTTCTTCATTATATGATGTTGCAGGTGACGAGGAGCTTGGCGGAGATAACCTCTTTTCTTCTTCTTGTGCCTCTCTTGTCTCTGTCTCTGTCTCTGTCTCTGTCTCTGTCTCTTTTGCCTCTGTCTCTGTCTCTTTTGCCTCTGTCTCTGTCTCTGTCTCTTTTGCCTCTCTTGTCTCTTCTTTCTCTTCTTCCTCTTTTATCTCACCTTCCTCTTTTCCTTCTTTCTCGGCCTCGGCCTCAACCTTCTCTGCATCTTCTTGCTCTTCTTTAATTTCATTATTAGTTCCGCCGTTTGCAAACACTTCTTTCACGGTCTCGTCCATATTATCGTAGATCTGCTCAATAATGGAAATGAACGGTTGTACCTTCTCTGCCAAATTAGCCTTGTATGCTTTGTACAAACTTGTAATAACCTTCATACATAAAACCCCATTTTCTTCATTTTCTTGAGTCAATATTTTGGTCAATATTGTCAATATTTCCTCAGCATATGGCTGAAAAGTATCATTCATAATTGACCGATGTAAAATTTCCAAAACGCTATTTCTCGTCTTGTGTTCGAGGCTAGTGGAAATGAATGATATGGGCACATTTTCAAATATCTTTAGAAATATCGGCATTAGTATCTTGAGAAAATACTCATATTCAGCTGCCCCATTGAATGTCTCAATGGTATCCAATAATTCTGATAGTATTACATATTTCGCGGCATAGTCCTCTCCACTGTCATTGAGCCGTGTCACAAACACGTCCAATTGTAAAGTGTATGACATCTCTTGCTAATTCAGCTTCGAATCAGCCAGAAACCCTACTATAAGGCCTTTCAACTTGATTAAACCCTGAGCTAATGATTACTACAAAACAAGTAAACAATTTTGGGCAATTTTTCAAAATCGGCGGAAATCGATTTCGCCAAATTTTGAAAAAGTCACGTGTCGATCATGTGATAGGCACGTGATGAAGAGAAAGGGCCAAAGGTATCTACTATCTACCATCTACTATCGAGGAACGAGATAGTAGATAGTCCCTAGTAGTACGCTATATAGTGCTCTTCTCTACTAAGGAGTATCTACTATCTACCATCTACTATCGAGGAACGAGATAGTAGATAGTCCCTAGTAGTACGCTATATAGTGCTCTTCTCTACTAAGGAGTATCTACTATCTACCATCTACTATCGAGGAACGAGATAGTAGATAGTCCCTAGTAGTACGCTATATAGTGCTCTTCTCTACTAAGGAGTATCTACTATCTACCATCTACTATCGAGGAACGAGATAGTAGATAGTCCCTAGTAGTACGCTATATAGTGCTCTTCTCTACTAAGGAGTATCTACTATCTACCATCTACTATCGAGGAACGAGATAGTAGATAGTCCCTAGTAGTACGCTATATAGTGCTCTTCTCTACTAAGGAGTATCTACTATCTACCATCTACTATCGAGGAACGAGATAGTAGATAGTAGCAGTACTCTATAAAAGTGCTCTTTTCTACTATCGAGTATCTACTATCGAGGAATGAGATAGTAGATAAAGCTAAGCTCGATAGTAGATAGTCCCTAGTAGTAATACTCTATAAAGTGCTCTCCTCTACTATCGAGTTTCTATAATCGAGTATCTACTATCTCGCTAAGCTCGATAGTAGATTGTCCCTATAGTAGTACTCTATAAAAGTGCATTCCTCTACTATCTCATTCCTCAATAGTAAAAAGTACTCAACTACTTCTACTTGAGGAATTTCACCAAAATTTTTAATAATATCACGTGCAACTCACATGATCTACACGTGGTAGATATTCAGCACGCTTCAAAAGGATATAAAATCTAACAAAGCTTATATATAAAGACAGACAAACTATTAGCAAAGGCTATTAGTAAGGGCTATTTGCAAAGGCTATACTTTTTCATAAAGAAACCAAAGGAAATCAATTTCGCCAAAACTTTAAAAAACCCACGTGAGTGTCATGTGATCTACGCGTGACCTACATAAGCGCCAAAGATGTAAGATTTAAAAGGGAAAGCTATCTACTAGAGACTATCTACTAGAGACTATCTACTATCGAGGAAAGAGGTAGTAGAAAGTTTCCAATAGCAGTACTCTATGATCTACTATCTCGTTCCTCGATAGTAGATTTTTTATTAACAAGAGCTCTATTTGTGCGAGATCTTATATAAATAAGAACAGACTATTAGCAAAGGCTATACTTTTTCATTAAGGTACGTTTGAGAAACAATATTAGCATCCTCATTAATAAGATCTCTATTTGTGCGAAATCTTTGCCAATTCATTAATAACAAGCTTGCAAAAACAATAAAATTAAATGCAAAGCTAATCCAAGTCATAATTTCTGCTCTAGAGCCACTAACACCAGAAATAAGATCAAAACTCAGCTGTTGAACCATTTTGTCTGAAGTCTTTACCGATTGTAATTGTAGCATAGCTCCTAACCCCCAGAGCAAAAGATTGATGAAACTTAACAATGCACCGAATTTTTCCATATATGGCCTGAATGGCAAGGGAAGGATCATATAGCATAAGATAATGAGACATACAAGTGTCAAAATAATTGTGGCCATGAGAAGATGAGGATGACAGATTTCATTGAATGAAGTGGCTATGTTTAACAAATTGAAATTGACACCATCGAATGAAATTGAAAACTGGGGGATATTTTGAATTTGGGAATAGTAGGTGCACGTCTTTTGAGTTGCAATGTCTATACAAGCTGCCAAATAGCCGATACTCACGTGAACATCAGACAATAAAGTTGAGTTTGAAGCCGATGTTGTTGCTGTGATGTTGGTGGAGAGGGAGGGGGAAAGATTCTTATACAATGTGGAGCTGGAATTGTATTTGTATTGAAACAAGTAGACGCTTGAATAGTTTGAGCTTGTGTTTATACATCCTAATAGGAGAAACGATAGGAGAACCGTAGCAATAAATTGGATAATAATGGTGAGAAATAACATAGGCTTTGATATTGCAAAAACCATCATGCTGTGAATGAAAAGGAATCTTGGTACTCTAGCTGAATAAAAGGAGTCTTGGTACTCTAGCTTGATCAAAATTACAAACTATTTCAATAGAGAGAATAAATATACCATAATATACTAGAAAAGTTGACCCTTGCAACTAGCAGTACATGTTTCAAATCCATATGGCTGCGAAACATTTCTCATACAAATTGAAATCTACTATAAAACTATGCGCTACCAAACGTGCATCGTTTCTTGTGAAACTAGGGGCAATAATGAAGTTGAACTCGATAGTGTAGGATGATACTCAATGAATACAAGGCTAACATTCTACTTAATTGCCTTTCCTTCTAGATAATTTCTCTTTCTTCTACATATTTTCTGCGTTTTCTTACTCTATATTAGCTCTAGACAAAAATAAAACTGAAAAGAAATAGAAAATCAAAGACAATCCCAAAAACGCAGTTGAAACAGGTAGGAAAGGTCTCAAGATTTCCCAACCATTTTTCATTTTAAACAGACCAACAATTGTTTTTGTAGTACCCGGTTTGCTTTGCCATCCGCCCGTTTTATAAAAATTGTCCATCAATTGATCTTTCTCGTACCATATTTTTAAGAGCCATTTTTCAAACTGCACCAAATTTTCATCTGATACTTGTTCTATATCGTCGGGATTTTCGTCACCTAAGGGAATATCCCTAATATTGTAAGCACGAATATAGTAGTTTACCAGCTCGAAACCTTTTCCTCTCAAGTAAAAATTTTTCAACGAGTACTTGATTTCCCCATATTCATCCTCTCTCAAGTTAGAGTATGCTGTTGTAATATCGTATACCTGCTCGATGGAATTTCGTAATTTCATCAATGCCAAATATAATCCGCGAACTCTTGGCAATAATACGTGTTTCAATGGTGGCAAGTTTTTAGATTGTGTGAATTCAGCTGATTTCTTTGTAGTTCTATCCGATGGCACGGTTCCTTCGGGGAATAAAATCAACTCATAGGGCCATATGACCAGTTGCAGTTGTTGCAGTTGTTGCAGTTGTTGCAGTTGTTGCAGTTGTTGCAGTTGTTGCAGCTTCTGGGTTTTGTTCACGGGCCATTTCTTGATATCAGATTTGTTGGTAGTAGATACCAACTGCACTCCATTTGCAGGTCCCACACCACGAGCGTTTGCATCGATTTCCAATAACTGATTAGTCAAAACCACTTTATCCTTTTCCCATTTTCTTGAAAGGAACATAAAGTTAAAATTTTTCATGCCAAACCCAAGAACAGGTAGTTTTGAGAGATCCTTGAGGATGATGAACACGGCATTACTCAAGTTTGAAGTATATGTTAGAAACCAAAGGAATAGCCAATCTGTATATATTTGATGGTTTGAGATGAGCACTGAGTTTGGTGATAAAAAAGTGTGTAAATTTTGACTCGAGTCTACCTTGTATTGTTGAGCATGGGGCACTGTTTTAGCATCCACGGTTATGACTATTTGACACGGGTTAACTAGGGCAGTTAGCCAGCCTAATAATATTGAAAAATGAGTCTTTGTTGTACTGATCATTGAGTACTTTGTTGATGCATTGTTCTTGAAAAATACAAGCGATAACCATTGGGTGAAGACTATGCTCAAACAGCCTGTTATGAAAACTGGTATAATTAGTGCTGTTCTTGTTATAGCCACTGGCAAACTATTTCGCAAGGCCATAATAGAAGAGGAACAGCGCTTTGAAAAATGGGTGGCAAAAGAAGACTCTGATAAAAGATGAGCTATTATAAAGCTATTGTAATCAAAGCTCGTGTTTAGTGAAATCGAATTTGAAATTTGGTTATAGACCAACACTATCGAGCAGAGCGAGATAGTGTTGTAACAAACTACAAAGTCTAAGAGAGAGAGAGGAACAGTCTAAGAGATGGAGAGGAACAGTCTAAGAGGGGAGAGAACAGTCTAAGAGGGGGGGACAGTCTAAGAGAGAGGAAGGTCAACGAACGGGGTCACGTGAGTTGTCAAACTCCCATATGCAACAAAGCTTGCTAATAAACAAGGCTGAGAGTAGTCAGTGCTTGCCAATAAACAAGGCTGAGAGTAGTCAGTGCTTGCCAATAAACAAGGCTGAGAGTAGTCAGTGCTTGCCAATAAACAAGGCTGAGAGTAGTCAGTGCTTGCCAATAAACAAGGCTGAGAGTAGTCAGTGCTTGCCAATAAACAAGGCTGAGAGTAGTCAGTGCTGCTCCACTATCTCATTCTGCTCGATAGTGGAGCGACACTTTGTAGACACTACTGAGCAGTACCGACTAGCTTGTGACCACCCTGACTATACAAGCTTAAAAAATTTTCTCACACAAAAGAATACTATAGTGTAAAAATGTAAAATGGATAAAATGATCAAGGTAAATATCTGAATGGGGAATTTTATAGCGGGGAAATGAAAATTTAAATAAATAAGTTCCAAATTAGTGCAATTGCGCTTACCACTAGTGACACTATCGAGCAACACTATCGAGCAGAGCGAGATAGTGTTGATAGTGGAGCAACACAAAGAAGCTTGTTACAACACTATCTCGCTCTGCTCGATAGTGTCGATATTGGAGCAACACTTTGTAGCTTGTTACAACACTATCTCGCTCTGCTCGATAGTGTCGATAGTGGAGCAACACTTTGTAGCTTGTTACAACACTATCTCGCTCTGCTCGATAGTGTTGCTCGATAGTGTTGCTCGATAGTGTTATTCGATAGTCCTCGTTGTGAAACATCGAACAATGTTGTGATAGAGCGAGACGAGCTTAGTGTCGATAGTGTCGACTGTCGATGCAAGCTAATAAATATTCTCCATCTGACTTTAAATTACATTTGAAAAACGTCAAATATGTAACCAAGAAATTTGCTAATAAATTCAAGAAACTTGATAATGCTAAGAAAGTTGATTAAAGCTACTAAGTTTAAAATAGCTAATAAAGTTTTTATATATAAATCTGCTAGATAGTGGGAGCAGCACTCAGTAGCTTGTGATAATACTATCGAGCATAGTGTGACTAGGGTGACTAGTGTCACTAGTGTCACTACTCAGTGCTAAGACACTATCGAGCAGAGCGAAATAGTGTCGCTTGATAGCGGAGCAGCACTTAGTAGCTTGTTACAATACTATCGAGCCTAGTGTGACTAGGGTGACTAGTGTCACTACTCAGTGCTGTTCCACTATCTCGCTCTGCTCGATAGTGTCGTATCAGTGTTGATAGTATTTATACTCTTTTCTTGACTAGACTCGTTTCACTCGTCTAGTCTCTATGCTCACTTCACTCGTCTAGTCTCTATGCTCACTTCACTTGTCTAGTCTCTATGCTCACTTCACTCGTCTAGTCTCTATGCTCACTTCACT